TTTATGTGAATAGTTCTTGAATTGAGGATGTGCATCATATCTCACCATAGACTGGTATGCTCACAATTACACATAAAGAATTAGACAAATATTATCAGCTGTAGCACTATTATAACCTCCTTCAATCGTGACCATAGTCATTAATACTGTGAAATAGCGAGCTCCAGTTGGTACTGTACCGTTCACCTGTCGAAATAAAAGCGTTGTCAGATTTTTTCGGTCTGCAGCGAGCACTGGCCCAAGAGTAAATATACTTCCCACCATAGTATCTGCTGTATTACTAAAAGTCAAACTAATTTTTGCATTATCATCCTGTTCTATATATCCACCAAGCCATGCAGAAAAACTGAACTTCACTGTACGATTGCTTAGAAGTCCAATATTCATATAATCACTAAAATTTCCTGTTTGTTGTATTGATGTAATCACAGATGTATAACCTCCAAAATAACAATTCCCATAATCACTAATCAAGAGCGAAGTTGAACAATATAATTTCAAACACTTTTTACCTCGGCGTTGAGCTTGAACTTAGAAATGTACCCATAACAGTTCCATTATAAAACACTTGCGAAAGACTCCCATTAGCAGACCACAACGGGGGACTCGCCTGAGCAGTAAACGGTGTACAGTTGCCAGTTTCGGCGTCGCCATTCTTTATCAAATTTCGCGTAATCACTAAATTAAAGATTCTATTTGTATCAGTACATCTGAAACTAATTCTGCAACTTAATTCTCATTTTTTAACACACTTACTGGGCGTGGTAGTAGCAGCTGATGAAGTTGTTGTTGACGTACTCGTAGTAGTTGAAGTTGCTGTTGTGCTGGTAATCGTTGGACTAACTGTACTTACTATAAATAAATAAAAGAACTAGATATTTTATGAAAGCTACTTTCATCATTTATAATGTGAGCAAATAATATAGCTCTTTGTTCTTTTTTTTCTACTTACACATGGATGGCGATCTACCAGAGATTGCTATCATAGTTATGACACCTTTTTGTGCTATCAGTTGACCATACTGACTCGGTAGATTAGAAAATAATTCACATCGACTCATCATTTCATCATAAGAGATCGTACGGCATTGTGTATTGCTTAAACAATAGATTTGACATTGTCGAAGATTTGAGTAAGAAACATTGATCGAAGCTGAACAATCAGAGATATTGCATTGATATTTCATATCCTTCACTTGTGATAATAATAACGAACGAATATGTTCTGCGTTTGTTAACGCTACGAGATGAAGAAGAAACATTATTTGGATCTTATTCATATTGATACGATAGAGAGAATGATGAAAACTAGTTTTTAAAATACAAAAAAAGGAAAGGACATTTGGTAAATATCTACTCAATTCCTTTTTTTTACTAGTTGCTGAGGCATATCCGTCGTTCATTTTATAATTACAATTGCCGTCAAACTCGTTCCTCAGTATTAAGTAGGTGTTGCATTTAGACAACGATAAATAACAAATACTTCTGGAGCGATCTTTTCGGCTATTCTCGAGAAATTAAACTTTCCATTTGTCAGCTGTGCTCGCTTAGCACGTTTCGATGCTCTATACAGACTATGTTATGCATCGACGACGAGTAACCTTATTAATAGTAAAGGTAAAAATTGGAAACAGTCAAACGGTTGAGTTAAAACATTCATTTTAATCTAAGATATATCATCGCGTGTGACAAAAGAAGCCAATTTAATTATATGCTTTATGAAAAAATAGTATTGTTATTCTTATTTTTAACTGCAGTAAAACCTCTTCATGGTGAACACCAACGAGATCGTTCAAAATGCGTTCACTAAAGAGATATTTTACTGTATATACACGTCTATTTATATACCTTACAATTACGGTATCAATCATCGGGCATCAGTAACTACAGATATAGTTACAAATGCATTTTTCCAATAAAGCTCTGTCAAAATTCTCTTACAAAATGAATGATAAAAGTCACCTTAACGCACAAACTACACGTCGTAATAAGCTGGTTACTCATAGAACAAAACACACACCTGTACAGTATGGGAAAGTTGAAGGTTGACTCCTACGCATGGTAAGCATATTTTCACCCTCATATACTGCAATCGATTGACGTTGGCTCATTCAAAGAGTATAAATACACATCTCATTGTCACTTACAACTTATTCACATTCAAACATTTCCATATTCGTTTTCGTATCATGTACAAAGCATTGCAAATCTTCGTATTATGTATATTTGTCGTTTGTATGACTACGGCAGATATTGGAGAACAATCACACAATGGATCTTTTCTGCCACCGGGTCAGTAAATTCTCTTGATTTTCGTTTCAATCTCTTCTTGATATCTTCTAATAGAACTCACCAACGAAGGACTCCATCTGAAAAATATTTTCAATTCATTCTTTCCGTATAAATTATTGAATCGTCAAAGACGGGCCTCATCAAATTTTCAACAAGAAATGTTATATTCTCATAACAAATACCGTGCGCGTCATTGTGTACCTGCTCTTCAGCTTGACAGTGGACTTACTCGTTCAGCTCAAAGTTATGCCGAGAAATTAGCACGAATCAATCAAATGATTCATAGTAATACACCAAACCTTGGAGAAAATCTCTATATGATGAGAAGCTCAGCCAGATTAGGAAATATTAATGGTAAGTCAATTTGAATTGATCTAAAACGACTCCACTCAGTGTTTGTAGGTGGTCAAGCTACTGATAACTGGTATAATGAAGTGAAACAATACAATTATGGTCGTCCAGGATTTTCAATGGCAACAGGTCATTTTACACAAGTAGTTTGGAAATCAACTAAACGAATTGGTGTTGGCTATGCGTTTACCAATGATGGAAGAACAGTTTATGTCGTTGCTCAGTATTCTCCTCCAGGAAATTATCAAGGACAATTTCCAGCTAATGTTCTTCAAGCTAGATGCTAATCATTTGCTTTTGTGTTAATAAATTTCTTTCGTTTTGGATTACTCAATGAAGAAGCTTTTGACTTCATGGAGAGAGAAAGAGATTGCAACGACGACGAGTGTAATCGTGGATTTTTTTTCTATTTTGGTGATATGGACTTTCGTTCGTTAATAGCTATGAGAATATACTCAGCTGATCCACTGAATAAAAACGCATGAAAACAAAGCGCGTAGCAACAGAATGTCACTGCTACTCATTCTTATCAGCTTCGTCTATTTACGTCTAATAACAGCAGAAGAAAAGTGTCTTATCGGATACTATTGTGCTCATAATGGCACGGTCGACAATTATTGTAATATGAAAATGGGACACACGGCGATGAGTTCTGCAGGACAGTCAACGTGTATTCCGGATTTGAAAATTAAGAATGTGTTTGGTGATGATGCCCGGGTTCAGGTTACTTCAAAAGATTATCCATGGCGTGCAATTGGATATTTAAATACCGGATGTACAGGAACGTTAGTTGGACGAGATCTAGTATTAACTGCAGCTCATTGTGTGATCGATTCGAATACTCAACAACTGAATAATATTAGGACTTTCTATCCGAATCAAATAAATGGAAAGGCGGAAGATTCGTCCGAAATCACTTGGGTTTGGTGGGGAACAACGAAACCAGATACGTATCGTGAAGATGATTGGGCTCTTTTACGTTTGAAGAAGCCATTGGGTGATCAATACGGATATTTTGGATATAAAACTCTTGACGACAGTGCAATGCTAGCTGCGCAGGGAACATTAGTGGGATATTCGGTGAATTTTCTCAACGGTCGAACAGCTGGAGCACACATCGGATGTCACATTATGAAGAAACTACGTAACAATTTCTATCTTCACAATTGTCACAGTGGTCGAGGATCCAGCGGCGGTCCGATTTTTGCATTCTGGGATAATAGTCCGTATATTTACGCTTTGAACGTAGCTGAGTACAGAAATGGTGGCACAGAAAGTTTATGGTTATCTCAATATACGGAAACAAATGCCAATATTGCTATATGGTCGCAACAACTCTTTGAAAAGATTGACGAACTTCGAAAGTCTTGAAAACTTATTGAATAATCTAATAAAAGTGAAGAAAGTTTTGTCCATGTGTGTTCGCACATCATGGTGTATTTTTGACAGCTTAGATAAAGATCTTAGACGATTCCTCTGTTCTGTTACGTATTAAAAAGATATTTCGCAATCAATCAACTTTTCGGAGGTGTTGCAGGCATGTTCACAACATACCTTCACATCATTCTCCATCTGTTTTCTCTTATCATTCTTCTGCATTCTTCTTTGCTCTGTTTTCGAATAAACAGATTGAGTTTCAAAACAAAAAACTGAAATTTAGACTAATTTTTAAGAATTCAAAGGAAAAATTGTTAACGATGTGATTTTGAAAACGAAAAACATGATTTTATATTTGATTTGGACGTTTCGTCAAGTTTAATTGACATCTTCAGCACCATCTCCATGACCAACACTTAGATGATAGTCTAGTGACATCATATGACAAGAAAATTCAAAACGAAAAACTGTCAATTAAACTTGACGAAATGTCCAAATCAAATATAAAATCATGTTTTTCGTTTTCAAAATCACATCGTTAACAATTTTTCCTTTGAGATTGAATTTCGTCTCTCAAGCGAAGGCAACGCTAACATTGGTGCCATGACCGGCTTTAATTCTTTCTTTTTCCTCTCTTTCTCTATTCGTCCGTTCAATTCGTTGAATATTCAATTCTTTTTATACTCACGTCTACTAATCACTCGTTACTCTTTATTTATCTGCACTTGTTTATTTACTCTTCTTGTTCCACACAACCATCATGGCCCAATTTCCATCACGATGTCATTTACGTAACAATCCTACATCGGCAACTGTAAGACGACACGAAATTATCACTTACGGCCCTTCTCGTCATCGTCGGAAAAAGCCTGATAATAACAATGACAGTCATCCGGTTACATCGTCATCTGTTTCATCCTCCACCACTACAGCAACTGCTCCATTTCCCGCTTCTTTACAAGCTACGGCTTCGAAAGAATTACAAAAATTTACTGGTGATCCGTCACAGAAAATCACTCATTTCATCAATGCTATCGAACTATTACGCTCTTTCATTCCATTGAGTGATGCCATGCTTCATTCGATCGCTTCTCTTGTTCTTCTGTGTTTTCTTCTTTCTCTTCCTCACTCTATATACGCGTGTGTCTTATTGTGAAGTGGTCACATTCTGGTCATGTAGAGTACCCAATAAACATCTATACTGTGAGAAGCGGTCAGCTACTCCACCAGTTTGTCATTACATGGCGAACCTGGCAGAATAGATCCTTGCAAAGCCTGAAGAAGAGTAGACCCTTGCCAAAAATAACATCAACAAATCAATATTATCGTCGTCATCCAGTTAACCCGGCCTATGAAGAAATCGGTGTGAAGCTAGCACGAACAAACGATATGTTAGCTAGAAGCTTTTTTACTAACTATGTTCCGTGCATGCAAACTACACCATTCGATGCAGAATTAAATTCTGAGACACGCGGTGTAGTTTTCATGGACGGGACATACTTAGTAAAAAAGTTTTTAGCTAACACATCGTTTGTTCGTGCTAGCTCCTTCGTGCTAGCTTCACACCGATCAAAGATCTATTCATGAATTTTTCAAGTCACTCTAGTGAAACTTTGTATTAATCTGTTAAAATGCCATAATTATAAATATTTGAACTTTCTGAAATAAAATGGTGATAAAGTATAAAAAAGCTCTTTTCGTTTCAAGAATTATGATGATGGTAAAAATACCACCATTTTTGCTTACACCCCTCCCGGATGAATGCCCTATCATACAGAACGATTTTCGTCGGTCCCAACAATGTTCACATTAGAGAAGTTTTACTGTAATTAATTTTCATTATTTGAAGCAGAAATACCTTCGAAAGTATCGCGAAAGGTCATTGTCATCGGGTGATCAGGACCAAGAGACTTTATACTAATGTCTACAGCACGTTGGCTCATTTCTAATGCTTCTTGATCTCGTTCTAGCCAATAGAGAGTATTGGCCATATTATTATAGATAATTGCTAATGCATAATGTGTCTCTGGCAATACGCGTCGTCGAATTTCCAGACAATGTTCATATGCAGATAAAGCCTGTTCATAATGTTTCTGTCTGTGATATAAGATTCCAAGATCATTGTATGATACAGCTAAAGCAGGATGTAGAGATGGTAAAATTTGACGTCGTATCTCGAGTGCTTGTTCAAAATATTTGATCGCATCATCAAGTCGATGTTGTTCAAGATGGACTGTTCCCAGCATATGCAAACAATTTGATTCTTGTTCGATTTTTGATTGAGCTTTTATTGTTTCATCTCGATTAGCGATTTCTGTGAGAGCACGTTGAATATATTCAAGAGAAGAATCCCAATTACATTGATCACAATAGACTGTAGCAATTGCGTATAGAGTTGCTACAGTTGAAAAGTTTCTCTCTCGTTCTGATTGTGGCAAATATCGAAGGGATTGTTGATAGAGTTTCAATGCATCTTCCAAATGTCCTTTCATTTTTTCAACACATCCCAATTGATGTAAAACAAAACCAAAATCTTCACGAGAAGACACTTGTGTTAGAATGATTGAATAGATTTCTTCTGCACTATCATTTTTGCCCATATCATACATAAGACGTGCAAAACTACTCAAATCAATACGACCCTGTAAATTATAATTCCACATATAATTTGTAAGAGTACTCAGTTCGAGATCACTATCCGTAGTAAGTGTTATTTGTATAAACCAAATTCCATTACCAAATTCGGGATATTCCTTTACATTTTCAATACGAAATACACTTCCAAGCGAGAAAAGATATTCTTTCTCAGCTCCAGTAAATGCACTAACTGAATCAATATCAGCGAAAGAACCTATTTTTGTATTTGTCCTTGGTATATTAATTTCAAATACAACCGATACCGTATTAATTCCATCAGATATTCCAGCAAATAAAAGAGCTATTTGTTTATCCAAAGAAGTTGAAAAGAAACTATTGATTGACAAAAGTCCACCAATTTTAGACCGAATTTCATTAAAAGCAGACGTCGTCAATTGTTGCCCTCGATAAAGAGTGAAGACAGATTGTTGTCGATGAGATTCTAATGAGGAAAGTTGATCTATTTCCCGATGTAGATGTCGAATGAATACACGCATTGCATACATTGTTTTTATATTTTGAACACGACAAGCTTCGTTAAGCATTTTATAAAGAAATCCATCACAAGTATACCACCAAAGAGCTGAACGGTTATCTTCATTTTGTTCGTATCTATCGAGAAATGTCAACGCCGATTGATTATTGATTCGAGCAAAATATTTTCTACAATAAGAAAGCATTTCTTCTCTTTCAATTTCCTCATTTACTGGCACATTGGTATCGAGAATGAGTCGTTTGAATAAACATGTGTACATGAAACCTGCTTCTTGTTCGTTTCTTTTTTGTTCATTTAATGATAAACAAGTATTTTCTTTGTTAATCACGTTGAAAGCAAGCGATGCATATTCTTCACTCGAAATTAATTCACGTTTTAATTCTGTAGGTGACATGATATTCTTTGTTTTAAGCGATTCAGGCATTCGTCTAATTTCATTGGAATTATATTGGAAATAAATTCGATGTACATTTTTTCGTAATTGTAGAGTCGATAAAAGATGTTCAAATTTCTCGTAATTCGTCGATGATAAAAAATTAACAATAAGATAAATTCGAATATCATTCTGAAGATTAGTAATATACTCCAGACATTCACCTATATTATTGAATATTTTTGCATTGGGAAATACCATAGATTCATATTTTCTTTCGAAATTTTCAGTAGAATTATTTAACCAAATAATAATAGTATCAGTTGACCATTGTTTTTCTTTTTGATCAATTAACAAACCTTGTTTTTCTAGCCATTCATCATCGATACTCATGTTTAAACAAACAACGAATACACATATGCTACATCGTTTTTTTTAAATATATTACTTCCTATGATGTGCTATGACGTAGATTTTTCATCATTCATGCATAACACTGACTCATATTATTTGATTATTCTATATCGATGATATGTATGTACACAAGCTCATTTTGTTATCGTTTATCTCGTAGAGAAGAGTCTTAGAAACATAAAATGTTTGCTTGCTTGTGTGTCCGCACTTCACTGATTGGTCGGAAAATCAGATGAAACTAATAATCTAAATCTCTTTCTTAAAAGTATGGTTTAGGAGTTTTTTTGGGTCGAGGAATCCGAATTTGATGTTAGTTTTTTTAAATTTCTCATTAAAAAAAATTTGAGACAAAGGACCATTTTTTTACGAAAAATAATTTTTTTTTTCATGAAATTTGACCAAAGGGTTTCTTTGGGTCGATAAGCTCGAATCTGGCGTTATTCACTCTACCGAAAGGAGGGTATACACAGAATTTAAGCTAAAAGTTCGTTCGCCCATTCGTCCGTTCGTTTTATTTCGTTGAAATAGTATATACATGAAAGACAGGTAGCCATTTCTATTAGGTTCGAAGAATTTCAGCGAATACGTTTCTATTGAGATAAGGTGTCTGAGGCGCATTGTAAAGAAAAGTCGTTTTGATATTACAAATATAAAACTAATGAGCCATGTTCGCATATAGTACCTTGACCACTAAATAGCTAGGACCGTGCCCAAGAAAAATTCAACCATCTTCTTTTGCAACTTTTACCATATCCACAATTCAAGAATCACGTTATATGCGATCGTCTCTATCATGTTTTTCGCCTTTTTTATCTTCTCTACTCTTTTCTTCCTCTCCTTTATCATTCTCTTTCTATTGATGATGATCGACTCGATTCTTTCGAAATGATAAATCATTATATCGTGCCCAGATCGAACAATCCCATACTCGGACCCCATCGGACCCAATATAGGATTTTATCAGATCCTACAGGAATTCGACGGATCCGATGAAATCCGGGTGACAGAATCGCATTGGATTCCGACGGTCTCGGATCCCATGTCGGATCCGAAACATGGATTTCCTGGATTTTCTAAGGGTCATCATAGAACATAGCTAAAAAGATCGCTCATAAAATTTGCAACAACCGACGGGATTTTTCTAGTCGGATTCCAATGTAATTCCGTTTCCAGGAATCCGATTGGATTTTGTCGGATGGTCGGATCCGGTCAGATTCAGCATCGGATTTGTTGACCTGGGTGGCCGCTATTGAACAAGAATGATAAAATGAATAGTTTGAATGTGTCATTTTTTTTATTAGAGTTATCATTTCGAAAGAATCGAGCCGATCGTCATCAATAGAAAGAGAATGTAGAAGAAGAAGATAGAGAGATAGGAGAAGATAAGATAAAAAACAAGAAAAATGAAATAACTGTTGGAAAGTTGTTAATGAGAATTTTAAAAAAATCAGTGCTTCTTTGCCACAATATAGCTGCGACGTGACCAACGAGCAATGTGTCAATATGGCTCATTATTCAAACGCTGTACAAAAGCACTAACCGAGTCTTATATTTAGATACTATATATCGGCGCATTCGTCGTCGTGTTCAACAAACGCAGTCTCCAACTCTTGCTGCAATCGAAGATTCCGGTTTGTCGCATTTACATCCGATTATACCACCTTTACTGGAACTTCTCCAACATCACCAACATCCGTATATGCCACAACCTGCATATCCACATTCCACTGTCTATTCATTGAAGCTTCCCAGGTTATTATGGCACGGTCGGTTCCGGCCGGTTAGGTTCGTTTTCCGACCATTTCCTTGCCGCCGGAAGTTCAAACGTAGGTTCCAGTCATTTCCCGGCTGTTTCCTGCAAACTTCGACCTGGAAACGGTCAGGAACTGATCGGATATTTCCTGTGCAATTCCGGCCGGAATCCGGCTGCAAGGAACCTGCCGGAACTTGCTGGAATCGGCGAAAACTGTGTCGGAATCGAGAAGAGCTGTGCCGAAACCAGCTCAGATTTCAACGGATCCAGTCGCCAGAATGATCGACCTGGGTTCCAGTTTTCAAATTTTGAACACCTTTTGTTATGTTCATGCATTCATTTTCACATTTTTTATTTTTCTTTTGCACGAGCATACGTTCTTCATTTCTTCGAAATTTCTCTATCTTGTTTTACGCGTCGTTATTTCTCAATGTGTGGACACATTTTTTCGTCGGTGGGGAAGTATGTTACAGGCATGTTCACAACATACCATCACATCATTCTCCATCTGTTTTCTCGTATCATTCTTCTTTGCTCTGTTTTCGAATAAAAAGATTGAGTTTCGTCTCTCGAGCGGAGGCAACGCTAATAGGAGGAAAAAATACACCGAATGATGTCTAACAGATCGCATTTATTTTCTCTAAATCACACTAGCACTTTCCTATTTCGGAAATGAAAATGGTCTATTCAAGCAACGTTCGTCTGTTCAATATCTGACTCTCCTAAAACAAATTCAAGCTGATCATTATAGTTCTACACTTCATATGAAAAATATAATCTTACATCGTACGAAAATGTATTTTCAAAATTTTCCGTTTTCCGTCATTGGTTTATATCAATTTAATTATTTTTCTTTTTTTTGAGTTTGATCCATATGTTTCGAAAGCATGCTTTTAGCTTGTCGGTCACGCCCTCATAACAGAGTGATGCATTTGTCGATTCTTTTGTCGGACTGTGGCGACGAGCAACTTTATTCTTAGCGAAAACAAACAAAAGAATTGATAAAACATTCATTTTGATCTAAACTTCATTCAAGGCTTTCTCAAAGAAAGTTTTTCTTCGTCAATGGAGGGTTGTTGGACATTTGTAGTGGTATTCCCTCCAAGACTGGTTGTTCTCTCTTCTGATTTCTTCATTGCATCTTTGGAACAAGATAGCAATTTCCATATTGCTTCTTTTATCGCTGGTGTTTGTAAAATTGTGATAACATGAATGAAACTCATTCCAATAGCAATGAATACGTAACTAAGACGATAGGTTAGATAATGTGTTTGATATTGATTTCTTATTGCCTGGAAAAACAAAGTTAGATAAACTATACCAAGAAACATTAATGAGAACGTTGGCAAGACCATCCGTTTCAACATTGTGAAATGCCGATCGATTGTTCGTCGACGTTTAACAGTAATCGATGTTGTTTGACGAGTGTAAACATAAATCCAAGCATAGATACTCACGAATATGGCGATGAACACTCCATATACAGAAACGGCTATGTATGTGACCGAGATTGGTTTTGTAAATGGAATCGGACAAAAGAATTCAGTTGGAATGTAAACAAATGCTCGTGTGAGTAACATTGGTAGGACGAGTAGAAAGGAAAAAATCCATTGAAAACAACACCAAAAGACAAATGTTATGTAGCTATATTGTTTTTTGTAAAAAATCACTTGTAAAAGACGATAATATGCTTGAAGACAATAGCTTGTATAGAGCAAGGAGAAACCAGTAAAAAGGAAATAGGAACGCAGTGGACAAAGAACTTGTTGATCGTAAGTATTCGTAATGGTGGCATTGGGAAAAATATCGTTCATGATGATGTGACCATAGATAATCAAGTTGCTAATACAGAGTTCGATTGTACAAACACACGTGTTAGCAAGTAAGAGATTCCCAATGACATGATGACCAGTAAACTTACGAAAAATAACAATTAAGATTAGGGATGAAGTAAAAACTCCATTGAGCAATGAGACAATACCGATAACATCGAGAGCAAGAAAGAGAATCCAGAACTGCGACATTCTTGTACGACAGAAAGTGGGAAAATGAAAAGGCTAGAATCTTTCTCAAATCTCTTTAATTATCTCAGAGATCTCTTTACACTTCTCTGACATATGAGATAATCTTTGATTAGAAACAGGCGAGCACTCACCTTCTGTCTTCATATTGCATGCAGTGCATGAAAACATAGATAAACCATAACATATTCCCATCTGAATTTTGTATGAATCAAAGAAAGAAAAAGAAAAAGCTCTTCTAGGGAACAGTAGAGTGAACAGAATAACTAATTTTGATTTGATCTGCGCTACTTCTCAAATTACAGTATGCCTGAAATTGCCTAGTAGAACATTGTTTGAACTGTTTGACTTCATAACATGACCACTATAGAGTTTCTTTTGATATATAACAGTTTGTTGAGTCGGAATTGATCTTCATTGTTGTTTGCCACATCTAAAGAGTAGATATCGCCGTTGTTCATAGAAAATTATTTCGTAATACTCAGCTTGTCAATGTATTGATTTAGAACGTTTTACATCAGCTGGCAAGACATATCCATCACATAATAATGGCGAATACAAAGGCCAGTTGTAGATAATACAGAACTGTTGGTAAAGTATTGAGCAGAAATTGACGTAAACAATATTAAATGGCAAGTTTAAAGCGATTGTCAGTGTCACCTGAATTAACACTATAAAAAGCATTTGATTTTCCTGATGGTTGAGAAGCCAAGAACAGCTTGACATGTAGAATTTGGCGACACATCATACGCCATTGTGTAAGGCAAAGCTAATAAAGCCTAAAAGGTGAAAATGCTGACTGTCATAATTTGATGAATTTCTGAATGGCTGGATTCAATGAACTGATACAAAAGCGATCGATTGCAATCAATGCCGGTAAAGTGAATGATAAACACGGTCTAGAGAATCGAAAGAAATGGCCAAAGTCGTGATGACAAAATTTCACTATCACGATTGACATTCACTACCGCTATTCCTTCAATGAGAGCAAATGCATGGATCGTGATAAGATTCACAAAGAATATGTCTACGAAATAAATGTATAAATGTAAGCAGATTTGTAGAGCAGTACCGATGATACCAGCGAAATAAAGGTCAATCAATATAGAAGGATTGATCTTGCCGAAAATCACTAATGTTCCAGATAAATCTTTAGTCGACGACATAAGTGTTTGATTTTTAGATGAACTATACTCTTTTGTGTGCTAAAATAAAGTCTATGCAAACTTTTCTTTGTAAGTAGATTCTAATTATGAATTTATTTGATGGAAATATCTTGAAGACACACGAAAAGCCGTTGTGACAATATGATAGTCGAGTTTTCATTTATTTGTCGATTCAGTTGGTTAATATTCAGATATCAAACTTATTCTTCTAATCAGTTTTGATTATGATCACAACGAGAGTTAATTTGTCCAAAGTTAGATCACCTATGCGCAAAATCACACTGGAAAAGTCAAAGTTTACCTTATGGTACTTTATGTCAATGAAAGCACACAGGTCATCTCACGCAATTCGCATATCGAAGTCGTAATATTCTCTTAATTAAGAGTCTTCACTACATATAGTGGACATCCAAAAAGAGTTTAAGATTATAAAAGTTGTACGTCACACTTCAAACACGGTAAAATAATTATTGTGGTTTAAGAATGAGCGAACCGTGCCTTTTCTCCCATTACTGTACAGCTTGTTTATTTCGATCAAAAACATTTGACAACAGTAGTCGAATATCAGAACACTCAATAATACTTAACAGAATTTATTCCACCTCACTAGCTCTAATAGGGATCAAACCTGACTTTGTCCCTGATCATATGGAATTCTGTCCAATGATATCGAAATTGAAAGCATCGACAATGTCAGTCTAGAACAGACCGAATCTTCCATACTTTCAAGACGCTCATAACTGAACTTATACACTACAGTCGTCGTGTTATAGATGTTTCAACAGATGTTGAAATATTGCAATATGTTTTTTCCCAATTTGCGATATATTCAACAATCATTTCTACGCCCTCTGGATTAGTCATCACACAAGACAAGAGAAAGGGAAACACGTATGGTATATGATGTAATCATCTGAGTCATATTGTCAGGTATATAAAAGACAGACTGCTTCATGCTTTCTTGTTTCTTTTTTTCTTCCTTGCCAAGGTTAATAGTTAAACTATGTCGTCGACAGATTCTACACAATTGATTCAATCAACAACTGCGTCGGATGATTGCTCGATCTGTTTGAATAGTCTTACATCGAACTCGATTTTGTTAACATTGACATGTAATCATAGATTTCATCTACAATGTTTGGCTTCGAACATTCAAGCACGGAACAACGTGTGCCCTCTGTGTCGATCAGCGATTGATGCAACTGCTGTGCAATTACTAGCAGGTGTGACTCATCCGCCGCAAACACTACCGCTTTACACTCCGTCTCCTCCTCCTCACATACCGATTCGACCACACTCGGTGCCAGTAAGTTTTCTTTCTGTACGTAAGGATACGGCACAATTCTACGTTTTTATAGACAATTCCTTCCGTGGAAGATCCAATTGATGAAACTGCAGTACAAGCTCTCACAGCTCGAGTCTCATCTGCACGGCAGACTGCTGCTATTGCCGCTTCAGCTGACACAGCTACCGATCGTCCAACGATCACGGCTACAACAACGCTGGAATACTGTGCTCAACCACTTCAGCCTGCTTCAAACATCTACGGTCTAGTCACACTCCAAGCTCCTCCACAAATCATCTCATTGAACGATGCGTCGTCAATACCAACTCGTGTTCCCATCGATCTCGTTTGCGTTGTTGACCAAAGTGGATCGATGGCTGGCGATAAATTGACTTTATTAAGACAAACTCTTGTTTACATAACCGAACAATTGAATGATCTCGATCGTCTAGGAATCGTCTCATTCGATACTCGGGCTTACAATCGTTCACATGGATTAAAACGAATGAATCCACAAAAGTAAGCCCGTTCTCATTACTCAACAATCCATTATCCATTTCTTTTCAGTCAACAGACTTTAACCAACGCAATTAATAATGATATTGTTGATGGCGGTGGTACATTCATTGGATGCGGTCTAAAGATGGGTATTGATCTATTGAAGGATCGGCAAACGAAAAATCCCATTGCCGCTTTACTCCTACTCACCGATGGTCAAGATAATCAATCGCACGACTATACAGAACTATTATCGACATTGCCGACCGATGTGTTATGTCATACGTTTGGTTATGGACCTGATCACATAGCGAATCTTCTAGTAAAAATAGCGGAAACAGGAAACAACGGCAGTTTTACATATATCGTACGTTTCTCTTTTTGAAAGCTTCGAATTTGTTCTTTTTTTTCTTCTTTATGTACAATAGGATCAAGAGCAAGCAGTAGGTGCCGCTTTTGCCGTAACATTGGGTGGCTTATTTAGTTGTGTTGCAAAACAAATTCAAGTTCGAATTGAACTTAATGGGCAATATACTATCACTGATATACATTCGAAATATCCACATGAACCAACAGCTTTACCCTCGAATAAATTGACAGTCAAATTCAATGATTTGAATGCTGATGAAAAACGGAATCTGATTTTTCAATTACATGTGCCCGAAATCGAAGAAAGCCAAACTATTGACATGAACAGTCAAAATACCATGTCACAAGACGTACAACTGGCTGATGTGCCTTCGGTGATAGGCCATGTCTCAGTCACTTACATTGATCCCAATAATGATCAAACAGTAACAACGATACCTGTTCCTTTCGAATTAATTCGAGCAGCAGCGCCAACCTCTGAGCAACTTCAAGTCAATTATACTCTCGATTTACAACGAAACCGTGTTGAAACAGCTCGTGGACTAAAACGAGCTATGGATGAACGTGATTATCATCGATCGCGAAATATTCTCAAAGATCAAGTGAAGAAAATCAAAGCAAGCGTTTCTGGCAATGATCCATTTTGTCTATCGTTAATTCAAGATCTTGCACATCATTATCCGTCGGAAAATGCCTATCGTTCATCACACAATAATACGTACATGCAGCATTCGTCGGAACGAGGTACCTATGCACCGACAACAACATTTAGTTCACTGATGTATCAAAGTCCTTGTCAACAGCAGCAGGCAATGCATTTTCAACAACAGGTACCGATGCGACAACCGCCTGTTCAACTACAATCTCAACAACAACAACAACAGCAGCAACAACCAATGCCTGTTCAACCACAATCGCAACAACAGGAAAAGCCGGATGAACAAAACAACGACCAGATATAACTTTCTTCTTTCTGAGCGTTATTTCTTGACTTTGCTCTCATAATCATGAAGTATAATGGAAATTGTAAACTGTAGATTCACAGTGCTCGCTTAAAAAAAGTATCTTGATGAACTTGATAACGAATAAATATTGAATATATTCATAGCATAATAATTGCATATAAAACAAGTAGATGAGAGTGTCGATCAAAACCCGGATGTCTTAGGAACTTTTTTTTTATCAGATTTTCCGTAAACATCATTGTTAGTGAACGTTACTTTCTGATGTCGAACAATGCCGAAGCGAGCAAAGATTTTCGCACAAACTAATTACATTTCTACCTAGAGTGCATATTAGTGCTGTACTACAAGAACAGATCACCCTTGATAAAACTTTATTAACTGTAAGAAGATTGTCAGTATTAACGTCCGAATATGTTTTTCAAATAGAGGCAAAAAGTTAGAGAAACGTCTTTTTAGATCATTATTATTGTGAAAATAAGCTTTGACGCAAGACGAGCTTGTGTCAGCCTCAGATATCTCAAGGAAAGAAACTTAATTAATCATCTCATGTAGTCAAATTATACTCAGAATATTTACTCAGTAAAAAAAAGATATGCGCAACTTTCAACGTACGAGACGAACAAAAAAATTCTATTAACTGTCATTTCACACTTGTTCTTCAAGAAGAATAATTAAGTATGTCAGCGGCATCTCAACTCAATATATCTTTATTGCTAGTTCAACAAGTATTGACACGTTACGGTTATCCACTGATACTTCTGTTGGGTGACTTTGGTAATATACTCAACATTTTTCTTTTTCTGCGAAGAAGGTTGCGAAATACTTCGTGCAATATTTGTAAGTGACATTTGTCAGACTCGACGAGTACAAAATACGCATTTCAACTCGTTTCTGTTTAGATTTTCTCGCATCGGCTTTTACAAACTTAGTCGCACTCAATGTTGGTATCATTTCATTGCTCTATGTGTATGAACAACCGTCAGCTGTAACTCTAGCGTATTGCAAAACTCGAAACTATGTCCTGAATATCTCTCAGCAAATGTCACGATTTCTTATCGTGCTTGCATGTTTCGATCGCTTTGCATTATGCTCAACTAATGTTGGTCTTCGAAAGGTTTGCCAAGTACACATCGCTCTTCGCTACATTATTCCGTCTATCATTGTCATCTGGATGATTATTCCATTGCACATACCGATTTCTTATAGCATTTCGAAAACTACCTGTATATTTCCAGGAATGATGGTACTCTACAACGGGATCTATGGTATAACCATGGCTGGTCTATTACCGCCTGGACTAATGCTAACATTTTCTTTGCTTATATATCGTAATCTGAAACTGAAACAAATACGTCGACGACAACAGATCTATCCGTTAGTGAACAATCCTAGTGTCAATCCGAGAATCCGACGACAACAGATAAGAGATCAACAAGCTCTGGCTATGTTATTGATACAAGTAGTTATTTATGTCAGCTCGACGACTCTATATACAACTAATTTGATGTATACTGTTTTGACAATGAATGACGCAGCGAACAAATCGAGCGAACGAAAAGCGATCGAAACGTTTGCATCGTTCATTGCTGGCATCCTTGTCTTCGTTTGTCCATGTTTATCATTCTATTCGTTTACATTAGCGTCCCGTCTATTTCGAAAGGAATTTCGATTGATGATGTGTCATCTTTGCAATGAACGATGGCACTTGCCATGGTTAACACACAGCAACAGAAATGATACTACAAGTAATGCCGTAGCAGTTCCCAACGCCATAACTCAACCGAGAATGACATAGTTTGCTTGCGATGATCGTATTTTAGAACTGTTTTTGACATCTTTAGTTACGCAACACATACAAAAGTGAAACTTATCTTCATGAACTAAATATTCCGCCGTATACATGTGAATATGGTGTCTCAAATAAGATTTACTTCTATCCCAAAATTCTCACTTATACCCTCAAGATTTATATAGTTATGAAGTTATTTCGTCTGTTTGAATCTTTTCCATCAATATCGAAAGTGTTTCCATCTTCTCTCGAACCATTCGTACTTCATAATGATCATCTTTGAAAAATTGTAATAGTATGTTTAAGCTCTCCTGATAACATGCCATTCCTCTCATGTAATCGTTCATTCGCACCAAATTTGAAGCCATATGGTGAAGAGTGAATCCAATGTCAGGATGTCCATGAGAATGAGCGCTTCGTTGTAAAGGCAGAACTCGTTCGAAAATTTCCTGCGCTTCTTCAAACTGCCCATTGTGACTGTAAGCTGTAGCAAGATACGTTTCTATAGAGTTTAAATACATATTCGATGGTTCACTTGACTTAGCCTTCCAATAATGACATGCTAACTTCAAGGTTTCGATTGCTTCTTCATTTTTTCCCATATCTAGATAAGTCAAACCTAAAGAAGAGTAGGGTTGAGGAGTTCCCGTCGGGAAAAGACTTGTGCGCATAGCTAATGCATTCAATTGACAATTGAGGGCATTATCAAATTCTTTTCGGATACGATAAATAGAACCAATGAGATTCAAACAAAAAGCCGTGAAGACATGACCTCGAGGAAACTGTAGCATCCAAATACTATATGCCTCACAATAATGATCAAATGCTCGCTCCCAGTAGCCCAATGCTTGCTCATTAATGCCTATCGATCGTAATGTACTTGCTCGTGAAGAATGATCTTCTGGAAGATATCAATTCTGATGTTGAAGTGCTTGATTCAGATAGTCAAGTGCCTTTTCAAATTGCCCAAGAGCTTCGTAGGTGCCAGCAAGTGATCTCATAACACTGATCCGCTTCGGATGATATTCTGGTAAAGACTTTTCATATATTCTCAGCGCTTCTCTCCTATATGTCAGCGATTCATGATAGCCGACATTATTTCCATACCAATTTCCTATACTTTTCAGTGTGTCGGCAATATGGACGTGATCTGCATGTAATGTTCTTCGTTGTCTTTGTAGTGTTTCGTCGTAGATGCTCAGTGCTGGTTTCAGTTGATTTGTAAAAAGCAATAAATTAGCCAGACGAAAACGGCACCGAAGATAGAAAATGTCATCTTTAGACATATTCATTTGATCGAGCCTTGAGAGACCATCTTCTAGGCACAATCTTGCTTTTTCGTATTCGCACATATGATAAAGACAGTCGGATTGGTTACAAATTATGTTTGCACGATTAGATACATCGCTTGGATCCAGCCTAGAAATGAGTAATGCGAAATATTTGACTGCTCGTCCATATTGTCCCATGTGCATGAGTATTCGTCCAAAACTGATTTCATTCGTAGCAGTTTCTACGTCAGATTTCGAAATTTTTAGATAATCATCGAGTGCTTCTCGGCCCTCGTCTGTCGCTTCCAAATAAATTCGCCAGCGATGTCCATTAAGTTCTTCAAGAACGTTGACGACTCGAAAAACAGTGAATAGATTGAACAGCACTTCTTCTTCGGCTTTATTTGTGCTCAGTTTGTCGATACGTGCAAAAACTGTGAATCGAAGGCGAGTATTCACCTCAATCTGAAATATCACACTTCTCTGTGATGCATCCTATAAACCGTCAGATCCGCTGAAAGCTTCAGCTACACGTTCATTTAATGACGCCGAGAAAAATGCATTGATTGAAACAAGCTGATCAATATTCTTGATAAATTTGTTCAGCTCCCAAACAAACATCGTCTGTCCACGGTAGAGGGTTACAGTCGATGTCGAGAAAGGTTCCAACTGTTGTTGTCTTTGCAGTTGGGAGCAAAGATCCACAATGAACGCACGATAAGTATAAAGAGCATCAATATCGATTGTTCGTAATGCTTCATTCACTCGGCGGTAGACAAAACTATCCTTCGTGTACCATTGGATACTACTTGAAGGACTATAACTCTTACGAAACTCGTCGATTGTCTTCAGTTGAGTGGCATTATCCCGGTAGTGATCCTGGCACGCCGCTATCATATCGTCCAAATCATGAGCACCAGTTGGAAATTCCTTAAGTATTTCAAGTAACATTTGTGACCACATGAATGAAGCAGCTTCTGAGTTAAGTTCGGACATAGTTCGTTGACCTAAATTCCAGCAAGATATTGTCGGTGATTCTTGTTTTGTCAATTGGGTGATCGATGCAATTTGCTGTGTTAGTGCTATTGAATCAGGAAAATAGACAAGCTTTTTATCTGTTAGCGAATCTGCATTCGAGTTCAGGACATAAATAGCTTTCAATTGTGGCAGAGCACCACATTCAGAAAGAACATCTCCTGTTGCCTTTTCATTTGCAGCCACCAAAATAATACGCTCACTATTTTCTTTAATGCATTGGATGCATTCTTGTTTATTTGTAAAACTCTTGCTGTGCCGTACCGTTAATTTAATTTGTTCGAGCAATGTCCGAGAAGATTCGAATGTGCTCGAATCATCCCAAAGGAATACTTCGCATTTCTGTGCATGACACATGTTTTCATCGATCCTCGTTGACCGATAAATCGTTTGTGAGTCGTTGTACGTCTCGGTTACTCGAAAATCGAATTGCAATGGTGTAGCTTCTGTGTTGCATGAAATTTCCTTGTTACCAAACTTTGATTTCCAACAATAGTACCATAATGTTATAAAAGACATCATCTTGGAATATTTCGTTTTTTTTTCAGGCGATTACAATCTCGATTGTTACAATTGTAAGAGTTCTTTTTTTTCGCTGCAAGTTGATTATATGTGTTGAGAGACTTAGTCGGTTTCTCGTGTTCGTGATTGGATGAGAAGAAAAACATCAGCGTCGAGAAATATGTCTAAAAAAACTTTAACTACGGCGTACTTCAACGAAAAAGTTATTTGTATATTTTATCGTGATTAAAACTTCTTTATTAAGATACAGCACAAAAAAATTCTAGAGGCTATTATAACGTGTTCTTCTTCGAATACGAAAAATGATGAATGCAATAGTTGTGATTAACGCGACGATCAAGCCTGCGATCGAAAGACCCAATGTGGTATGATCACTTTTCTGTGTGAATGGGGTCGATGTCTCGCTATGCGAATCGATCGTATTTGTTGAAGTGATGACTACTTTTGTTTGATTTTTCGTCGAAATAGGATAGAATGGTGGTAAAATAATCGATGGCAACTTTTGCATCTCTGGCATCTTGTCGAACTTTAAACATACATATAGAGGACAATCATTTTCAATAGCACCCATAACATATGAACTATAACCATCTAGACATTGTTTTGCTGCCGAAGGAAGTATTACGTTTCCTTGAGAACATGAAAACATGCCGCCATAATGAGGTAAATTTCTCGTGTCAAATACTTGATCGGCTAAACATACTATTAAATCGAAAGTCACTTGAACTGCTTTAAATTGATCATTGGGACACTTATACATCCCAGTGATTGGATTCACTCGTACTGATGTATACGAACCACCGTAAACATATCTGTTAGAAATCGATAGAAGTCCTGTTAATGAATTGCGTAGCATAGTTTTACTATTGCAAACAAATAATTTTATTTCACGTCGACCAACGCCATCGGGAATATCTTTGCAGCACCGTCTTGTGTACAGGTCGCAACGTCGACATTCTTCTCTATAGACAGTTTCCGTTTGAACTGATTGGTGAATAAGATATTGATTGAAACCGGATGGACATTCAAACGTTTGTGTGTAGAAATTTTTCATATTATATTGACCGCATCTCCTAAAGTCACAAAATGAACATTGAAGTCAGATCGAGCAGATTAAATTTACCGTTGACTTACTGTGCTAAACGTCGATCTTCAGTACAAGTACGAATAAAACCTCCAAACTGAGCATTGGTTTCAGCCGGTGCACAAGAACTATCATCGACATTCGCAATCCAATTGAACGATGGTGAACTTCGATTCGTACATCCGTTGCACACATTCATTTGAACATACGTGTCAATAGCTTGAGCAATCTTCTCGCGCACACGTAGCAATGCAGTTTCAGATAGTTCGGGAATTTTATTTGAAACAATATTGATTGTTATATTCTCTACCGCACGTCGAACAATAACCGGATCAGTTTCAACTGTTGCTTGCCAAGTGTTCATCGAATTCTCTAGTAAAGATACCTTGCCACCTTTCGTTTGTATCATTCTGCGTTTGATAGTCTTTTTCAAACCTTCGGTACTATTATCGATGGATGTTGAACTATATGCGAATTTTCCGGATATACTGAACGTGCTAAAGAACGATGCTTCAGCCGCGGCATGATAACTGCGTTTGGTCTCTTCGTTAAATTGATAGTTACTATTGTAAATGAAATCCTCTTCGATAAGTGAGCCGCCCAAATGTATACGATTGGTCACATGAGTTCCATAGTTTCTTATAAACATCTGTGCAGCGTATGTAGCCATTTCTGTTTGTTCGTTTTCTAAATATGTCGATATTTCCATGAGATCGTGTTTTATTTGTGGATTCAGTGGACATGATGATTTGAGTAAGACTTCAACCATGAGGTAATCAATTTGATTGCGAAGAGTTATCGTTTGCTCTTCGCCTTGCTGTCGTTTTACATTCTGATATTCCGATGAATAAGAACCACTGATTCGAAACTTTAGATAGCCGCCTTTCGAACTGATCATCAGATTTGATGAATAATCAGTTGTTCGCGAGTCGAAGACATCGATCAATTCCGATCCTAATGAAATCCTATTTTGACGAATCGGGATGATTTCAACACATGACTGGAATACTCGAGAATCATTGAAATTCGATATATCATACACTGGATTCATGTCGAGAAACCGTAAGTCATCCCAACCATAACCGGGGAAAATGTCAATTTTCAGTGTTTTTTCTCCATCAGCTTGAGTTTGACAGATGCAGAGTAGGAGAACTAGTAAAACTTGAAAAGCCATTGTACTACTATATTAGATTATATTTCATGCGAGTTCAGTTGATGTATTTATACTCAGGCTTAATCGGAAGTAAACTTTTTCATCGAGAGAACTTATCACAAGTTTACAAAATAGTCATGAAAGAGTATGACTCAACTTTGCATTTCTGATAAGATTTCACCACTTTCCAACATGCCGCACGTTGAAATAGAAATAATGATAACGTCGCAACGCTTCAAGGACAGAAATGATTCACTTTTATGGCATAAGGGTGAGAGTGTAAGTGTTAGTGCAACTCTCGCTACTCGTACAGAACTTTTGTTGACATTCTGAAGATGATCTTTCTTTAATTTTCCAAATCTTAAAAAATCTGCATAATTGAAACGATATTTGCAGTTCATTTCGCTTGCCAAATGAAATTCGGACGACGGTCACTACCAGAAATTTTCTTTACATAACTCTCATTGATCAATATGAAATCTCTACATCTACTTTTATTAAAATACTTGTAACTGTGAAGTATTCCACAGCTGTTTAATTGCTGTAGCATAGTCTCCAGGAATGATTCTCTGATTCGGATCAATCTGGGCAAAGAGTGACTCCCATTTCATTGTCAAATCTGCTTTTCTTCTCAAATTTTCCTGGTACATCTTCTCATGAACCATCTTGAAGTCAGTTTTCGATAGTTTATCGATCAAATCGATCCACGATGAGAATGTCTGAATATGTGGCAGTTGATAATAGTCTGCAAATTGTAGCCAATAGGCGATAGCTTCGGGTGATTGAACATCTTCCGGTGAGTATGGATGATTAGATTTCGGATGTTGCTTTGGCATGTCTGTGAACTTCATTTTGCGCCCACAATAAAATGGATCAATCAATGTTCGATCAGAAACAACCTTGAGTTTAACAATGAAGTCAATCGATGGAATGAAGATTGGCACTCCTAATGCATACAATTCTGTGATGCCATAACTGAGCACAGCATAAGGTAAGAGAACAACAGCACGATGATCTGTAATTTGTTGTAGTTGGTAATGTTTATAGAGACTTTTAGCTGTTGCGAATCGAAATGATGAGTTAAGGGCTTGAGCAGCTGCAGTCATATTGATAATAAAAGGATGTCCAGCTTTCTGTAAGGGTCCGAGCAAGATTTCTGGCCTCGCTTGAGTGAACTTTGTTACATTAAATGCGTACCAGAGTGAATTGACTGGTAACAGAATTGAATCTAAGCCTGTATAGTATTTGATGTATTCTTGATCATAACGACCACCGGCTGCAATGAAATGTTTTGGTTGTTGTTGTTCAGGTCGAACAGATTGTTGCATGTGTAGAATGAGTCGATCAATTTCTGCTCGTGAACATCGGCCGAGAGTGAATCGATGTGCTGGTAGCCAAATAATCGTTCGATTGAAAGGCATGTAGATCTCACACATCGAGGATGGAAATGAACAAAAAAATGCATTCACACGAAGCATCAGAGGATCTTTGTGATAATAATTGAAAAAGTCTTGTATATCTTTTTCTGCAAGTGAATCACTGTGAGTTATGTGAGAACGCAGAAAAGGTGCGAGTGCACGTTGATCACCAGCAAACAAGATGTGAGGACGAGTGAGTGCTGAACGATAATAATTATTTCTTTGGAAATGATCTGCGATGACTATTTCTTGATTGAGACCTTGAAGCAGTGTGGCTGTGTCAACGCGACACCCATGATGTAAATTACTTGCCCAAAATGTCAGTGTTGCTCTTGGTTTGTTCGTCAGTGAACGAATTGATAGATTCGATTTCCAATAAAAATAAAGCAAAACGGTGATAAGCAATAAAACAACGATAAGAACTCGACTGCGTCGGATGAAGACGTTCATTTTCACACACTCAAGTGCGATGTTGGGTTCTGAAATATATAAAAATTTCTTCTTGCAAGAGTTAATTTGGAATGAGAGAAAAAGACAGAGAGCGTGAACAGGGTGTTCCTCTATAAAAGCGATAACACACAAGAACTAGTTGCAGCACGAGAATCGTGTAATCAGTTCCCAGCGGGGTTTTTCTCTCGCATTTGAAAAAGAATTGTAGCACAGAGTATTGCTTGACAAGCGAACGTATGTATTTGGTAACATCATCCCACTTACTTACGAGTCTGTCACAGAATATGTAAAACTTTTGTTGATAAACACTAAAAGAAGGAAGAGAAGAACAAGATGAATTATCGCCGGATATTGAAAGCGGAAAGCAATCACAAATTTAACACATACGTAAGGTGGCAGAAACGACAAGCATAATCATCAGTTAACATAAGCGAGAGAAGAATCGTGTAATCAGTTCTCAGCGGGTTTTTCTCTCGCATTTGAAAAGGAATTGTAGCACAGAGTATTGCTTGACAAGCGAACGTATGTATTTGGTAACATCATCCCATTTACTTACGAGCCTGTCACAGAATATGTAAAACTTTTGTTGATAAACACTAAAAGAAGGAAGAGAAGAACAAGATGATTTATCGCCGGATATTTAAACTGAAAAGTAATCACAAATTTAACGCATACGTAAGGTGGAAGAAACGGCAAGCATAATCATCAGTTAACATAAGCGAGAGAAGAATCGTGAAACACAGATTAAGAGGTCTCAACGTAAGTTATACGATATGCTGGATACAATACTACTTTGTGAGCGAAGGACAAAATGAAAGAATAAAGAAAAAAAAGAAAAATGAACAGATCATATTTTTGAAAGATATTAGGAAGAAAAAAGTTATACTTCGATTCTATGAATCATCATAGGCAAGTAGTATATTTGATCCGTAAGTTTTTTCAGACTATGGCTCTATATCTTATACTCGTATTTTTTGCTTATCAACTCTGCTTTTTCTCAAGAAAATTCAAGCCCATTCTCTGCTCAGTGATATTCTTTAGAAGAAGAATAAAGCTGAATCCATCCACACATACATACCATGAGTCACAAGAAATAAATAATTTCTTCCTTTAGAGAGCACGCCATATCAACAGAATAAAATTTAAATGTTTCAGTTGTATAGAATACACACGCATACATATAGGAATAGATTATAATGTACGGAGAGTATCTAAGGTGACTTATGAGCTGTACGAGTATCTTTCCGTTTTTTTTATTAATTATTAGAACTAGAGAACGACTCGGTCGATCGAGCTGAAATTTTCATCGAGTGTACAACGTTCAACATGATTCGACACCTGTTCGAGGAAGTGCGTGCTTCAGAACTTCTTGATCGGTTTGCCCTAAATATATAATGATAAAGGTAGTTTTAGGCTATTTCAAGAATCTCACTACTTTTCGTGACCTCTCATCTTCTCCTTTCGAAGTCAAGGAATCTGGTAAATGTGAATAACATAATCACAAGTGAAACTCACAAGCTAACTCTAAGAAATAGTGTCAACTATGTGAACCTGTCTGCAGGGCTGTGGAGTGATGTATATAAAAAAAGAACAAAAGGGGAATCACTCCTCGTATACTGTGTCTCACACACATATATACGGGCAAGAAAAGAGAACAGAGAGAAAGAATGATATCGACGATAGCATTCTTTCAAATGGGAGAGAAGAGCGATAAGTGATCGCTAACAAACTACTACCGACGAAAATTTCAGTCCGCAAGCGAGTAAGTTAAAGGGAAGTTATGCTTATCAAAATCAAACGTCAGGAGAAAAAAACTGGTATTGAGAAAATATAGTTGAAAAAGTGATCACATCGTTTCTAGTGTCTTTTTGCGACAAACTTCATGACTAAGATAGAGTGCTAAAGACAACGTAAATTTACATTGTATAATCATACGATAGTAATAAGAAAAATTACCATATCCACTTTAAAAATGCTCTTCAGTGTAAGAAAATTCACCAGTATGTGCTCATTCTTTTACTCTTCCTCCATTTAATTTGAAATTAAGTTAAAAAGAAACTACAAACTAGCTTTCGAAACGTATTCCATTTTGTCGTCAGGCAATATCAATTGCATAGTTCTATTTGAAATATATATTTAATAACGAACATGATCTTATTGCTTTTGTCAGCACGTTGGAATTATACAGATAAAGTTTCAGACGTGACGAAGTTATTTTACCATCGTGTGTTCTAAAACACTATGAATGTTGATCCAAGGAAGAAAAAAGTACACTTTCTTTGTCAAATATATATAAGTTATATAAAGTTAAACTCGATGTAGTTGACATTGTCTAAAGTAGAAAGGCGACGTATAATTTCGAAAGCTAACTTGTCATTTCTTTTTAATTAAATAGAGGAAGAGCACAAAGATGAGTTTGAATTTATTTTGAAAACAAAATTGACAGCGATTGTAAGAAAAAATATCGAATCAAGAAGAACACACAACTTCTTTTTCTAATCTTAAAAAAATATATGAAACGATCGTCACCGAGTCGTTATGCTATATCCAAAGGTCAAATCTTCCAGAGAATGTGAAGATTACGGTATGTTATCGTTTTATTCCTGGATGATAGGGAAATCGTCACTATTCGTCCTTGAAGTATATTCTAATCACATTTTCATACTAAATCCATCTTATCAGTTACCTTCAACATCGATTCTGACGAAGTTTACTGAGTAGAAAACTTATGGCCTTTTGTCATTGATAATTTCTAAACTCTCTTTCTAATAGAACTGAAGGACATCATGTATCATTATGGACGCAATCATCTTCCAAAGATCGTCCGCAATTTTACTCCTATCATTTGCATTTCGCTCGTCTTATTGTATGTTGCTAGTAAATTACTGAACACTAAAACTTCAACCTTCCATCTACTTGCTTCGGAACCACCAAGTCCGTTTATCTGTTCTCTTCGTGGACAACGATGGATTGTGATCACTACAATATTTTATCCAACTTTGGCTATTCATAAGTTTCTCAATCTCAGTACCCAATGGAATCTCGTTATTGTCGCTGATCGAAAAACTCCAACTGATTGGATGTCTCGTCTGCATCGTAGCGATCAGTCTCGTGTTCTCTTTTTATCTCTCGACGGACAACGATCACTTGGCTATTCGATTCTCCAGTATCTACCCGAAGGTTCGTATGCTCGAAAGAACATCGGTTATCTCGTCGCCATTGCCTGTGGTGCAAAGATTATCTTCGAATCCGATGATGACAACTTGCTCGAAACGAACGATATTCGTGTTCTGCCGAAAGAAGCCAGTCCAAACGATGTACCTTGGGTGTCTTTTCATCGACAACGATCACCTTTCGTCAACATCTATGGTTCGTTTGGTCAGCCACACATCTGGCCAAGAGGATTTCCTGTCGACGAACTTAGAAACGTCACTGAAGACGGATGGCATTCTGTCAGAAGAAATCAGGACAAAATAACCAACACTTATATTCAACAATATCTTGCTGATCTTGATCCTGATGTCGATGCCTTGGTAAGTTCTACTATGATTGTACACGAAACGAATTGTTTTCTTGCTGTAGTATCGTTTGACACATCCACTGTCGATTGGTCGAATTCAGTTCGATCCACAACAGCCTCCAATCGCTATCCAACCGTTCACATTCTCACCATACAACACTCAGAACACAGTTACACACTACGAAGCGTTTTGGGGACTTTATTTGCCTGTGACAACTACATTTCGAGTGTGTGACATCTGGCGAGGCTTTTGGGTACAACGACTACTATGGGATATCGATGGTCGTCTTGTATTTTCCACAGCTACCGTGAAACAAGTGAGAAATGCTCATTCATACATCAAAGACATGGATGATGAATCTCAGCTGTACCATCAATCAGGCTCGTTCGTTCGTTTCTTGACTTCGTGGTCATCGTCATTGCCCTCACTTGCCGAGAGAATCGCTCAACTAGCAATCGATATTGCTCACGGTGGTTTCTGGAATGTTCGAGAAGTCGACATAATGAAGGCTTGGCTTCATGATCTTCAATCTGTTGGATATGTTTTTCCATCGATCGTTTCTCGAACAATTCGCAGCACTACGTTAGAAAAGCGTGCAGTTGTATGCATCACAGGCTATACCAAGTGTGCATACACGTGGAACTCTACTGATTTTACAGTCCGACAACGTTTGCAAGGCGATATCGACACTATATTGTTTCTTTCTTCGTCTTTTATACCAAATTCCATGCCATTGATTGGTCGACGCACATCATCGCATGCTCATCTCAATGTCACAATGGCTGTTTTTTATGAGGACAGAGTCATCGATCCAATGATTCCTGATGATTGTCATATTCGCTTTCATCTACCTAAGAACACTTCTGCTCATATTCACAACTATTTGCAACAGTTATGGTCTGCGAAACAATGTTACGATCTCGTCAAAGACTATGAAAGACGATTCAATCTTCGATATCAACTACTTGTGCATACTCATATCAATACTCTTACTCGAATGCCTGAAGACACATCGTATGTGAACAGAACGGTGATATTGTCATCTGTTCGCTACAATCCACACTATGACGATGGTTTCACTCTAGGACCGTTAAATATGATGCAACATTACATGACACGATGGGATGTTCTTCGGCATTGTCCATCTGACAACAATCACCGTCCAGATATGTTTCGATTGAAGCACTTGAGCCGATTTGCTAATTTTACGGTGGATGTGCAGTCGAATGCACATGATAATGTGGCAAAAGACAAAGCGAACTATTGCTGATAAACTGTGCTGTTATTCTTTTTTTTTCATTTTTTCATTAAAGTTTCGGAAATATTGCATTGGTTAATCAGAACGTATGGTACCGAGTTCTGTCCACTAAAACATGTATGAGCAAGTGGTGATGATGAAAGGACATCTGACTGCACGATAGTTAGAACAATTCGTTGGTTTAATACAGCATAGGCAAAGTAAACGAAACAATCTTTTTTTTTTGGTAGACCGGATACAAAAAAGAAAACATTCGTTTCTGGTAAGAAATTTTTCAGTGGATGGTGAGGTGAAGATAGTGGATACAAACTACGGCTCTAGAACATTTGAGCACTCGTCATCAGATCGTATTTTAGAGAAAATAAACTACATTATTGCGAACCAATTTGGGCGATCTTTTTCCATATTTTTCAATGACGAAAATTATTTTATATATGTTTCTTTCGTTTACTGATGAATATTTGTTTGTTCTTCTTCTAAATCAGTAGAGTATTACAAGTGATGTGACCTTATTTTTCTACGTCTTGTCTTTGTTGTCTCCATACGAATCTCATCTGAAATTGATATTCGAGTATTGATTCGTATAAAATCCTATTCAAGTTCAGCACAACCAATTTTTTGTCCTTCATTGTAAACCGAAATTTGATGCTTTTATGTTACGATACGTTACTTAAATTATACAGAACAAGAGCAACATTCTTTTAGAAACTATCTATTACCTGTCTCAGAAAAGTATTCAATATACCTTACTAAGAGTATTAATCTATGAAGGTGTTTTTTTCTCTTTAAGATAATGTGCGTCTCAACTATTGTAAGAAAACCCTCAGCTGTAAGAAGAGCATTAAACATTCAAAATAAAAATCCAGTGGAAATTAATTGAAGAAATATTTTTCATGTTCGTTTCTAAATTCTTCTTTGCGTTATAATCGCCGACTGATTTTATATCTTTGATAAATTACATAAAATATAATTGTACAATGAAAGAAAATAACTAAAAAGCTGGTAACAGGTTCGCGAAAATCTAATCACTGTTTTGAAGTAGTGTATCACCAATGATTCCATAACATGACGGACTGCGAACATTGTCTGTATAAATAAAACTCCTGTTCACAACAAACGAAAGCTATGAAATATAATACTAATGAATAGAATATGTAGCTGGTTAAACACCATAAATACATACGATAGGACGTTCGAAAATTTAAGAATATGAGATAATCCAAATCATGGAAATGCATATGTGTTAAGAATGATTTTTGTTCGAATAATTTTGATGAAATGATTCACGATAACGAAGGAAATAAAAGAATAATGATAAACAAAAGAGAACTGATGGAATATCAATAAAAAGATATTTTTCTTGTAACCTCTGTTTCATTTTTCCAGTTCAGTTTTATTTCATGATACTTCTTTTATTTAGAATTGTATCAATTAAGCAAGCGTTTATTCTTTGTTTAAGTGCTATCGTCGTGAAAAAAGACCTGATCTCTTATTGCTAATCTTCTTAATCAAAGAAAATACATTAGAACTTGTGTATATCAGAGTACGACACGCATGAATTCTTCTGAACAGACATAAAAAGTCACAGAACAGCAAATAACAAGATCTTGTTTTTTCGAATACATGTTTCAATCAGGATTCGGCCAGGGCATATCGCACAAGATTTACAGAGTAACGACACAATGGGAAATTTGAGTTACTGTTGATATAACTAATCGAATATTTCTTTCCTTTGTGTCGTAATGAACATTTTCTCATGCATACAGTGATAAAATTCGGTTTTTCTTATGCATTTTTTCTTCCATTCGCCACTATATAACAAATAGTTATTGCAGCATATCAATTGAGTTTCAATTTAGCATACTTTTTTCATCATATTATATATACGGAAGGTCCGGAAGTGATCGTTTATCGAAACTTTAACAGTCTTCTGACTATTGATATCTAATATCGCCATCGCTCCTCATGATCTACTTTTTTGTTTTATTCGTTCTGAAAATATTTATTCATTACACAACAGAGTCACTAGTTATTGATTTGTACACAAAGCACTTAGTTAAGTATGCTTTTCTAAATAAACGTAATCTGTTCCAAATTATTGGTTTTTGGAATAGCCATAATTGAAATCATCAAAAGACTCTCGTGATATTAGATCGAGAGGTCATTTTCGAATGAGCTTTACTATTCGATATTTTGAAAAGAGAAGATCTTCTTTTCTTCGTTGTATAATTATCGCTCCAATTTTAATCTATTATCAGGGCGAACGAGAACTAGCAAGACTTCTGACTAACTATTTGCGTACTTCCCACGGTGGTCTACCCAGAACAGTTGGTCTTGAAATATATAGTGATATAAATCTTCATCTCTATAAAAGCTATAATGCTGAAAGCTTTAGCATAAGTTTGTCTATACTTGTGCGATCTACAATAAATACTTCAGACCGAACCTAGCTCGACATTTGAATTAGATACGAATAAGATTATAATGTGGCAGTTGCGTATATAAGCGATATAAAGGCCACAACTTAACGAAGATACGTCGTATTTCGACGAAAACTTTACTGAAGAGAAACTAAGAGCGAGACTCGTCACGACTGTGCTTCAGAATAAATCGCAAGGTAAACAAATACTATCGAGATAGTTTCCGCCTGGCACTAATACTTTTGACCACAGCTGTATTATCTTAGTTGATTTACCATTATTATGATGCTTGACTTTAGTTTATCTTTCTTCTTTTTTGTATTCTATCATTAATAGACATTTAGTGGAAAAACAAATTCTATTATTCTCACAGATCCTGTGATCTGTTCTCGCTCCTCTTGTCTACGTGCATAATATGACGATTATCTCTCAAGTTCATTATTCATTAGAGACAAAGTTGGTCGAAAACGCTATAACACGTCAAAACAATCTCTTTAAATAGCATTACGCAGAAGAGTTTAATGATTGAAAAATATATATTGAATGATTCAAATAAATGATATCTGTTAGTTATCAAAGAAATATGTTCAGTTCCTTGTTTGACTGGTTCTGTTCTTCAAATGATCTGCTAATGATTTCCATCCTTGTTTTTCAGCATTTTTTAAAGCTTCTTGTGGGTTTTTCCAATAATCTGACATTCCCATTCGATATAAACCCAGCATAAAGTTATTTGTCATCACAACTGCATCAGTATCGAGAACAAAATCAAGCTGAACTCGTTCATCACCTTCAGGACGATAAAATGGTATTTGAAATATTTTCCAAATATGTATAATATCATTATAAATCTTAGGAAATTTGATCATTGACAAACCAATTCTTTCGATCATGCCACCACTTCCGCTGCTCGTCACTGCTTGAAACAAAGGCGAAAAATTTCCACCAAGTAAAGTACGTACATCAACAACTCTATATTCCATATATTTTCTGTACAAAATTTGATTTGACATAATAAAATGATAATAAGCAACTTCAAAAAAGTAAGGTTTTCNTTATAAATCTTAGGAAATTTGATCATTGACAAACCAATTCTTTCGATCATGCCACCACTTCCGCTGCTCGTCACTGCTTGAAACAAAGGCGAAAAATTTCCACCAAGTAAAGTACCTACATCAACAACTCTATATTCCATATATTTTCTGTACAAAATTTGATTTGACATAATAAAATGATAATAAGCAACTTCAAAAAAGTAAGGTTTTCGAAATAACATTGGAACATTCCATGTTGGATATTGTGAAAGAACAACTTTATTTAAATCAGATACAATTTCTCTATCATATATCCAATGCATGATTTCAAGAGTATAACCAGTTGAGAGAAAACTGCCGGTTAGATTTTCTGCACATTCAATCATATCTCGGCCAACTTACCATCCATGCGCAGTAAATATGTAAGGTGATGAAAGATATATTTTCGATATGTGTGCTAATGACATTGGTTTGAATATAAAACCATCAGCATCCATTACCAATGAAAAACGAGTTGAAGCGCCATTAAGAACTCCAAACATTTTTTATGTGATTGAAAAAGGTACTTTCCATTCACTAGAAGACTATTATCATTCCATTTGTTTGCTTCATAGTATGGCATTACATCACGAAGACATTTAATCAGAAGATTTGGAAATGATTGTTTCATTGAAGGATCTGATAAACTGTGGTTTTTATGTAGAGTTTCATGAATTAGATTTTGACTTGCATCATCAGTGATTATGATAATTGGCACATGTGTACAATCATTACAAAGATTTCGTATTGATCGAAGAAGATTAAGTAAAGATTCGGCATGACCAGAATAGACGGGAAATACAAAACTAATTTCTTTATCACGAACGAGATTGTCAATTAATTTCGGAGGATAACCATAAAAATGAGTCTCTTGCTTTGAATAATTATGTAAATTTGAATATTTTTCATTGAAAAGAACTGATTTAGATGAATATAAAGTGATGAGAAATACAGAAGCAAAAATGAATAAAATACTTCTAACAAGTATTTTCCGTTGTTTATGCCAGAATTGTAAATATATGTTCTTACTGTTCTTCAAGGACGCGCTCTCTTCGCTTTCCAGACTATTTGATAAATTTTCCTTCTCTGCCATTGAAATTTTCTAGAACAAAGAAACAATTACATTCTTTATACTCTCAATTAGAATTTTAATCGCTTCAGTAGAATCCAGAAGAAATATGCAAAAAGATATAAGTTTCGGAATCTCCGAATGACATTTAGATAACACGAAGAAGTGTGTAGAAACTAGCTTATACATTATACTTCTCAATCTTCTTACTCAAATTGTTTGAAACTCGTTCAAATGTACACAATTGAGCATATTCGTACCGAAAGAAGATCTTTCTTAAATTGGGCTAAAGTTCTTAATTATTTCGAAACGTTTCTTTAGTCTACTTAATAAAAAGTAACAGCATTCATCAATAAATACAACGAAAACATAAACAAAGCATAAAAAATCTCAATTGAAGGAAGTTATGAAAACCCCTCCCCATGTTAAAATGCCCAGCGCACATTAAAATGCCTTTGCAGACCCGGGCCCGAAATTATGGGATCCGACGAGCTTTATTTGCCGCGAGTAACTAACATTTTATGGAAATAAAGAAAAAGATAGACTTGTTAGCGCACTGCAAAAACGTGTATGACAAAGATGAGGCATTCGGAAATATCTGCACATCAAAAAGCCTGTTAGCGCAACCCCTTTAGGACGAAAATGTGAGTGACAATAGAATAGTTACAGCTTACAAATCAAACTCTCCTTTACGCCCTCATCGCAGACGCGTACGAATATTCTTCGCCGTCAGTCTCGATGGAAACAACGCTACAACACTCATCGAAGAAATCCGCCTGTACTTGTAGTCGTTTCTGTTGTGCCTAGTCTCTTTTCATAGTTCTCTTCTTCTTTTTGGCAATCGCCTCACCAGTTCACTTACCCGGTTGTCGCACCTTGGGTCCTCTCCTCGATCGCTACTTATATTTTCTTTGAAATCATCTCTTTTCATTCTTGGCACAAATGTTTTCCCTCCATTCCTTATTCTACTTTCTCTGAATATCCTTCGTTGATATCCGTTCTCCCAACGCTCGATTTCACTTCATTGTCTCATTTTCTGTTAACCATGATGTACATCTTCTTTACTCTTCTCGCTTTCTGGTCTCTCATGTTCTCTGGTATTTTTGGTAGTGCTATTGATTTTAAACCATTGTCGCTGTCATCCAACATTCATGTTGGCATTGTTAATTCGGTCGTTGCATCCTTGCATGCTCATTCACATCGATTTCACTATCCCTGGAACGATTACTGCGATGTTTACGTGATGGTTGTCGTTAATGATATTCTGCTTCTTCTCTGTCGAGCTGTTTTCTTTGTGTCTATTCACCGCCGTCTTCTCGTTCAGCTCACACATAATCAACTTATTCTTTCGAACATCCGTCCATTTATCAACTACTCGTTTTTTTCCTTTTTCTTTCAATTTTTTTCTCTCTTTTCATTCCATTTCTGTGTTTTGCTACGCTCCTTCGCTCGATTAATGAGACGGGAATGTCATGGCTTTCGTTCATGATTTTTCTCATTTTCAGAAAACGTCATGTCTAACGTATGGTTTCGATTATTCTTTGTGAAGTTGGAAAACTTTTTTTAAAGCGCATAAATGTACTTTTCTATGCGTACATACGCTGATATCCCATTTATAGCATATAAGAAGAGAGAGAACTTCTTTTCTTATTTATATTAGTTCTTCACTTAAATGAAGTGCCATAGCGATGCATTTTTGAAGTCGTCTCAAAAGTTTTCCCTTTATGCGTCCCAGACGTTTGCAAGAAAACTGCGGTCCTGCGATTTCTATAATATACGAATAGGAAATTGGAAGGTCTTGATCAAAGACATGCGGACCGATCTGGATCTGACCAGGTGATGTTTAGACTCATATCAGAGTCAAGGTGCATAAAAATAGACTCACAGCTTCATAATTCTACTTCGAAGGATAGAGTAAAATATAGGAACTGTACTGCGAACAAGTATTCAAAACGGACAAATTATGTTTGCTCCTTTGACTGAAAGGCGGGTCATATAAGAAAAAAAGCTTGTAAGTTTGTTTGTCCATGTCAGAAATTTTAAACCCTTAAGAACTGCATACTATACTTTGCAGGTACCCTTAGTTCTTATATTCGAGACTAGTAAAAACACCTGTGGTTCTTTATATAACTATACATACGATTAGATTTCGACGAGATAAAGCTGGACGATAACTCGTCTGTTTACTAAAAATTAATCTGCTAACTATGGTAGTTGACAAAAATGAATAGTAAGCTGAATAGCCAGTCGAGATCGGCCCTCCATAAGATCGCTGATGAAGGACTAATCGCTCTCGGTGGCACTTCTCCTTATGCCAATGAGGAAAAATTGAGCGAGTTCAGGCTTAAATCCATGCGCAGTTGTATGTTATTCCGTAGAATTCATATTTTTGTTGAGAAAAAAAAACACACGATTTACGATGAAATAGTAATCGTGACTTTGGAACAATGATCTTTATCAAGTATATAGTCGATAAATAAAAAATAACATCTGTAGTAAAAATCCATCAAATTCGTCTGTGTAAGACTATATATGAGAGTGAGAAAAGATATTACTCGCAAAATGTTTTTTTTTTTATCTTTTGCATGCAAACTATTCTATAAAAAGTTTCTAGATTTAATTATTTATTCAACCGAGAAGCAAAGAATTCATGATTGGCGAGCATTATTCATAGTCTATTATGAAAACTTATAAATAGTCTTTATGGTACTATAAAATTCTATATTGTTTCAAATTGTTGCGACGTAAATAAAAAGATGAAAAGCAAAAGCTAAATTTACAACACGTATAATGTAAAACAATTTCAGTGAACGGGAATGATTTCACTGACAGAAAAACTTTTTCAATGCCGGCGATTCAGTCGAAGCCTCAACAAGTCTACATCGACGAGCGTTACTTGTTTTGATATGTTCTTCCATATTTGTGTAAACGCTCTGGAAATGTTAAGCGTCACATACTAAAGGATTTTCACACTTGATTAGTAGAATACGTATGATATGTGATACTCAAAGAGTATCTAATAAATGAACATCTTTCGTTGGCCAGTGTTCGTTTGGATAGAGAGAGTCTTTGTGCATTATTTCATTTCGTGTTTTGTTCATTTTTGATTGAATACGATTATAGTTCGATAGAGGAATAGAAAGAACCTTTTCGAAGAAATCGAATTACATTAACTTAGTCGTTTTTCAAAAATAACAAAATCCGCAAATGACCGTTAAAATAATTCGGCAGTTACTAGTGTGTTTAGAGTTTTATCATCGTTTGTTATACTTCATCATTAAAGTAGCACAGAAATGAAATAATAAACATTAGATAAAAATACCACGTGTTTGTACGATAACAGAAGATATGTCGAATTTTCACAAGTAACCGATATGAGTGTTGGCTCTTTTCTAACAAAATTTTCTGAATATCAATTCTCATCCGCATAAAATGATTGTTGCTCTTAGTATGGAATCAGAAAACAAGCTCTTTGTACTCACTACGATGAAATGAAACAAGAACGTAAAGCATAACTATTTGTCAACTATGAGCGGAGTATGAAATATGTGTCACTATTTGAATTCTGAACTGTTAACAACTATTTTTACTCTTCAATTAATATTCTGAAAATTTATATAAAAGAATGACACATATGTCATAGTCGAAGAGGTCAAATCCGAAATTCTTTTTAAAAGTCGATGAAACTATTTTCCAGATCTGCCATAGAGTTAGAAAGTAAAGGCCTAGTCAGAATCACGCGCACATGATAAACAAAATATTAGTTGATATTCAGAATGACCTTGCAGAAAAAAAATTTGCTGTTGTTTGAAATGGAGACAACGCTTGTTATTCATTGCATTGTCATATTTTTTCAGCAAAGACAAAAGAGTATGAATGATAAGATGATTTATTTTGGGTCTTTTATCTTTACAAAACACTGACACAACAAAAAATAACCAACTTATATATACTGATGTAAAATCCAGTATTTTTCATTGTTGTCCTTGACCATACAAGCTCAATATCTACCATGAAAGCTTTCATTGCTCTCTGCTGTCTTTTCGCCTGCGCATACTCTCTACCAACATTCGATACAACATTAGATTCAGCATGGGTATTGTTCAAACGCACCTATGAAAAACAATATGCATCAAATGCAGAAGAAACAACGCGGTAAGGAAGTCTTTTCTTCATTACTTGTAATACTCGTTTTTGTTTCTAGTCGATCGATTTGGGAAGACCATATTGCTCTTATCAGAAAACACAACCTTGAAGCTGATCTTGGTCTACACACTTATACATTAGGCATGAATAAATACGGTGATATGGTATGTTCTCGAAGAAATTCTCATCAAATCTGTATGTCAGTATCTTTAGACCAACCAAGAATTCGTTAAACAAATGAATGGTCTTGATCTCGGTTTAAATGTTAGCTTTTCTGGTACCTGTGACCAATATGTTGCTTCAGGCAACTTGAAACGACCAGCATCTGTTGGTATGTATTTAGGAAATTTATCTGATGTATACGAAGTTTTTCTTGATTAAATAGATTGGCGAACAAAAGGCTACGTTACACCAATCAAAGATCAAGGTCAATGCGGTTCATGCTGGGCTTTTTCAACTACCGGTTCACTCGAAGGACAACACTTTGCCAAAACACAACAACTTGTTTCACTTTCCGAACAAAACTTAGTTGACTGCTCAACCTCATATGGTAACTTCGGATGCCGTGGTGGTTTAATGGACAATGCCTTCAAATACATCAAAGAAAACAGTGGTATTGATACCGAATCTACCTATCCATATGAAGCTCGTGATGATACCTGTCGATTCAACACCAAGAACATTGGTGCCACCGACACTGTGAGTGTTTCTCTTTTCTTTTGATAATAATAATAATGTGCCTTGTCGTTTCGTAGGGTTGCAAAGACATCAAACAATACAGCGAAGATGATTTACAAGATGCCATTGCCACAGTCGGCCCAATTTCAGTCGCTATCGATGCTTCACACACATCATTCCAACTTTACAAATCAGGTATCTACAACGAACGGGCATGCTCATCACTCCAACTTGACCACGGTGTCTTAGCTGTTCGTTATGACACTCAGAAGGGCCAAGATTATTATATTGTCAAAAACTCATGGGGTACATCATGGGGTAACCAAGGTTACATCTGGATGACCCGTAACAAGAAGAACCAATGTGGTATTGCTACATTGGCCAGTTACCCAACTGTCTAAATACTTCATTGAAGTGTTTTTTTGAAATAAGACTTTCAATTTTCGAAGAGTCCTTAAATAAATCAAACTTGAAACTTGAATTGAACTATTTTCACATTCATTCTGTGCATCTTTTGATGAACGATGTACGAATATCGAAATCCATAGATCATCACTTTTATACAATTAGAGGATCTTTTTTTTGTCCATTATATATGCATCAACACAATGGTGAATCGAACACATTTCGGAGTGAGTGTTAATTACAAAAAATCAATTAGCATCGCGGGTGATGTTTATAATCTTTCACTAGACTTCTTCTCAATGATGTTATCCAAATGAAAAGGCCGAAATCAATAATGATATAAGAAATTTTCATCGAATTTTATAGACAATATCCCGATCGAAACGCAATTTAGCTTTTAGTAATAATCATCATCATTTCTTTTTCTCTGTAACATAAATCAAATCGAACAATACGAAAGCACGTTCGAACGGTTCTTTTCGTTCGTCCTTGTATGAAATGCGTCTTTGATAATCGATCAAGCGATTACTTTTACAGGTAATACTATGTATTTCTATCTGTACATTCAAAATATTTTCTTTTCATACGTCGATAGCTCGCTTCACTTTTGATTATTTAGAATAAAACGTACATTGATCGTGAGATGGCTAAAAATGTTTTGGAACGATTTGCTCCACAACATGCAGGACGTATTATTGAAAATTTTGCTCCATCGGAGAAAATGGTGAAGGTGATAGAATCTTTTGATGCGTTACCAACAGTCTCGATCGATGAAGCTGTGGATCCACTTGTTTCATTGATTCCTGATGTGAAAAAAATGGTAGCAAAAGTACAAGAAAAATGTAAAAGTCCCAAAGATGGTCTAACATCTGATGAATCAGCTTCAATTATGCTCTATTCGTTAGAGTGGGATCCAAGAGAGACTTCGTTCTACATTATTTTGAACAATACTCTTCGAACTGAAGATCAAGAACAACTAAAACCGTGGAATCTTTATTTGAAACTATTCATTTGTGCACTTGAAAAATTACCGCCTGTTTCGAAGACCATCTATCGAGGCGTAAAAATGGATTTAAGTGCTCAATATCCGAAAGACAAAGTATTTGTTTGGTGGGCATTTTCTTCGTGTACATCTTCCATACAAGTACTTCAATCTGAACAATTTCTCGGCAAGACAGGAACAAGAACGTTGTTTAATATTGATTGTAGTTCAGGGAAAGATATACGAGAGCATTCGTTCTTTCCAACCGAAGATGAAGTTTTACTTATCGCTGCACGAAAATTTCAAGTTGTGTCGTGTCTCGATTCCGGTAATGAACTTTTCATCATTCAGGTGAAAGAAGTCGAGACAGATGAACCGCTTCTTGGACCTTCAAAAAAGAAAGATAGTGCCACTCGTTCGGCACCCAGATTACCAACGCACGATCGAGAGGAGAATACATCCAATACGCCGAAACAAGCACCACCGCGATTTCCTGGCCCACCGCCATCGATTCCTCGACCGAAAAATCCTTTTTCACATTAATTTCAGACTGTCGCTTTTTCTATTCAATGATTTATTCAATAAATGCAAAGTGTTTCACTAGAATTTCCCTGAAGCTATGAGAAAAAGCCAGAAACAGTATTTAGGTGAAAGTGACATGAATAAAGTACGAACTTAGTTCGAACGAAGTACGAATGACGCATCTTTAGGATTAATTATCATGGATTTACCTTTCCCCAAGCGTACATGATGAAATCCACGCGCTTCTGTATTAAGGTTCACCTTACTCATTGGGAAGATAAAACATTAGACTCGATAGTCATACGCACATTCAGAACTTATTCTTATTTTGAATTTTAAAGTTAAAAAAAAAACGAAGAACCAGTAAAATTATCCAATAAAACAGAATATCTTTTTCCTCTCGTATATAGCGTTGAAGCTCTTTTTCTCAAGATCAAAGAAAAAGTGACAATTTCATTTTCATCGCTCGACAGAAGTAACAGGAAAAAATTTGAAATGGTGAAATATGTGACTGTCTTGGGAAGTGTATTTTCTCTCTCAATCGAAAAGAGCATAATGTTTACTCTTCTCAATCAATGATAAAACTTATTTGATACAATTATCGGAAACTCTTTCCGGTTATGGAAGAAAGATTGGAGACGTTGATCTACCAAGCTGGTCTTATTTCATAACTACCTTATCCAGAAGATTGCTTCTGTCGATTAGTACGTTACTTGAAAGAGTATTACGAAGGTAATGTAGTGCAACTTGAGATCTTAGATGAATTTCAGTCGAACAGTACTCCATCAGATGTCCTTTCATTGGTACATACGTGATTTGTTTCTGTTTCGATCGTTTAATCGTGTATAAAGTCAGCATAGCTTTGAACTTACCTTCCTATTCAGCTTCTAAATGACAATGAGTATGACGAAATATTACCACTAATAAATAAAACTATTCTTAAAAAATGCGCGTGACTTCTCCCGCCTTGACTACGTGGTGTGTCCATAGGTGATATCTATAGGCTTGTAATCGATATCTGGACTGACCTCGTGAAACTCCATACGAATGTTGGTAATTGTTATTATTTGTCAGACAGAAGATACAATTGGAGCTCAAAAACATTATCAAACAGACGCTACTTATTGGGAAAATGTCTTTAAAAAAGGTTCAATGGGTCAACGAAAGGAAAATTTGATAGAAAACGAAGTATTGCAATGAAGAGACGATATATCCGCAAGTGTGTTATCAACGGACGAACTTTTCCCAACCAACCTCACTATTATTGAGAGTTTTTGAAAAGCTTCTATAGTAAACTGATATTAATTCTGCGTTTAGTTGATTCTGAATAGATTTGAACATCTTATTTATCTTTGTACTGCATACTTAATCATATGCCTACAGATCGATTCATTTATTACGTGATTGTAGATCTCTTGTATGTAACAGTGCAGAATGTGTTTTTTTTTCTTCGAAAATGAATACATCCGGTTTATTGTTATATACTTAGACACAGTTACTCTGAAGGTTTCGAAAAAAACTAATAAAATGAAACTACGACAATGTGTTGTTCTTATCGATGGACTTTAGTTCATTCCATATTTGGATTGATATGTCTTTTTTGCCGAGACAAAGACTCTGCAATACCTGGAAAAATATTGTTAAAATTAAATCAGATTCATGAAAAATCGAATTGTATAACTACTTTGTTATCTCCTAAAATACCAGCAAAATGTTTTGCACCTTCATCATCAATTTGATTCAGCTGAAGATTCAATGTTACTAGCGTCTATGCATTGAAGAACAACACAGTCAACGATATGTATTGACACAAGAAAAGACTCACTGTGTTACTTTTCAAAGCATCGGCTAAATACTCCGCACCCTTATTTTGAACTTGACTATTTCGAAGGTGCAATTCGGTCAATGTCTACAAAACAGTGAATTTGAAAGCAAGAGAAAGAAGATCTGATCATATACCGTATTTTGTTTTAAAATAGCAGCGAGGGTCCGTGTCCCTTGCAGACTAATTGTATTACTACTCAGATCCAACAGTGTCAATGACTATGCGTAGAAAAATAAATCGGTGATTTCAGAAATGAGACAAGAGAAAACTACCGTATTATGCTGCAAAGCATTGCAAAGACGTTTGGTACCATTATTTTCGATTTGATTGTTTGAAACGTTCAATTCAGTCAGTTGCTAAATGTTGACAGAGATATGAAAAAGATCAAAACGAAGAATCTTACATTAGTCGTTTCTAACACATCAGCGAAATATTGTGCACCTTCTGTGCCAATTTTATTGTTCGAAATATTCAATTTTGTTAGCGTCTACGAATAAACAAAACTACCGACAAGAGAAAGAAACTGAGAAGAGAACTACTGAATTATGTTTCAACGAATCGGTTAGATATTTTGCTCCGTTTGATGTTACTTGATTGCTACTGATGTCCAGTTGGGTGAGTGTCTAACATCGACAGAAAAATAGAGTTTCTAATGACGTTGTCCATGACACAGCATTACCTTGTTGACTCGCAATGCCTCAGCAAGAGCTTTGATTTCATCGTCATTTATATCATTATTAGAGATGTTCAGTGTTGTGAGTGTCTATATGTTAAGATGTAATTCTTACTAAGAACAATTACAGTAGAAATATCGGTTACCATTTGATCTCGCAAGTAGTGCTCAAGAACTTGCATTCCTCCATTTCCTATCTGGCTTTTACTGACATCTAATTTAGTGAATGTCTATGTAAAATTTATCGATAGATAGATCGTATGAGCAACAGAATATTGAGTTACTGGGATTCTTTGTAAAACTTCCATCAAATGTTGAACTCCGACACATCCGATTTGAGTGTTGGACATTTTCAGTGACACAAGTATCTATTGGCAACAGTAAGGTAAAATCATGATTGAACGGATGAAAAAGTATTACTTGATTGCCACATAAAGCAACAGCAATAATTTGTGCATCTTCAGTATTAAACCAATTACTAGACAAATTGATGGCAGTGAGTGTCTGTACATGCAGATGTTAGCAATACGAATTTCTGTAAATGAAGAGGTCTATTACTTTGTCATGTCGAATTTTGATGACTGTCTCCGCTAAGAGCCCGTACTCGCTCTTGTTGTGATGCAGTTCCAGTGCCGTCAGCGTCTAAAGAGCGAATACAGTACTTTATGAGTGTACAAAGGCAACACGAATCGGGTTACCGTATTATATTTTAAACAGTCGAGAAGACATCGAGCTCCTGCATATTCAATTAGATTTTCACTAAGGTCTATTGCTTTTAATGTCTATTAACGAGTATGTCGCGTAACTAGAAAGAGCGAAAATACTGATAGTCTAACAGTTACCGTATTCTGTTTTAATACGCTGGATAAATGTTCTGCTCCAATATCTCCAATATTATTATTCGATAGATTCAATGTAATAATTGTCTACATATGTATGAAAAATAACTATATAAATATGAAAATGGTAAAATCAACTTACTGTATTCGATCTTAAAGCTTTAGCAAGAATTTCTACTCCCACATCTCCGATGCATGCATTGGCCATATTCAATGTAGTAGATGTCTGTAAACGATAAACACGGTTTTGTAAACAATGATAAAAAAGGCTGATATATCACCGTCTCCGTGCGCATTGCAAGAACTGTTTCAACAGCTATGCAACTTGGACCGATATTATGATCTAGATTGAGTATTATGAGTGACTAAATAGGAAGAGCGAGGAAGCAGATGAAAACAAAGAAAACCATCTATTACTGTATTATGTTCTAAACATTTAGCAAGATGTTGAGCTCCTACATCAGTGATTCTATTACTACTGAGGTTAATTGTGTTCAGCGTCTACAACGGCAAAATAGTTGCTGTGATAACGAGCCATGATAGATTTCCACTGTGATTACTGTGTTCGATTTCAAGGCATTAGCAAGGCATTCAGCTCCAGCATCTCCGATGCGATTCCGCAATAGATTCAATGAAAGAAGCGTCTAAGTTCAGTAAAAAAAGGCTGGAGAAACGATTCTAATAAAGCCACTTACATTGTCGTGTTCCAATGCCGCAGCGAGATCTTGTGTGCTCTGATCATCTATACAACTGTCGCTGAGATCTACCGTGGTCAAAGCCTGTCAATAGAAATAATAATAGAGAATTAAAACATTTTGCTGAAACTGACGCGTTTCTATGTAAGAAATTAATTGGTACAAACCTCTTTGGTAATTGATGCATCAAAAGAAATTTGACTAAGTCGGCAAATATAATCTTCCGATGATATTTTGCATCTAACGGAATCCGTTATAAGTCGCATCCTCCGTTCTGAGAATACCCTGGATGTGTCATCGAGACGTTTCTCTTGCATTCGAACGTATAGTTGTCTCTCACGACTCGGCATATATTGTAATATATCTTCGAGTTGATCGAAATGAAACAAATCGATAATTTTCTCTCTTTGTTGTTGTGAAAAACTCTTAATCTTATATTGTCTTTTAATTGGTGTTGTGTAGATTCTAATCATTCGAGTTTGAAATGCATGATCACAAGCAATATGCCAGTGTTTCTCTTCAAGCCAGAATGATGTCAGAAATGGAGCTATAAGCGATTTGACACCAACTAAACGGGCCCTCGAGTTCAATGCGTATCGGTAGGCAAAGAACAAGGTAAACCCTTGTAGCAATGGCACTTTCGTACTGAGTATTCCTTCCAAACGCTGACCATCCAACGCACGGTCGTATACATATTCATTAAAAATTAGCTCAAGATGAGTGAGTGATGGTGTCGTTGAAAGTAGCAAATCTAATTCGTGTAGATGTGCGCAGCAGTTCGTAATAGTCAAAGATTTCAGTTGTTGTGACGATACGTTCACTTTCATTTGCAAATCAACATCTACGATGCAATCTTTCATGACAAGCGTTCGTAAATTAGGCATTTGTTCGACGATGGAAAGATATTGGTACATATGACAAACATCAATTTCCAGATGCGTTAGTCGCCAATTGGTTGGCCATGAGGTCACAATTATCTCGCTTAGTTTTAAACTACTGACAGCAAATTTTTGGAGGTTGAACTTGGCAGCTACCGATATGATTTGAGGATTTGTGTGTCGTTTGACCCCATAAATTGAAAGTGCGTTCAAAGAGCCGGACGATATCATAGATACAATGTTCTCTATTATGCTATCTTGAACATCAATAAACTCTAATGAACGAAGTTGTGTAAATTGTGTAAGGAGAATATTCATTGCTGATAATGGAATCAGATTGCTTTTGTTCTGGTAATTCGTATTGTCGATAATCAATGAAGTAATACAAGTGGGCGAAAGAAAATGAAACAAAGCATGATAGTTCCAGTTTTTATTTAAATTATATTTCAATTCGAACCGATTGTAAGTACTTGAAACATCACGAAGTTGTCTACAGACACCACGGATCGACAGCAGGATGGTTTGATCATCACAATAATCGAAAATACGATGTAATACTTCGGGAGGTAACTGTTCTAACGTGGCATTCGTCATTTCGATAGAAATCTAAATAAGATGCATAGTGTGGTGACACATTTCTATTTAAATGTAAAATATCGCACACAAACAATTACGCGTTCGGTTTTTTCCTACACAATGCTGCAAGAACGTGTTGCCGGAGTGGGTATTTTTATGAATGAGAAAAGGAAAATTCCATGGAGTCAGACACCACGTGTTTTTATCGAAACATGTCGATTTTTTGTTTACTACTTGGACAAATAACAAACAAAATGCAATATGCCCGGTGTGACAAAAAGAAAAACTTTCTCCAACACGATTTTTCTTGATTGAAACTCGCTCACAAGGATATATCAGTCCAGTTGATCTGTTTGTATTATCAAATATGATCTCCGTAAAAAATAATATCAATTTATTATATTAAATTAGAAAAAATGTCTCGAAGTTTCATTCAAAACTATTCTCATCATCACCGCAAAATATTTCTACTATTAAATCATTCGAGGAACTTGATTTGATAAAAAAATCTTCTAGGACTGATTTATGTTGCTGATCCTGCCGGTTAATCCAAACTTTGACCGTTTTCAAATTCTTCATTGTTAAAATCGATTTATTCTTCATTACACCTGGAGAAGGAGACTTTCTCTCGTGTTTAAAGTAAACCGAATCGATCATTAATGTTCTTAGTTTCGATAGACGAGGCAACAGTTGATCAGTTAACATAGCAAACGATATTTGAGTTCGCTTTTCCCCATCAATTTCTATTGAAAATGTAAACACAGTTTTGAACGAAATGCCGACAAATAAAAAGAAACTTAACCTCCGATAATAAGTGTTTCCAAGTGGCTTATTGATGCTTTTCTTTTAAATTCCAAGTCGACCTTGTCACGACCGGACTGAATGTTATTTTCACATCCACATCGGTAAGGTTTGAAACTCATATTCAAATACTTTAATGATTTCATTTTTGACGATATCAATCGATTGCATAAGCCTAGAAAAAAAAGAAGAAGATTTCTATGTGAAAACAATCCCAAAACACAATTGCAATTACGATTTACAGCAGAACCATGTTCGTCTTTTTCGCTGACTTCGCTTAGAAACAATCGTTCTAATATGTCGTATAATTTCATCTCTTCATTAAAGATGACATCGTATATTGAGTCGGCATGGATGTTATTTAATGTTAAAGATTTCAATCGAGAAAATTTATCTTTAAATAAATGATCTTTCATGATTAGTTCGAATTGATTTTCATCATAACTCCGCAATGCTAACAAATCGTTTTGACTTTGACTAAGAAAATGGCTTAAATTAAAACAATGTGTCAAAAAATGTGTTTCGGGTATTGAATCGATGTAAATTGTTGATTTGGATAAAAGTAATTGGTTCAAACGTTGATTCAGACCAAAGAATGATTCATATAAATCAAAGAAAGTCAAATAATTCAAACACAATACTATCAATTCATTTGGTAATTGTTCAAATTTTGTAGTTACTTTCGAATTGTCCTCATCGATCTTTTGCCGTTTGACTCTTGACATCGCACTCTTTTCTTTTCTACGCAACACAGCTCTACAATTTATATAGATATCGATGTAATTACACAACAGTTTGCAAGGACTTCTTTGTCTTATGCGAGATAAATGCGTATCTGATGTTTCACATCTGTTCGAAAAAGGATAAAATTTGTATCGTCAACGTGAACAACTATTTTGGAAAAGTGATGTTAGTTGATGCTGATTTTAAAGCTTAACAAAGGTCAAAACTCGAACTCTACTGTTGCCAATTGATGCGCCTGCTTGCCATTTCATTGCGAAAGAAGTTACCAGTTTATCAGTTGAATTACCTACTAATGAAATTGGAAAGTTGTCGTAGATATTTCGCTTGGGTGGATAAAAACGACGACTTTGTAGAGAGTGTAAATCAATCAGATTTGAGCATCGAATGACCATATTCAACCTCATTTAAGGTCTTTTCGACATCGCACAAACAGGAAAGAGAAACAAAGAATTCAAGATTTGCTGAGTTGTCGATCGAGAACTCTGCACCGCTTCAGTTCTAGCAAATGGATAAAAAACAAATAATCGTTCCACATGTTAAAGGTTCATTAAGACAAAAAATATTTGATATTTTTTGTAGGAGCCTATCAAGCACATAACATTGCCATGTTTCTCTCACATAAAATGCGATGGACGTCTTTTAAAATGTGCTGAATTTTAGTCTTGTTTTCGTAACTGACATCTACCATACGAATGCATATATAGGTCGATTTATTCCTTCGTTCTCTACAAAAGAAAAAAAAATCACGATGTACACGCGCCGGCAAGAATGTCCTATTTTGAAAGTACGTACTTCGTTCTTGCGTTCGCTTCTGTCTTTTAACACATATAAACACGACGCTCTCTCACTAAACATTCCTACTATTTACGGTCACTGTGAGTCTGGATGGCATCAAGTTTCAACCGAGTTAATGTATACTTCTTTATTTTCAGATGCCAATGTGCGTACGATGATTACTTTCATCATTAACTACACAACTATCGGACTCGTTCTTGCTCTTGTCGCAATTATTTACATCAAACTGATTCGTCCACAAAGACAACTTTATGATGTCTTTCGAGCTCAAGGAATTCCTGGTGAACCGTTTATTCCATTTGTTGGTCAATTACTAGACATGATTAAGGCGAACAAAGCGGGAAAAGGACTAGATTACTTCAATGAACTTGCTCAAAAGCACGGCTATTGCTACTTGTTTGGCTTCGGTCCGTTAACACGAATTTTGCTTGCAGAACCTGAAATCATAAGCGATGTTCTAAGTCGTGAGAATGGTCCGAACTATCAAAAGCCGGCTGATCTAACTAATATTGTCAAGCCGTTCATTGGTACGCACAATCTGTTAGTTAGCGAAGGGCAAGAACATGATCGTGCACGTAAAATGCTTAATCCTGCCTTCCATTTTGTCAATCTACGATCAATGGTTTCAATTATGTCGGACGAAACGACGAAAGCTATTGATTCTCTTCTTTTAGAATCTTTGTCTAAGAATCAAGTTGATCTGGAAATTCAACTAAGTGGTCTAACTCTCTCCATTATCGCGTCGAGTGCTTTTGGTGAGAATTTGGAAACAGCATCGCAGGCGAAGCAGATTATATGTCAAACACTTCAAGAATTAAAGGAAATAGTCGAGTATCGAACATTACGAATGATCAGTCAAATTAGATTTCTAGCCGAGCTGCCATTTTGGGGCAAGAAGATTCTCGATAGCGGAGGAAAACAAGTTAGCCACTTTGTTGATCAAGTCATTGCTAATCGACGAAAGGGTAAAACAAGCAGTTTGCGTGCAGGCCAAGATATTCTTGATCTTTTACTGTCGGCGGTCGACGAACACGGAGAACCTTTCACCGACGAACAAATAAAGGAGGAAGCGCTCACTTTTGTACTTGCTGGCCATGAAACGACGGGAAATTTAATCACATGGGCTGTTTACATGATAATGGTTCACGATGAAGCGTTTCAAGCATGTCGTGAAGAAGTTGATCGCATCCTGCCTAATGGAACAACGCCTACTTTTGAACACATGGGTGAACTTCATGTGATTGAAGCTGTTCTGTATGAAACTCTTCGTCTGTATCCACCAGCTCCCTTCTTCGTTCGTCGATGTGTGAAAGGGCACACGATCGGTACGAATAGTAATAAACTTGGCATTCACGTCCCGGTGGATTCCATGATTGTCATTCACAATTATGTGTTGCATCGACGCGAAGATTACTGGCCAAATGCATACAAATTCGATTATACGCGATGGCTACGCAATCCAGCCACCGGATTAAAACCCAAAATGTCACACCCATATGCCTATCTTCCTTTTGCTGCAGGTCCACGAAACTGTATTGGTCAGAACTTTGCCATACTTGAAGCTAAAGTCATGCTTGCGATGCTTGTGCAACGTTGCAATTTTGAACTCATACCAGGACAACAGGTTGTACCTGAAATGAAAGGTGTAACCATAAAAGCTAAAAATGGAATCTTTGCACGTGTGACAAAGCGAGATTAGGGTGTAGGTAAGGGCGTGTAACTCTGTAACTATTTTATTATAAATATAAAAGTACAAACATAATTAATAAATATTAACACACTTTTAGTCGTACATATACGTTATTTGTTTAATAACATGCAATGGTAATGTTCATTCACTACCTAATGGATATGACGTTTTATTGATAAATCGGCCACTTCTTGATAGTCATGGCTGTCGCACGAGATCTATGAACGAATAAGTCTTTGATTGGTAATCGAAATATCATTTGAAATATGTAATTTAAAAACAAACGATGAAAGCGAATTGAACGAAAATAGTCAAAAAAACATTGAGAATCAATAGGAAAGAACATTCCGGATACGCTTAAATATGGAATTTCGATTTTCATCGCTTTTAATATTCAATATCCTCAGTGAATGCCAGGAGGTTATATGATAGGAGAAAACGATCAACTCCACATTTGTAACTCATGCTTCAATATTTTTGAAGCTATGCAATACGAGAATATCATTCGAAGTGTTGAAATGCTATTTAAAATACTGAGTAATTATAACTGTGCATAAATGATAGTTTACACAAAGTTTTAACATCATTCATATTTCAACAGTCAAAAGAGTATCGACATTTCAGAATTCCACAACTCCATGTAGTACTTCCATACTCCGGGCCATGCTTCACATTGGTTGTGTCAAAAGCAAATGAAGTGAAATTCTAAGTTTACTTGTTGTCTGGTGACCTAAGATTCGTTCAGTAATTTGAAATACCGAAATTATGTGGGGTCGGTTTCGAAAAAAAAACGGTATTCGTCGTTTTATTACATTTAGATCCATTCAGACAACATGAAAATAATTCGAGTTCAATTTCATATTACATAAATTAAGTTTGTTAATGATGAGCTATGATTGTTTGCCGTTTAATCTGTGTTCTATTTGCATTTACAACTTGTGGTTGTCCCACAACGATTTGTTTCAAAAAAGTTCGTACCGGTTGGTTCGTAACTATTAGTAACACCACACTTTGAAATAAAGTAATCACTGCAACTGCTTGAAAATATATATTCAGAGATGGAGGAATATAATTAGTTTTATTGAATAGTTGTATTATCATAGGAGGAGACCATCCTCCTAGAAACACGATAAAATTGCCAATCATTGTTTTAATAAGAAGAGCATCACGATTTTGATTTCCTTGACCATCCGCACCCATCGCGTGTATTCGACGAGTTGAACTTCGTATGAAGAGTAATGTTCGCGTATTGCATGCAGTAACAATAACAAGTGGTAAGAACAATGTAACGACAATATAATAATACGACCAAAAATTTGTTGCTAACGAACTTGAATAAAATATAAGAATATCTTGAAATAAAAAAGGTGTGGTAAGGACAACGGCAAGAATCCACCCACAAATGACACAACAACATATGCATACATTGGATTGAAAAATGCGTTTATTTGCATAAACAACAGTTAAAAGTCTACTCCAGGCAACTGCACAATGTGAATATGTTACTTGCGATATACCCATATATTGTAAAAAGAATTGAAGACGAATAGAAAGCGAATTTGAAATGTTGAGGACGAGTTGAATATTTATTGCAAGAAAATAAACAGATAAACATGTACTTGTCAAACATACATTAATCGTAAACCAATTAAGTTTATTATGACGGAACGCTGGTCGGATAAGTAAAAGTAGAATATAGGCAACAGCAAGAACAATTGTCAATGAAAGAATCGGTATTTGGATAAGAGGAACGAGTGAACTACTTGAAGTATAATTCATGGATTGATTATTCTGAGAAGAGGACATTTTTTTTACTACTATAAGCTGTCGTAAACGTGTAAATGCTTTTCTTTAAAAAAAAAGAAGAAAATGCGTTGAAAAATGTGTCGCAGCCATTCAGTCACACAATAACATCGGAAAAACCTACTGAATAAGATTACTAATGAATATTCTATGCTAGAATAACTTATTTTAAACATAAACTCCATGTGACATCTTCTCATATTAATCATCATAATTTTTTCTTCATCGACAGTGCTATGAAAAATGATAGAATCATGTCGCTGCGCTCGCTCTATACTCTCTCAATTCAGTCTATATGAGATCTCCATACTAATTGAATACATGGTAGTTTGTGCGCGCTGAGGCACTTTATCTGAATAGATACTCAATCTTTTAAACATCAATTGTTAGATTGAAGAGAAAACGCATTTTCAAAACTTCATCGATTTTAGACTTTAAAAAAAAAGAATAAAATCATGTAAGTATTCATTGGTTTTTGCCTCAAGATGACTTCGGCTTCGACTGTTATAACCGTATTTATGGATAGGGGTTGTCTTGATGAACACTCTCATGAAAAATAAGATTTGAGAGGATATTTATATAATAAGAACAAAAGAGGTATCATACACTAAGCTAAAACGACTAGGGAGCGTCAAATGAAGACGATACTATGAAGCGAGTTGATTTGATGCATTGTAGCGTTTCTATAGAAATTCATTTATGCCCGACTTGCGGCCAACGATATAAATAAACTTTTATACGACATCCATGGTACCCGTAGTGAAGAATTTTGCAATTTCCAAGCCTGGAAATTCAATTTCCGGACATTTATTCTTGACTGTCTTTGCACACAATTTTGTGAGAATCGTTATAATGCATCATATGAGCGAGTGTGAGTAATCGTACAGAGAACATATTTTACAACAAATACCGTGTTTGCATGACAACTGTAGAATACGCATGTGAATAATTGCGCCATCTATTTTCTTGAATTCACCGTTTAATCCACCTTATGAATACATGTGCGCTGTACCATGCATCAAGTAACAAGAAACTACTTGAAAAAAGATCATCAGTCGCGTTTTAAAGACAAATAGTACTGTGCCTATTTTTTTAAAGCAAATAGTATACTTTTTGTAACCATTTCAAATTGATGCGAAAATCAAAAAACTAGTTAACCTTCTCTAGCCGTTTTAGCTTATAGTGTATGGTACCTCTTTTGTTCTTATTATATAAATATCCTCTCAAATCTTTTTTTTTCATGAGAGTGTTTATCAAGACAATCTCTATTTATAAATATGGCTAACAGGCAAAAAGCCGAAGTCATCTTAAGGGTGTATAATAGATAGATGTTTCACCGTCAACCGTACTTTCAGTCTTTAACGATCTTATTGTAAATATTATAAAAACAAAAATAACTACAAAAAATCAACACATTTTCATTAAATGAATTTACTTTGTTTTGGAACAATGAAAATGAATAATTTTGATAAAAATGGAAACTGTGAAGACGAAAGGTTTGCCGTTGAATCTTGCAACTTCTCTATTATCATATGTTCGACTTGACTTTGATGTATGGTCTACTTCGGGGAAGTTCGGTGTTTGTTAATTCAAGATCTACCAATTGTGTTTAAAAAAATCCAAATAGCCAATAAATGGAAAATGTTCACGATGTGTTTTACTCGAGGGTTTACTACTCAGACACGATTGTTTGTCTTACTGTTGTAAGGGTTTATTTGCTACACATGGTTCGATCAATGTCATCCTTCTAGTAATGAAATACAGATCGTAGTTTCTATTCAGGCACACCGCAGAAGATAGAGTCAGAACTGAAAATATTCATTTGTATGGAAGATTTTATGTTTAGTTGTACATCGACGAATTTATAATCATTTCTCGATATACTTACTTGTATGGATAGAGAATAATAGATGAATATTTTTGTTCTCATTTCTGTTACTCATCAGTGCGTATAGTCAAAACGTATTTCTCAATAGCAAACTTAAGTTGTTTTCTCAACGTATGTTTTTTGTCAAGTTTTGTTCCTGTTTGAGAAACTAAGTGAATGAGAATGACAACACAAGGATATCATGTGAAAATAGACTCGGAAAGCAAATACCCTAATACATTGTTCTTCACTAATTTTAGCCATTTTGACTTTCACTGAGACCGAACTATAGACTTAGTTGCTTATGACGTGTGCGACATCTTTATTTTCCTCCGTTCTCCCTATATTTATCGGATAATACCAGCTTAACCAATGGAAGAAGGAAAAAACGAAAGCCTTGATCAAACGGATACGCAACGGTACAATCTCGTAACATTATGTATAGAGAGTAAGAGGCTTATCGATATGCTATCGAGTGACATATAATATGTGTGAGATAATGAAATAACCCACATCTCTAGCACAGTGTATGATGGTTTTTTCCTTTCTGTCATATGGTTTTATCCAAAGATTCTCATGTATATATGTACATAAACTTTTCTGTGATATCTACCAGCAACAAAGATGAGCAATCCTGCTAAGTCTATTCCAGTACCTTCACAGAGCCCTATATGGATGAGTTTACAACATTATCGAGGCCAGATAAAAACCAACGATAAAGTCGATAAATTTTACGAATGGGATCATACACATGGTGATATTGAAGTGTACAACAAGCGAGGTGAACATTTAGGCACTATGGATGGCAATACTGGTGCGATGATCAAACCAGCTGTTAAAGGTCGCAAGAAAAACTTCGACTAAGCAAATATACCATCTTGAAGGTGTGGTGTTTTTCTCTTACTTAATAATACGTCAAGACAGTATATTCCTAAGCAATGATTAACCTTCTCCTAATCCTGATAAATTTTTATACTGTTTTCTCATTTCATCAGTATGATAAAATAAATACTATACTGTTTATTGTGAGAATTTACAACTCAAGATCTACTGTTCATTCAATGTATAACCATCTACACTTAAGTATACCTTTGCAATGTCAGTCAGTAATCGATGAGAGGATTTATCGATCATTATATCAATTTAGTAGAGACAAATCAGACCAAAGATTTGTTCGTCCATTCAAATAGATAATCCTGTGCAATTTTAGAAGTATTCTACCGTTTGGCATCATGACGAATCACGTTGCTATTTCCAGTCGATATCATTAAGAACATGTAGTAGAAAAGTTTGTCATCAAGAAAACTGTCATGTTTGCTTCTTTAGAAGATGTTGTACACTTCAAGCTTCATGAGGAAACATCAGAGTAACCTATGTGAAAGATTTTAAGTTGAAACATTCACTTTTACATCATATAATGGATTCTTTCATATACTTACATGCCAACGATAACTGATCTATTTTAGCCAAAGGAAGTTCATTACAAACTTTGTTTCGTCGCCATTTGGTGATGTACTTAACGCGTTCAAATGAAAAAGAATCTAAAGAATCAGGATATTTTACTCGTTTTTCTTTTGTAGTTACAGATCATTATTAAAGTAGAATATCAAGTAATAAACTTCCTCTACGTCAAGCGTTCAGTATTCACTTTCTACGCATTTGAATATCGTCATTAAAACCCTACGAGAATTTCTCGAGAAAAAAGGATGTCGAACTATTAATAATCCAAATGTATGTTACAATTCATTCGAATCGCATCCAATAGCAATGAAGACACGATCAGTTTCATCTATCGTCTTAAAGACGATCCTCATTGTTGAAGTTATTTTTAAAGAAGTTTGTATTGAATATTCCGCTATTATTCATCATTGTTGGCCTCATCGGATTTCTCCGTAACATACTCTTATGCATCTGCAGGTTGAACGGCGATCAAATACATGTTACGTTTACCCACTCTGTGGTTCAGTCGTCGATGTTATTCATCTTTTTCTCAATTTGCTAATAGTGTATTTGAACGGCAAGCGTGAAGTGAGTATTTAGTGATTCAAAATACCTTCTCTTTGAAAATTCAACGCTTCCATGTTTGAGTTTTCTCCCTCATCTATCGATCGATTTCCTTCTAATTTCAATCGTTGATCGCTATGCATGTACATGCAGTTTAACGTCCTATACGTTATAGTTAATGGTTTCATGCAGTTGGAAACGAGTGGCGAGTCAACGAGTTCAATTGAGAAAGTATATACGAGTTGTTTCTATAGACAGGTTCAACAGCAATGGCGACAGCAAATGTTAATATACATCAGTCTCGCAATCAATTCGTGACGATGGTCTTCACACAAATCCTCATAGCAGCTGTCATCTCATTACAACGGATAATTACGTTTTCCGCGTTTATTTTCTATATGGAAAGCAATGGTTATTCTGACAAATGGAACAGCATATACTTTGCTTTTATACTCACGAATTATAGTTATTCTTTGAATACTGTCAAAGCGTTTCATATCTCATTACTAACATCCCGTTTATTCCGTGAGACTTTTTTTAAAGCGGCAAAAAAATGCTTGCCACGTCGTCTACGTTCTCAGTTACAACGGGTGGAAGCACTTGCTATCTCACTGGCGATTACAGGAAATAATCGACTGATTAGGACATAACATGCAGTGACCATAGATAGGATTTTTTTCCTGTGATCTATTTTTTATTGTTTCTAGAACTATGTAAACGTCAATAATAGGCATATGGAGTTCATCTTCACGGTTCATAAATTGGCTGGGTTTGATTGCGCCGTTGTCTGATGAAATAAAGAGTTTTAATCAGAAATGGTACAAGAATATTCAAAATAATCGAAAAACCTCCAGCAAATGCGATGAGATCTGTACCAGTAGCTACTAGACTTCGCCGTCTAATATTCGAAAATGTGCACGATGAAGGCGAACATTGAGCAAAGTATAGGTCATAAGATGTGGAATTTACTACTGGTTCCCATTCTTCTATCATAAGGTGGGATAGAATTGTATCGAACGTTGTCACATCTGATTGATATCGGCTCGTGCTGGTTCTGTTCAGTGCTACGAATGTGTCATTAGTGCCACTCGATAGAAGATCCACAAGTGTTTGATTATACAATAAGTCAAGTGATGATTGCAGAAGTGATTCAAGCGGAAAACAGCCGACCATCATGCCGGGAAGAGTAACATTGTCAATCGTGGCTGGCTGTGTGCATGATGGTGTTAAAGCACAAGAACAACTCGTTGTAGATTGATTGTAAATAACAGGTTCGGTCCGAACAGTGAAGTAAGCTGTGGGAATACTAGGAGTAAATTGCCAATTACTTGCTGTAATGGTGAAAAGTGCATTGGTGTGCATCGCTGTTCGAATTAAACGAAGACTCTGAACAAATGTACTACTCATCGTTTGTGTGAGTTGTTCCATCAACACTGTGATTTGCATGTCAAAGTCAGCTGATGCAAGAAGAAACGCACTGACAAGGTGCTGTGTTGCTAATTGCTCTAGCATGGCATCGACTGTCGAATTTACTAAACGACAAAAATCAGCGAGAAGTTGAAAATGGTAGGTAGCTATGGCTCGATAGTCTGTTGGAGAATATTGAGTAACATTGTATTGTAATGCGTTTTTAGTAACTGTATCAGCTAAGTATTGATTGATACTTGGTGCAAACATCCGCGAAATCCATTTTTGAGATATAAAATCCGACGAGCAAACTTGATGATATCGAGGCTGTTTTAAGGATAAGAAGGATGAATAACGAATAGCGACACGTGAGCAAACACATTGGAGATTAATGGTGCGATTGTAAAGACGTTGATATTCATCAGACGATGGTGATGAGAATGATACAATTTCCTTGTGAAAGGGAAGAGCTATGAAGAGAAAAACAGCAGACAGCGTTGTCACAAGTATAATCAAATAGAATCGCGTCATTTGCCGTTGTATTTGTAATTGAACGTCATTTGAGTTTACTCTACGAAACAGATTGAAAGAAGCAATGAAACTCAGCATCGACCGTAGACGTTGTCGACATGTTCTTCGTGGAGATAAATGACGGCCTGTATAATTGAAAGATATTATTTACTTTTGCTTCTCGATAATGTACAAAACAAACAATCGTATCTATTTCTTACTTCGAATTTTGCTATATACTTTAATGAGAATTGGAACGAAAAAACATAAACTCTTTGTCAAGCCACCAAAAACACCGACAATCATTGTAAACAGATAAGCAAAGCTATGAAATTGAATGTATTCATAGGTGCAAAATGATAATGCACACGCGTTGAAATACGCGGAAAAATCAATATTTGTCTTCCAATTGTCCACCATTAATCGACTGACAATCGATCCAATCTTTAACGATCCATTCAAAAAATGATGTGAATAAAAGGTAAATTACTGTCTTACCGTTTCATTCATAAGATTCAATGATGAATCTAATATAGGAAATCGCGGATCATTATTCGATCCTCCGAAAGTAACTTGAAATGTATTCAAACATGTTTGGTTATAAAAACATTCCAATGTGGATTGTAATACACTATTTACTAAATAGCATCCGCTAAACATACCAGGAACATAAAATGCGGTGCTTGAATTATTACGCATGAACAAAGTAAAGGAGTGCCAAGCACATCGTTGATCCAGAGCACACAGGCACAGAGTATCGATCTAAAAATCCGTCGTTGTGTACGTTATTTTTGCAAATCAACGAGAACAGAATCCTTTGGGTGCGAGAATTTTCGATCCGCGTCTTTCTTTTCCAAAAAAAAAACTTATCGACACTTGGATAGGCGCTTAGTAGAAAAAAAAGCGCAGATACTCTTATAAGACTTTGCTTTACCTCTTTCCTAAGCCTTTGTGTGTGAACTGGAAAAGAAAATGGTTGTAATCGATTGTCTGGTCCAAAATTCTAAAAACAAATCGATAGAAACCAGATTTCATAATAGTTGTCACCTATTACAAAATAGAAATTCAAAAGAAAGCCAGCCATGATTTGATTTCCTTGTACAACGTTTTGGATGAGTTGCTGATCGCGAGCAAATGCATTGATGGTCGTTGCTTGCCAATCGCGAATAGCCACCTCTACTTTCGATTCTAGCAAGGATTGTTCAAAGAGCTCCGTACTAATCAGCTGTGTTTGCAAAAAAATATGTTTGCTATCGTCGATCGTTTGCTGAGCGAATGTACACAATGTGTGTAACATTTGAAAGAAGCCGACTGCTGTTATACGAGCATCTTCAAGTGAAAGGGCTACAAGCGTCGTATAAAAAGTGATAAAGGTCATCCAGGATGTGTTGACAAAAGCACTTGAACATATTTGATGGTAATGCGGTTCAACGGAAACGAATATGTTGTACGGTAATGAAATTTTAGTGCAAGGGCAGGAGAGAGAAATTGAATTCAGTTGTCGCAGAACATTCACTTGTTGTTCGCTGGGCTGGTAAGCAGTTTCTTGCTGCAAGCTAACNCGGTTCAACGGAAACGAATATGTTGTACGGTAATGAAATTTTAGTGCAAGGGCAGGAGAGAGAAATTGAATTCAGTTGTCGCAGAACATTCACTTGTTGTTCGCTGGGCTGGTAAGCAGTTTCTTGCTGCAAGCTAACCGTCGAAGAGATGTAGGTGATTAGACTACATAGAATAAGGATGAAAAGAATGAAGAAGATTCGAGTGGCGAGACGTTGATTGGCAAGCTGTTGAACGTTGTTGGGATCATCATAGAGCTTGCGAAAAATATTCAGATTCATCACATATTGTCGAGCTCGTTTCATGTTCACCCACGAACGAATAGTAACTAAAAGAAAATGATTTTTGCCTTTAGAATTCCATAGAATTACAAGTCAACACATACCGATATCTATTTTCGATATTTGTGGCATAGGCTCTGGTTGTGCCGGTTTGTGTCGACACCATTTCCCCCGTCGTGGCACGAGAAAGCGAAGAATGATAATTAAACCACCATAAAAACTAATGAATAGTCGGAATATATCGAACAGATTAGTTTGTTTTTCAATCATATACGTGCAAGATGAAGGTGCGCATGTCGTGTAATATCTCTCATATGAAAAATTCATAGTTGTCCATGTGTCAATCATCAGATTACTAAAAAGACCTTCAACTGTCGTGTTCAATGGCAAACTATCATTTTTATCAGCGAAATTCAGATAAGGTACGTGAACGATCGACGGAGAATCGACCAAGGAAATCAATGTATCAATGCATGTTTGATTATAGAAACATTCTAACGTTGAACGAAGCATTGACCGCATTGGATAACATGACACTACCATACCTGGAACAATCATTTGGATATCATACAAGTAAGGCCGCATGCGTATGGCATCAGGATAAAGTTGAGATATATTGGTCATGTTGTAGATGCCGGACAACAATTGACAGTCTCCCGTTCGGCACGAGCATAAACTAGCATGTTCTGTCTGTTGGAAAGTGTATCTACTCATTGTTATAGACAATTGAGAAAACACACCGAAATAGGGAGCAAAGTTTGTTTCTAAACCAGAGAGAAGTTGATTACTCGCAATCATTTGCTGAATAAGTTCTAATTCATGATAAAATGTGTTTAATCCATGGGCTTGAAAGTCAGTGACTGCTACTTCCATTTGAGACCGAAGAGATGATTCGCTGACTAGTTGTATACTGATAAGTTTTGTTTCAAGAAACTGATCAAGATTTTGTTCGACAACAGTCTGAGAGATGTTGCATAGCGATGCAAGTGCTTGAAACTGCATACTGGCTGTCGCACGGAAATCAATTGGTAAATAAAAGGTATTGATGGCACTTTGACCGAGAAAGTCGATCCAGTCTTTGGACACGAAAAAACTGGAACAAATCGGATGAAATCGTGGTTGGATCGAAAGAANTATACACGTTCAAAAAGCGGAAGAGGTACATTCTCGTTTTCTTTTTTTGTCAAGTTCATCTAGACGTTTCTGTTCAGCGTCTTGGGCAAGAAAGGGTCGAACTCGTAAACAAGTTATAAATGTTTTCGGAAAATCGGTATCCTTGGTTTGCAAAAGTTTTTTTCCATTCTCAAAAAAATAACATCAGATTTTTTTCTCTTCAACCTCAAAATCTCTTCGGTAAATTTTTATAAAAAAATTTTTTTGTAAGAAAGTCGTTCTTTGTCTAAACAAATATTTTTTTTATGAAAAATTTCGAAGAGATGACATCGGATTCGAGTTCCTCGACCTAAAAAACGCTTTGGTAAAATTTTAAGAAAAAGAAATTTTTTTGTAAAAAATTAGGTCTTTTTCTGAAAAAATTTTTTTTATGAAAAATTTCCAAAAAATAACATCAGATTCGAAGTCTCCGCATCGAAATACATCTAGAAATGTCTTTTTGGAAGAATCGATTTTCAATGTATTTTTGACCCTGCGGACATACTAGCAAACAAACAATTTATGTTTCTAAGACTCTTCTCTACGAGAGAGAGAATAAATGGACATCTGATAGACTAATCTCAGTTCGAAATTCGAACTTCGAATATAAATACATGTATATCTATATAATCCTAACATGCGATGCAAAAGTCTTTGCACAAATGTCTGAGTGTATTAAATCACTCTGCGAACTTCTAAACTAGTTAGATGTCTTTTTTGTTGGAAAGAGCAAAGTCTGAAGTTTAAGTTTTGTACAAAGTATATTTTTCGTGATCGAATCTTAGAGGTAGAAAAAGTCGAAAACAACACGCCTCTAAAAAAGTGTTTGCAACTTCGCTCTACCCGCATATCTTTTTCTTGTTTTTTTCTATTCGTTTGGCATACAAAGAGCAATGAAAGAACACTTTGACAATACATTTATGTAGTACAAAGTGTCCTCTTTCCAACGATCTATTACAAGTTAGATTTACTTTCAGTTTTTGTACAAAATTATAACTTTTATTGAGAGATACCACACAGTCAAGACATTCGACCTTTTCCAGCGATGAAAGTGCACTTTGAATGTTTTTTTCTGCCAAGTCTCTATCAGATGACATCATTGAAGGAAATGACGTTGGAAAAATCCAGTTCATGTATGATTGGAAGTGGTTTTTGAATCATATTTTTTCAGATCGCTATATCTTCTAAAAAACTGTATTTTAGCAAAACTTCAATTTCTAAAATGTGTTGATGGCAATATCAATAGCTACCGTAAATGACTTCACCACGGGTCACGTAGATAGAGCTTTTGATGCACTATAACATGGTGTAGTTTTTTACTGAAAACTGGGTCTACATAGGGAAAACAATTTAGAAATATAAACTTGTAAGATCGAAAAATGTTGCAAAACCCTCTTTAGAGGCGTGTTGTTTTCGACTTTTTCTACCTCTAAGATTCGATCACGAAAAATATATTTTGTACAAAACTTAAACTTCAGACTTTGCTCTTTCCAACAAAAAAAAACATCTAACTAGTTTAGAAGTTCGCAGAGTGATTTAATACACTCAGACATTTGTGCAAAGACTTTTGCATCGCATGTTACACGTTTAGGAATTGATAGGGATAGATTTAGTTATACCTGTGTATACCGGAGCAGTAATCCTATTCCGCAAACGGAATTCGGTCGTGTATAGGGAAGACGATATGTGAGGGTGAAGGGAGTGGGTGTAATTGCGGAATTGTGTGTATCGATTCCGGAATTGCTTCGGGCTAATTTCGGAATCGTAGGAACTGATCCCATGTGCGGAACAGATTCCCATATGTGCAACATTGCGGAATAGGATGTATTCTCGTATACCGGTGGACATAGGGTGACATATAGCTCGGCTAAGAGTATTCCTGAGACTATGTATAACAAAATCTATTCCTATCTATTCCTAAACTGTGCATGGGTGAATAGGCATAGCTAAATGTATCGCTATCTATTCCTAAGTATGTGTAGGAGTGTATTAGGAATTCGTCACTTATATTATAAGTCGAATTAGGCAGCTACTCGATATTTCGCATTCAATCAACTTTTCGGAGGAAAAGATTGGTGTCTGACAGAACGTATTTGTTTTGTCTAAATCATATTAACACTTTCCTATTTTGGAAATGGAAATTGTCTATTCGGACAACGTTCGTCTGTTCAATATCTGACTCTCCTAAAACAAATTCAAGCTGATCATTATAGTTCTACACTTCATATGAAAAATATCATCTGACATCGTACGAAAATGTATTTTCAAAATTCTCCGTTTTCCGTCATTGGTTTATATCAATTTAATTATTTTCCTTTTTTTTTGAGTTTGACCCATATGGTTCGAAAGCATGTTTTCAGCTTGTCGGTCACGCTCCCATAACATAGTGATGCACTTGTCGATTCTTTTGTCGGACTGTGGCGACGAGCAACTTTATTCTTAGTGAAAACAAACAAAAGAACTGATAAAACATTCATTTTGATCTAAACTTCATTCAAGATTTTCTCAAAGACAGTGTTTCTTCGTCAATGGATGGTTGTTGAACATTTGTACTGGTATTCCCTCCAAGACTGGTTGTTCTCTCTTCTGATGTTTTCATTGCATCTTTGGAACAAGATAACAATTTCCATATGGCTTCTTTTATCGCCGGTGTTTGTAAAATTGTGATAACATGAATAAAACTCATTCCAATAGCTATGAATACGTAACTAAGACGATAGGTTAAATAATGCGTTTGATATTGATTTCTTATTGTCTGGAAAAACAAAGTTAGATAAACTATACCAAGAAACATTAATGAGAATGTTGGCAAGACCATCCGTTTCAACATTGTGAAATGCCGATCGATTGTTCGTCGACGTTTAACAGTAATCGATGTTGTTTGACGAGCGTAAACATAAATCCAAGCATAGATACTCACGAATACGGCGATGAACACTCCATATACAGAAACGGCTATATATGCGACCGAGATTGGTTTTGTAAATGGAATCGGACAAAAGAATTCAGTTGGAATGTAAACAAATGCTCGTGTAAGTAACATTGGTAGGACGAGTAGAAAGGAAAAAATCCATTGAAAACAACACCAAAAGACAAATTTTATGTAGCTATATTGTTTTTTATAGAAAATCACTTGTAAAAGACGATAATATGCTTGAAGACAATAGCTTGTATAGAGTAAGGAGAAACCAGTAAAAAGGAAATAGGAACGCAGTGGACAAAGAACTTGTTGATCGTAAGTACTCGTAATGGTGGTATTGGGGAAAATATCGTTCATGATGATGTGGCCGTAGATAATCAAGTTGCTAATACAGAGTTCGATTGTACAAACACACGTGTTAGCAAGTAAGAGATTGCCAATGACATGATGACCAGTAAACTTACGAAAAATAACGATTAAGATTAGGGATGAAGTACAAACTCCACTGAGTAATGAGACAATACCGATAACATCGAGAAAGAGAATCCAGAACTGTGACATTCTTGTACGACAGAAAATGGAAAAATGAAAAGGCTAGAATCTTTCTCAAATCTCTTTAATTACCTCAGAGGTCTAATTACACTTCTCTGATATATTAGGTAGGCGTTGATTAGAAGCAGGCAAATGCTCACCTTCTATCTTCATATTGCATCTAATACCTGAAGGCATAGATAGACGACCATAACATATAATCTCATCTGGATTTTGTATGAATTAGAGAAAGAAAAAGAGAAGACTCTTCTATGGAATAGTAATGCCTAGAATAACTAATTTCGATTTGATCTGCGCTATTTCTCAAGTCACGGTGCACCTGAAATTGCCTAGCAGAATATTATTTGAACTGTTTGACTTCATAACATGATCACTATAGGATTTCTTTCGATTTGTAATAGTTTGTTGAGTCGGAATTGATCTTCGTTGTCGTTTGGCACATCCAAAGAGTAGATATCGTCATTGTTCATAGAAAATTATTTCGGAATAATCTGCTTGTCAATATATTGATATAGAACGTTTCACACCAGGTGGCAAGATATAACCATCGTGTCATAACGGCGAATACAAAGGTCAGTTGAAGAAGGATTAATTAGACATTCACGTAAACAATATCAAATGGTAAGTTTTAAGCGATTGTTAGTGTCATCTGAATTAACACTATAAAAAGCATTTGATTTTCCCGACGGTTGAAAACGAATTCAATTGCAGCAATTGTGTAATGCAAAGCGAATAAAGCCCAAAAGATGAAAATGCTGACTGTCATAACTTGACTTTTTCTCAATGTGATGAATTTCTGAATAGCTGGATTCAATGAACTGATACAAAAGCGATCGATTGCTATCAATGTCGGAAAAGTGGATGATAAACACGGTCTAGAGAATCGAAAGAAATTGCCAAAGTCGTGATGACAAAATTTCACTATCACGATTGACATTCACTATACTGCTCTTCCTTCAATGAGAGCAAATGCATGGATTGTGATAAGATTCAGAAAGAAGATGGCTAAGAAATAAATTCCAAAAAGATTTATTTCGAAGTTGTTTGTATATAAATGTAAGCAGATTTGTAGAGCAGTACCAATGATACCAGCGACATAAAGGCCAACCAATATAGAAGGATTGATTTTGTGGAAAATCGCTAATGTTCCAGACAAATGTTTAGATGAGCTATACTCTTTTGTGTGCTAAAATGAAGTCTATGCGAAAATTTTCTTTCTAAGTAGATTCTAATTATGAATTTATTTGATGGAAATACCTTGACGATATGATAGTCGAGTGTCCATTTATATGTTATTTCAGTTGATTAATATTCGGATATCAAAATTATTCTTCTAATCAGTTTTGATTATGATTACAATGAGAGTTCATTTGTCCAAAGTTGGATCGCGTATGTGCGAAATCACACTGGTCACTTCAAGCAATTTACATATCGAAGTCATAATATTCTCTTAATTAAGATTCTTCACTACATATAGTGGACATCGAAAAAGAGTTTATGAGTATAAAAGTTGTACGTCACACTTCAAACACGGTAAAATAATTATCGTGGTTTAAGAATGAGCGAATCATGTCGTTTATTTCGATCAAAAATATTAACAACAGTACTCGAATATCAGAATACTCAATAATACTTAACTGAGTTTATTCCACCTCTCTAATGATATCGAAATTCAAAAGCACCGACAATGTCAGTTTACATCAGACTGAATCTTCCATAGTTTCAAGACGCTCATAACTGAACTTATACACTACAGTCGTCGTTTTATAGATGTTTCAACAGACGTTCAAATATTGCAATATGTTTTTTTCCAACTTGCGATATATCCAACAATCATTTCTACGTCCTCTGAATTAGTCATCACACAAGGCAAGAGAAACACTTATGGTATATGATGTAATCACCTGAGTCATATTGTCAGGTATATAAAAGACAGACTGCTGCATGCTTTCTTGTTCCTTTTTTTCTTCCTTGCCAAAGTTAATAGTTAAACTATGTCGTCGACAGATTCTATACAATTGACTCAGCCAACAACTACGTCGGATGATTGCTCGATCTGTTTGAATAGTCTCACATCGAACTCAATTTTGTTAACATTAACATGTAATCACAGATTTCATCTACAATGTTTGGCTTCCAACATTCAAGCACGGAACAATGTGTGCCCTCTGTGTCGATCAGCGATTGATGCAACTGCTGTGCAATTGCTAGCAGGTGTGACTCACCCGCCGCAAACACTACCGCTTTACAGTCCGTCTCCTCCTCCTCACATACCTATTCGACCACACTCGGTGCCAGTAAGTTTTCTTTCTGTACGTAAGGATATTGCATAATTCTACGTTTTCATAGACAATTCCTTCTGTGGAAGATCCAGTTGATGAAACTGCAGTACAAGCTCTTACAGATCGAGTCTCATCTGCACGGCAGGCTGCTGCTACTGCCGCCTCAGCTGATACACCTACCGATCGTCCAACGATCACGGCTACAACAACGCTGGAATACTGTGCTCAACCACTTCAGCCTGCTTCAAACATCTACGGTCTAGTCACACTCCAAGCTCCTTCACAAATCATCTCATTGAACGATGCGTCGTCAACACCAACTCGTGTTCCCATCGATCTTGTTTGTGTTGTTGACCAAAGCGGATCGATGGCTGGCGATAAATTGACTTTATTAAGACAAACTCTTGTTTACATAACCGAACAATTGAATGATCTCGATCGTCTAGCAATCGTCTCATTCGATACTCGAGCTTACGATCGTTCACATGGATTAAAACGAATGAATCCACAAAAGTAAGCCCGTCCTCATTTCTCAACAAACCATTATTCATTTCTTTTCAGTCAACAGACTTTAACCAACGCAATTAATAATGATATTGTTGATGGCGGTGGTACATTCATTGGATGCGGTCTAAAGATGGGTATTGACCTATTGAAGGATCGGCAAACGAAAAATCCCATTGCTGCTTTACTCCTACTCACTGATGGTCAAGACAACCGATCGCATGACTATACAGAATTATTATCGACATTGCCGGCCGATGTATTATGTCATACGTTTGGTTATGGACCTGATCACATGGCGAATCTTCTAGTAAAAATAGCGGAAACAGGAAACAACGGCAGTTTTACATACATCGTACGTTTCTCTTTTTGAAATCTTGGAATTTGTTCTTATTTTGTTTCTCTTTATGTACATAGGATCAAGAGCAAGCAGTAGGTGCCGCTTTTGCCGTGACATTGGGTGGCTTATTTAGTTGTGTTGCAAAACAAATTCAAGTGCGAATTGAACTTAATGGTCAATATACTATCACTGATATACATTCGAAATATCCATACGAACCAACAGCTTTACCCTCGAATAAATTAACAGTCAAATTCAATGATTTGAATGCTGATGAAAAACGGAATCTGATTTTTCAATTACATGTGCCCGAAGTCGAGGAAAGCCAAACTATTGACATGAACAGTCAAAATGCCATGTCACAAGACGTACAACTGGCTGATGTGCCTTCGGTGATAGGCCATGTTTCAGTCACCTACACTGATCCCAATAATGATCAAATAGTAACAACGTTACCTGTTCCTTTCGAATTGATTCGAGCAGCAGCACCAACCACTGAGCAACTTCAAGTCAATTATACTCTCGATTTACAACGAAACCGTGTTGAGACAGCTCGTGGATTAAAACGAGCTATGGATGAGGGTGATTATCATCGATCGCGAAATATTCTCAAAGATCAAGTGAAGAAAATCAAAGCAAGTGTTTCTGGCAACGATCCATTTTGTCGATCGTTAATTCAAGATCTTGCACATCATTATCCGTCGGAAAATGCCTATCGTTCATCACACAATAATACGTACATGCAGCATTCGTCGGAACGGGGTACATATACACCGACAACAACATTAAGTTCACTGATGTATCAAAATCGTTGTCAACGGCGGCAAGCAAGGCATTTTCAACAACAGGTACAGATGCAACAACCGCCTGTTCAACTACAATCTCAACAACAACAACAGCAGCAACAACCAATGCCTGTTGAACCACCATCGCAACAAGAGCAAAAGCCGGATGAACAAAACAACGACCAGATATAGCTTTCTTCTTTCTAGGCGTTATTTCTTGACTTTTCTCTCATAATCATGAAGTATAATGGAAATTGTAAACTGTGGATTCACAGTGCTCGCTTACAAAAAGTATCTTGATGAACTTGATAACAAATAAATATTGACTATATTTCATAGCATAATAACTGCGTATTAAAGAAGTAGATGAGAGTGTCGATCAAAACGCGGATGTCTTACGAACTTTTTTTATCAGATTTTCCGTAAACGCCATTGTTAGTGAACAGTACTTTCTCATGTCGAATAATGCGGAAGCGAGCAAAGATTTTCGCACAAACTAATTACATTTCTACATAGAGTGCATATTAGTGCTGCACTACAAGAACAGATCACTCTTGATAAAACTTTATTATCTGTAAGAAGATTGTCAGTATTAACGTCCGAATATGTTTTTCAAATAGAGGCAAAAAGTTAGAGAAACGTCTTTCTAGATCATTATTATTGTGAAAATAAGCTTTGACACAAGACGAGCTTGTGTCAACCTCAGATATCTTAAGGGAAGAAACCTAATTAATCATCTCATGTAGTCAAATTACACTCAGAATACTTACTGAGTAAAAAAAGATATGCGCAACTTTCAACGTACGGGATGAACAAAAAAATTCTATTAACTGTCATTTCACACTTGTTCTTCAGGAAGAATAATTAAGTATGTCAGCGGCATCTCAACTCAATATATCTTTATTGCTAGTTCAACAAGTATTGACACGTTACGATTATCCACTGATATTTCTATTGGGCGACTTTGGTAATATACTCAACATTTTTCTTTTTCTGCGAAGAAGGTTGCGAAATACTTCGTGCAATATTTGTAAGTGACATTTGTCAGACTCGAAGAGTACAAAATACGCATTTCAATTCTTTTCTGTTTAGATTTTCTCGCGTCGGCTTTTACAAACTTAGTCGCACTCAATGTTGGTATCATTTCATTGCTCTATGTGTATGAACAACCCTCAGCTGTGACTCTAACGTATTGTAAAACTCGAAACTATGTCCTGAATATCTCTCAGCAGGCGTCGCGATTTCTTATCGTGCTTGCATGTTTCGATCGCTTTGCATTATGCTCAACTAGTGCTGGTCTTCGAAAGGTTTGCCAAGTACACATTGCTCTTCGCTACATTATTCCGTCTATTATTGTCATCTGGATGATTATTCCATTGCACATACCGATTTCTTACAGCATTTCGAAAAATACCTGTATATTTCCAGGAATGATGGTACTCTACAACGGGATCTATGGTATAACCATGGCTGGTTTATTACCGCCTGGACTTATGCTAACATTTTCTTTGCTTATATATCGTAATCTGAAACTGAAACAAATACGTCGACGACAACAGATCTATCCATTAGTGAACAATGCTAGTGTCAATCCGAGAATCCGACGACAACAGATAAAAGATCAACAAGCTCTGGCTATGTTATTAATACAAGTAGTTATTTATGTCAGCTCCACGACTCTATATACAACTAATTTGATGTATACGGTTTTGACAATGAATGACGCAGCGAACAAATCGAGCGAACGGAAAGCGATCGAAACGTTTGCATCGTTCATTGCTGGTATCCTTGTCTTCGTTTGTCCATGTTTATCATTCTATTCGTTTACATTAGCGTCCCGTCTATTTCGAAAGGAATTGCGATTGATGATGTGTCATCTTTGCAATGGACGATGGCACTGGTCATGTTTAACACGCAGCAACAGAAATGATACTACAAGCAATGCCGTAGCAGCTCCCAACGCCATAACTCAACCGAGAATGACATAGTTTGCTTACGTTGATCGTATTTTAGAACTGTCTCTGACATCTTTAGTTACGCAACACATACAAAAGAGAAACTTATCTTCATGCACTAAATATTCCGCCGTATATATGTGAAGATGGTATCTCAAATAAGATTTACTTCTATCCCAAAATTCTCACTTATACTCTCAAGATTTATATAGTTATGAGGTTGTTTCGTCTGCTTGAATCTTTTCCATCAATATCGAAAGTGTTTCCATCTTCTCTCGAACCATTCGTACTTCATAATGATCATCTTTAAAAAATTGTAATAGCATGTTTAAGCTCTCCTGATAACACGCCATTCCTCTCATGTAATCGTTCATTCGCACCAAATTTGAAGCCATATGGTGAAGAGTGAATCCAATATCAGGATGTCCATGAGAATGAGCGCTTCGTTGTAAAGGCAGAACTCGTTCGAAAATTTCCTGCGCTTCTTCAAACTGCCCATTGTGACTGTAAGCTGTAGCAAGATACGTTTCTATAGAGTTTAAATACATATTCAATGGATCACTTGACTTAGCCTTCCAATAATGACATGCTAACTTCAAGGTTTCGATTGCTTCTTCATTTTTTCCCATATCTAGATAAGTCAAACCTAAAGAAGAGTAGGGTTGAGGAGTTCCCGGCGGGAAAAGACTTGTGCGCATAGCTAATGCATTCAATTGACAACTGAGGGCATTATCAAATTCCCTTCGGATACGATAAATAGAACCAATGAGATTCAAACAAAAAGCTGTAAAGACATGACCTCGAGGAAACTGCAGCATCCAAATACTATATGCCTCACAATAATGATTAAATGCTCGCTCCCAGTAGCCCAACGCTTGCTCATTAATGCCTATCGATCGTAATGTGCTTGCTCGTGAAGAATGATCTTCTGGAAGATATCGATTCTGATACTGAAGTGCTTGATTCAGATAGTCAAGTGCCTTTTCAAATTGCCCAAGAGCTTCGTAGGCGCCAGCAAGTGATCTCATAGTACTGGTCCGTTTCGGATGATATTCTGGTAAAGACTTTTCATATATTCTCAGTGCTTCTCTCCTATATGTCAGCGATTCATGATAGCCGACATTATTTCCATACCAATTTCCTATACTTTTCAGTGTGTCGGCAATATGGACATGATCTGCATGTAATGTTCTTCGTTGTCTTTGTAGTGTTTCGTCGTAGATGCTGAGTGCTGGTTTCAGCTGATTTGTAAAAAGCAATAAATTAGCCAGACGAAAACGGCACCGAAGATAGAAAATGTTATCTTTAGATATATTCATTTGATCAAGCCTTGAGAGACCATCTTCTAGGCACAATCTTGCTTTTTCGTATTCGCACATATGATAAAAACAGTCGGATTGGTTACAAATTATGTTTGCACGATTAGATACATCGCTTGAATCCAGCCTAGAAATGAGTAATGTGAAATATTTGACTGCTCGTCCATATTGTCCCATGTGCATGAGTATCCGGCCAAAAATGATTTCATTCGTAGCAGTTTCTACATCAGATTTCGAAATTTTTAGATAATCATCGAGTGCTTCTCGTCCCTCGTCTGTCGCTTCCAAATAAATTCGCCAGCGACGTCCATTAAGTTCTTCAAGAACGTTGACGACTCGAAAAACAGTGAATAGATTGAACAGCACTTCTTCTTCGTCTTTATTTGTGCTCAGTTTGTCGATACGTGCAAAAATTGTGAATCGAAGGCGAGTATTCACCTCAATCTGAAATATCACACTTCTCTCTGATGCATCCTGTAAACCGTCAGATCCGCTGAAATCTTCAGCTACACGTTCATTTAATGAAGCCGAGAAAAATGCATTGACTGAAACAAGCTGATCAATATTCTTGATAAATTTGTTCAGCTCCCAAACAAACATCGTCTGTCCACGGTAGAGGGTTACAGTCGATGTCGAGAAAGGTTCCAACTGTTGTTGCCTTTGCAGTTGGGAGCAAAGATCCACAATGAACACACGATAAGTATAAAGAGCATCAATATCGATTGTTCGTAATGCTTCATTTACTCGGCGGTAGACAAAACTATCCTTCGTGTACCATTGGATACTACTTGAAGGACTATAACTCGTACGAAACTCGTCGATTGTCTTCAGTTGAGTGGCATTATCCCGGTAGTGATCCTGGCACGCCGTTATCATATCGTCCAAATCATGAGCACCAATTGGAAATTTCTTAAGTATTTCAAGTAACATTTGTGACCACATGAATGAAGCAGCTTCTGAGTTAAGTTCGGACATAGTTCTTTGACCTAAATCCCAGCAAGATATTGTCGGTGATTCTTGTTTTGTCAATTGGGTGATCGATGCAATCTGCTGTGTTAGTGCTATTGAATCAGGAAAATAGACAAGCTTTTTATTTGTTAGCGAATCTGCATTCGAGTTCAGGACATAAATAGCTTTCAACTGTGGCAAAGCACCACATTCAGAAAGAACATCTCCTGTTGCCTTCTCATTTGCAGCCACCAAAATAATATGCTCACTATTTTCTTTAATACATTGGATGCATTCTTGTTTATTTGTAAAGCTCTTGCTGTGTCGTACCGTTAATTTAATTTGTTCGAGCAATGTCCGAGAAGATTCGAATGTGCTCGAATCATCCCAAACGAATACTTCGCATTTCTGTGCATGACACATGTTTTCATCGATCCTCGTTGACCGATAAATCGTTTGTGAGTCGTTGTACGTTTCGGTTACTCGAAAATCGAATTGCAACGGTGTAGCTTCTGTGTTGCATGAAATTTCCTTGTTACCAAACTTTGATTTCCAACAATAGTACCATAATGTTATAAAAGACATCATCTTGGAATTTTTCGATTTTTACAATTGTAAGAGTTCTTTTTTCGCTGCAAGTTGATTATATGTATTGAGAGACTTAGTCGGTTTCTCGTGTCCGTAATTGGATGAGAAGAAAAACATCAGCGTCGAAAAATATGTCTAAAAAAACTTTAGTTACGGCGTACTCCAACGAAAAATTTATTTGAATATTTTATCGTGATTAAAACTTCTTTATTGACATACAGCACAAAAAAATTCTAGAGGCTATTATAACGTGCACTTCTTCGAATACGAAAAATGATGAATGCAATAGTTGTGATTAACGCGACGACCAAGCCTGCGATTGAAAGACCCAATGTGGTATGATCACTTTTCCGTGTGGATGGGGTCGAAGTTTCGCTCTGCGAATCGATCGTATTCGTTCGACTGATGACTACTTTTGTTTGATTCTTCGTCGAAATAGGATAGAATGGTGGCAAAATAATCGATGGCAACTTTTGCATCTCTGGCATCTTGTCGAACTTTAAACATACATATAGAGGACAATCATTTTCAATAGCACCCATAACATATGAACTATAACCATGTAGACATTGTTTTGCTGCCGAAGGAAGTATTACGTTTCCTTGGGAGCATGAAAACATGCCGCCATAATGAGGTAAATTTCTCGTATCAAATACTTGATCGGCTAAACATACTATTAAATCGGAAGTCACTTGAACTGCTTTAAATTGATCGTTGGGACACTTATGCATCCCAGTGATTGGATTCGCTCGTACTGATGTATACGAACCACCGTATACATATCTGTTAGAAACCGATAGAAGTCCTGATAATGAATCGCGTAGCATAGTTTTGCTATTGCAAAGAAATAATTTTATTTCACGTCGACCAACGCCATCGGGAATATCTTTGCAGCACCGTCTTGTGTACAGGTCGCAACGTCGACATTCTTCTCTATAAACAGTTTCCGTTTGAACTGATTGATGAATAAGATATTGATTGAAACCAGATGGACATTCAAACGTTTGTGTGTAGAAATTCTTCATATTATATTGGCCGCATCTCCTAAAGTCACAAAACGAACACTGAAGTCAAACCGAACAGATTAAATTCACCGTTGACTTACTGTGCTAAACGTCGATCTTCAGTGCAAGTACGAATAAAACCTCCAAACTGAGCATTCGTTTCAGCCGGTGCACAAGAACTATCATCGACATTAGCAATCCAATTGAACGATGGTGAACTTCGGTTCATACATCCGCCGCACACATTCATTTGAACATACGTGTCAATAGCTTGAGCAATCTTCTCGCGCACACGTAGCAATGCAGTTTCGGACAGTTCGGGAATTTTATTTGAAACAATGTTGATTGTTATATTCTCTACCGCACGTCGAACAATAACCGGATCAGTTTCAACTGTTGCTTGCCAAGTGTTCATCGAATTTTCTAGTAAAGATACTTTGCCGCCTTTCGTTTGTATCATTCTGCGTTTGATAGTCTTTTTCAAACCTTCGGTACTATTATCGATCGATGTTGAACTATACGCGAATTTTCCGGATATACTGAACGTGCTAAAGAATGATGCTTCAGCCGCGGCATGATAACTACGTTTAGTCTCTTCGTTGAATTGATAGTTACTATTGTAGATGAAATCCTCTTCGATAAGTGAGCCACCTAAATGTATACGATTGGTCACATGAGTTCCATAGTTTCTTACAAACATCTGTGCAGCGTATGTAGCCATTTCTGTTTGTTCATTTTCTAAATATGTCGATATTTCCATGAGATCGTATTTCATTTGTGGATTCAGTGGACATGATGATTTGAGTAAGACTTCAACCATGAGGTAATCAATTTGATTGCGAAGAGTTATCGTTTGCTCTTCGCCTTGCTGTCGTTTTACATTCTGATATTCCGATGAATAAGAACCACCGATTCGAAACGTTAGATAGCCGCCTTTCGAACTGATCATCAGATTCGATGAATAATCAGTTGTTCGCGAGTCGAAGACATCGATCAATTCCGATCCTAATGAAATCCTATTTTGACGAATCGGGATGATTTCAACACATGACTGGAATACTCGAGAATCGTTGAAATTCGATATATCATACACTGGATTCATGTCGAGAAACCGTAAGTCATCCCAACCATAACCGGGAAAAACGTCAATTTTCAGAGTTTTTTCTCCATCAGCTTGAGTTTGACAGACGCAGAGTAGGAGAACTAGTAAAGCTTGAAAAATCATTGTACTACTATATTTGATTATATTTCATGCGAGTTCAGTTGATGTATTTATACTCAGGCTTGGTCGGAAGTAAACGTTATCACCGAAAGGGCTAATCACAAATTTACAAAAGTCATGAAAGAATATGACTCAACTTTGCATTTCAGATAAGATTTCGCCACTTTTCAACATGCAGCAGGTTGGAATAAAAGTAGAAATAACGTCATAACACTTCAAGGACAGAGAATGGTGAAGACATGAATCATAGTGCACTTCTCACTACTCGTACATCGATAATGGTCGACAAAGATACATTATAAATCTTTCTTCATACGAAACTTGCCCTAGAACATATTTTATTAGAATACTTGTAACTGTGAAGTATTCCAGAGCTGTTTAATCGCTGTAGCATAGTCTCCAGGAATAATTCTCTCATTCGGATCAATCTGGGTAAAGAGTGACTTCCATTTCATTGTCAAATCTGCTTTTCTTCTCAAGTTTTCCTGGTGCATCTTCTCATGAATCATCTTGAAGTCAGTTTTCGATAGTTTATCGATCAAATCGATCCATGATGAGAATGTCTGAATATGTGGCAGTTGATAATAGTCTGCAAACTGTAACCAATAAGCAATAGCTTCGGGTGATTGAACATCTTCAGGTGAATATGGATGATTAGATTTTGGATGTTGCTTTGGCATATCTGTGAACTTAATTTTGTGCCCACAGTAAAATGGATCAATCAATGTTCGATCATCAACAATCTTGAGTTTAACAATGAAGTCAATCGATGGAATGAAGATCGGCACTCCTAATGCATACAGTTCTGTGATGCCATAACTGAGCACAGCATAAGGTAAAAGAACAACAGCACGATGATCTGCAATTTGTTGTAGTTGATAATGTTTATAGAGGCTTTTAGCTGTTGCGAACCGAAATAATGTGTTAAGAGCTTGAGCAGCTGCAGTCATATTGGTAATAAAAGGATGTCCAGCTTTCTGTAAGGGTCCGACCAGGATTTCTGACCTCGCTCGAGTGAAGTTTGTTACATTGAATGCATACCAGAGTGAATTGACTGGTAACAGAATCGAATCTAAGCCTGTATAGTATTTGATGTATTCTTGATCATAACGACCACCGGCTGCAATGAAATGTTTTGGTAGTTGTTGTTGTTGTTGTTCAGATCGAACAGATTGTTGCATATGTAGAATGAGACGATCAAGTTCTGCTCGCGAACATCGGCCGAGAGTGAATCGATGTGCCGGTAGCCAAATAATCGTTCGATTGAAAGGCATGTAGACCTCACACATTGAAGATGGAAATGAACAAAAAAATGCATTCACACGACGCATCAGAGGATCTTTGTGATAATAATTGAAAAAGTCTTGTATATCTTTTTCTGCAAGTGAATCACTGTGAGTTATGTGAGAATGCAGAAAAGGTGCAAGTGCACGTTGATCACCAGCAAACAAGATGTGAGGACGAGTGAGTGCTGAACGATAATAATTGTTTCTTTGGAAATGATCTGCGATGATTATTTCTTGATTGAGACCTTGAAGCAGTGTGGCTGTGTCAACGCGACACCCATGATGTAAATTACTTGCCCAAAATGTCAATGTTGCTCTTGGTTTGTTCGTTAGTGGACGAATTGATAGATTCGGTTTCCAATAAAAATAAAGCAAAACGGTGATAAGCAATAAAACAACGATAAGAACTCGACTGCGTCGGATGAAGACGTTCATTTCCACACACTCAAGTGCGATGTTGGGTTCTGAAATATATAAAAATTTCTTCTTGCAACAGTTGATTTGGAATGAGAGAAAGAGACAGAGAGTGTGAACAGGGTGTTCCTCTATAAAAGCGATAACACACAGGAACTAGTTGCAGTACGAGAATCGTGTAATCAGTTATCAGCGAGTTTTTCTCTCGCACTTGAAAAAGAACTGTAGCACAGCGTATTGCTTGACAAGCGAACGTATGTAGCTACGTAAGAGGAAAGAAACGACAAGCATAATCAGGCACGTACGCAGAAATGTTTTGAGAGGGGGGGGGGGGGGGGCAAAACCCTCAAAATTAAAAGTTTTTTTGAAACGAGAAACCTTTTTCCTGTTCTTCCCACCGGGGGACTTTTTTCCTAAGAGGGGGGGGGGGGGGCTAGAGCCTCATTAGACCCCCCCCCCTTCCGTACGTCCCTGAGCATAATCATAAGTTAACATAAACGAGAGAATGAATGGTGAAACACAGACTAAGAGGTCTCTGCGTGAGTTATACGATATGCTGGATACAATACTACTTTGCGAGCGAACGACAAAATCAAAGAATAGAGAAAAAAAAGAACAGATCACATTTTTGAAAGATATTAGGGAGAAAAAAAAGTTATGTTTCGATTCTATGAATCATCATAGGCAAGTAGTATATTTGATCCGTAAGTTTTTTCAGACTATATTGCTCTATCTTATACTTCTATTTTTTGCTTATCGACTCTGCGTTTCTCGAGAAAAATCAAGCCCAGAGAGCACGCCATATCAACAGAATAATATTTAAATGTTTCAGTTGTATAGAATACACACGCATACACTTTTTATACAGAAAGTAACTAAGGTGATTTATGAGCTGTAAGAGTATCTTTCCGTTTTTTGTCGATTATTAGAACAAGTAACGCTCATTCTTTGGATTCGCTGACCCTTTTGTGAAAGACTTTTCCGAATGCTGAACACATTCAGAGACTTCGAAAGAAAAAAAATGCACTGCGATTGCTACTAGTGCTCAACTGAACCATGGCACTATGTCACACACTAGAATGAATATGGTGCAAAAGTATTTTTAGGAATCAGACCGATTAGCCATTTGTCAGTGGATAATTCTCCCGCACTAACTATGTTGACTGAAAAAATCATCGCTCAACAGCTAGTCAGACGGCCACTCACGGTTAACCATTGACCTTTGTCATCTGTTTTTCTATTTTCACATCACGCGCATGGAAATTTTCATAAATGCTTTACTAAGTCACTCATAGACGGACGATATACAGTAGGCTACTTGAAAAGTTTGAACATTCGTCTGTGTCTTCCAGCGATAATCCGATTATTTTCTCTCCTGTCAACAAAATGATACCTTGTCGAATATTTTCATTGAGAAATATCCATTCGTCAAATCCCTTTCAAAATTATCTGAAGCCTGGCAAGGTTATTCTAAGCGTACACTTTAGGATCAATCTAGCATTTAAACGCCTAGTCGTTCGTCGACCTCCCTCCGGTCGGTTACTCACGGCTAGCCGTTACCATGCTGTCTCTGTTATTCCTTTCGCCTTTGATCAACTTCCAAACTGAACGATTGGGTTTTCTTTTATTGTCGCTTCTACAGTCATGATCTTCTATTCATTCGACTACCCAAAGAAACTAGATAAGAAAGTCTTATTATATGATTTGCTTCGAAACGAACATCTTTCATAGCGCTGTATGTGTTCAGAATACTGTTTCTACAGTCCACGCGTCTGTAGTTACTAAGATGGAATTCCACTGATGGGTAAATCGCTTTGCGAACTATTTCTACTAAATTTCCATGAAAGGACATGATGTATGTAGCCTACAAAGCAAAGATGATACTAAGCTCATATCACTTTTTCGGATTTCTTGAATTAGAAACATCATTATGTACAATCCATTAGATCTTTTCGTGTAAGTTCTTGAGCTACTATCTTTGTACACATGACGTCCGTGAATAGCGTTCAGCTCATCATCTTCTACAAAAGATTTTAGAACAGATAAAGAAAAATATCTCCTTTATAAAGAGGAAGGAACAAGCCCAGGCGCAGCGAATAAAACAAAATTCGCCCTCAAATTCGAATTTCCCGACGTCAGAAATCCTTCGGTCTACTCTGACAATGGATGTTAATAAGTCGTGGCTAGTTAATGAAAAACTAATAATTAATTAATCAACACTAACCTCAGATTCGTGATCCTCGACCTCGATTACCCTTCGGTCGACTCTTACTCGACAACGAAGAAAATTTTCATCGCCTAATTAGCTAATGAGCTAATTAGAATTTCGAGAAACTAACCTCGGATTCGAGATCCTCGACCCCGATTACCCTTCGGTCAACCCTTACCCTGCATATTAATAATTTATGTCTAGTTGACAGATAGTTAATTAATAGTTAATAATTAGTTAAAACGAACCTCAGATTCAAGTTCCGCGACCTCGATTACCCTACCGGTAATCATTTTCTAACAACTATCGATCAATTTCATTGATTTTAGAAATGCTGATTTCTGATTGGATAGGACAGACTGACAGACAGACAAACTTTAAGCTTTTTAACACAGCATTTAAACGCTGTATAACCCTTTCTTTCAGAAAAGGGAACTAGAGAACGACTCGGTCGATCGAACTGAAATTTTCATCGAGTGTGCAACGTTCAAATTAGTCGACACCCGTTCGAGGAAGTCTGTGCTTCAGCTCTTCTTGGTCCGTTTGCCATAGATACATAATGATAAAGGTAGTTTTAGGCTATTTCAAGAATCTCACGACTTTTCGTGACCTCTCTTCTTCTCCTTCCGAAGTCCAGGAATCTGGTAAATATGAATAACATAATCACAAGTGAAACTTACAAGCTAACAAAATCAAACGTCAGGAAAAAACCTGGTCGTGAGAAAATATGTTTGAAAAAGTGATCACATCATTTCTAGCGTCTTTTTGCGACAAACTTCATGACTAAAATAGAGTGCTAACGACAACGTAAATTTACACTGTATAGTCATATACGATAGTAAAAATGAAAACTACCCTATCTGCTTTAACGATGCTCTTCAGTGTAAGAAAATTCATCAGTATGCGCTCATTTTTGTACTCTTCCTCCATTTAATTTGAAATTAAGCTAATAAACATACTACAAAACATAGCTTTCGAAACGTATTCCATTTTGTCCTCAGACAATATCAATTGCGTAGTTCTATTTGAAATATATGTTTAATAAAGAACATGATTTTGTTTCTTTCGTCAACACTTAGCAATTATACAGATGAAGCTTCAGACCCAACGAAGCTATTTCACCACCGTGTCTTCTAGAGCACTATGGTATGTTGATCAAAGGAAGAAAAAAGTATACTTTCTTTGTCAAATACATATATAAAGTTAAACTCTATGCCGTTGACATTGTCTAAAGTAGAAAGGCGATGTATAATTTCGAAAGCTAACTTATCATTTCTTTTTAACTAAACAGCAAAAATGAATTTATATTTACTTTGACAATAAAATTAACAGCGATCGTAAGAAAAAAATGTCGAATCAAGAAGAACGCGTAAGTTCTTTTTCTAACCTTAACAAATTATATGAAACTATCGTCATCGAGTCGTTATGCCATATTCAAAGGTCAAACCTCTCAAAGAATGTGAAGATTACAATATGCTGTCGTTTTATTCATGAATGTGTGAGGATGATAGAGAAATCGTCACTATCCGCCATTGAAATATATTCTAATCACATTTTCACACTAAGTCTATTCTTATCAGTTGCCTGTAACATTGATTCTGACCAGGTTTATTGAGTAGAAAAATGATGGTCTTTTGTCACTGATAATTTCTAGACACTTTTTCTTCTAATAGAACTGAAGGACATCATGTATCATTATGAACGCAATCATCTTCCAAAGATCGTCCGCAATTTTACTCTTATCGTTTGCATTTCGCTCGTCCTATTGTATGCTTCGAGTAAATTACTGAATACTAAAACTTCAACCTTCGATCTACTTACTTCGGAACCACTGAATCCATTTGTTTGTTCTCTTCGTGGAGAACGATGGATTGTGATCACTACAATATTTTATCCAACTTTGGCTATTCACAAGTTTCTCAATCTCAGTATCCAATGGAATCTCGTTATTGTCGCTGATCGAAAAACTCCAACTGATTGGATGTCTCGTCTGCATCGTAGTGATCAGTCTCGTGTTCTCTTCTTATCTCTCGACGAACAACGATCACTTGGCTATTCGATTCTCCAGTATGTACCCGAAGGTTCGTATGCTCGAAAGAACATTGGTTATCTCGTTGCCATTGCCTGTGGAGCGAAGATTATCTTCGAATCTGATGATGACAACGTACTCGAAACCAACGATATTCGTGTTCTGCCGAAAGAAGCGAGTCCAAACGATGTACCTTGGGTGTCTTTTCATCGACAACGATCGCCTTTCGTCAACATCTATGGTTCATTTGGTCAGCCACACATCTGGCCAAGAGGATTTCCTGTCGACGAACTCAGAAACGTCACTGAAGACGGATGGCATTCTGTCAGAAGAAATCGGGACAAAATAACCAACACTTATATTCAACAATATCTTGCTGATCTTGATCCTGATGTCGACGCCTTGGTAAGTTCTACTATATGGTTGTACACGAAACGAATTGTCTTCTTGTTGTAGTATCGTTTAACGCATCCACTGTCGATTGGTCGAATTCAGTTCGATCCACAACAGCCTCCAGTCGCTATCCAACCATTCACATTCTCGCCATACAACACTCAGAACACAGTTACACACTACGAAGCGTTTTGGGGACTTTATTTGCCTGTAACAACTACATTTCGAGTGTGCGACATCTGGCGAGGCTTTTGGGTACAACGTCTACTATGGGATATCGATGGTCGTCTTGTATTTTCCACAGCTACCGTGAAACAAGTGAGAAATGCTCATTCATACATTAAAGACATGGATGATGAATCTCAGCTGTACCATCAATCAGGCTCGTTCGTTCGTTTCTTGGCTTCGTGGTCATCGTCATTGCCCACGCTTGTCGAGAGAATCGCTCAACTAGCAATCGATATCGCTCACGGTGGCTTCTGGCACGTTCGAGAAGTCGACATAATGAAGGCGTGGCTTCATGATCTTCAATCTGTTGGATATGTTTTTCCATCAATCGTTTCTCCAGCAACTCGTAGCACGACGTTAGAAAAGCGTGCAGTTGTATGCATCACAGGCTATACAAAGTGTGCATACACGTGGAACTCTATTGATTTCACAATCCGACAACGTTTGAAAGGCGATATCGACACTATATTGTTTCTTTCTTCGTCTTTTATACCAAACTCCGTGCCATTTATTGGTCGACGCACATCGTCGCATGCTCATCTCAATGTCACAATGGCTGTTTTTTATGAGGATAGAGTCATCGATCCAAGGATTCCTGATGATTGTCATATTCACTTTCATCTACCTAACAACACTTCTGATCACATTCGCAACTACTTGCAACAGCTATGGTCTGCGAAACAATGTTACAATCTCGTCAAAGACTATGAAAGACGCTTCAATCTTCGGTATCAGCTACTTGTGCATACTCATATCAATACTCTTACTCGAATGCCTGCAGACACATCGCGTGTGAACAGAACGGTGATATTGTCATCTGTTCGCTACAATCCACACTATGACGATGGTTTCACTCTAGGACCGTTAAACATGATGAAACATTACATGACACGATGGGATGTTCTTCGGCATTGTCCATCTGATAACAACCACCGCCCAGATATGTTTCGATTGAAGCACTTGAGCCGATTTACTAATTTTACTGTGGATGTGCAGTCGAATGCACATGATAATGTGGCAAAAGACAAAGCGAACTATTGCTGATAAATTGTGCTGTTATTCTTTTTTTTTTCAATTTTTTCATGAACGTTTCGAAAATATTGCATTGGTTAATCAGAACGTATGGTACGTAGATCTGTCCACTAAAACATGTACGAATAAGTGGTGGTGATGAAAGGACATCTGACCACACGATAGTTTGGTAAGAAATTTTTCAGTTGATGGTGAGATGAAGGTAGTGGATACAAAGTACGGCTCTAGAACACTTGAGCACTCGTCATCAGATCGTATTTTTAGAGAAAGTAAACTACATTACGTATAAATGCCACAACTTAACGAAGATACGTCGTATTTCAACGAAAACTTTACTGAAGAGAGACTAAGAGCGTGACCCGTCAGGACTGTGCTGCAGAACAAGTCGCGGGGTAAACAAATGTTATCGAGATTGTTTCTGCTTGAGGCTAAAGCTTTTGATCACAGTCGTATAATCTTGGATGATTTACCATATCATGATGCTTGACTTTAGTTTATCTTTCTTCTTTTCGGAATTCTATAGTTAATAGACATTTAGTGAAAAAAACGAATTCTATTATTCTCACAGATCCTGTGATCTGTCCTCGCTCCTCTTGTCTATATGCAGAATATGACGATTATCCCTCAAGTTTATTCATTAGAGATAAAGCTGGTCGAAAACGCTATAACACGTCAAACCAATCTTTTTAAATAACATTACGCAGAAGAGTTTAATGATTGAAAACTATATATTGAATGATTCAAATAAATGGCAACTGTTAGTTATCAAAGAAATATGTTCAATTCCTTGTTTGACTGGTTCTGTTCTTCAAATGATCTGCTAATGACTTCCATCCTTGTTTTTCAGCATTTTTCAAAGCTTCTTGTGGATTTTTCCAATAATCTGACATTCCCATTCGATATAAGCCCAGCATAAAATTATTTGTCATCACAACTGCATCAGTATCGAGAACAAAATCAAGCTGAACTCGTTCATCACCTTCAGGACGATAAAATGGTATTTGAAAGATTTTCCAAATATGAATAATATCATTATAAATCTTAGGAAATTTGGACATTGACAAACCAATTCTTTCGATCATGCCACCACTCCCGCTGGTGGTCACTGCTTGAAACAAAGGTGAAAAATTTCCACCAAGTAAAGTACGTACATCAACAACTCTATATTCCATATATTTTCTGTACAAAATTTGATTTGACATAATAAAATGATAATAAGCAACTTCAAAAAAGTAAGGTTTTCGAAATAGCATTGGAACATTCCATGTTGGATATTGTGAAAGAACAACTTTATTTAAATCAGATACAATTTCTCTATCATATATCCAATGCATGATTTCAAGAGTATAGCTAGTTGAGAGAAAACTGCCGGTTAGATTTTCTGCACATTCAATCATATCTCGGCCAACTGACCAGCCATGCGCAGTGAATATGTAAGGCGATGAAAGATATATTTTCGATATATGTGCTAATGACATTGGTTTGAATATAAAACCATCAGCATCCATTACCAATGAAAAACGAGTTGAAGCGCCATTAAGAACTCCAAACATTTTTTTATGTGATTGAAAAAGATACTTTCCATTCACTACAAGACTATTATCATCCCATTTGTTTGCTTCATAGTATGGCATTACATCACGAAGACGTTTAATCAGAAGATTTGGAAATGATTGTTTCATTGAAGGATCTGATAAACTATGGTTTTTATGTAGAGTTTCATGAATTAGATTTTGACTTGCATCATCAGTGATTATGATCATTGGCACATGTGTACAATCATTACAAAGATTTCGTATTGATCGAAGAAGATTAAGTAAAGATTCGGCATGACCAGAATAGACGGGAAATACAAAACTAATTTCTTTATCGCGAACGAGATTGTCAATTAATTTCAAAGGATAACCATAAAAATGAGTCTCTTGCTTTGAATAATTATGTAAGTTTGAATATTTTTCATTGAAAATAACTGATTTTGATGAATATAAGGTGATGAGAAATAACGAAGCAAAAATGAATAAAATACTTCTAACAAGTATTTTCCGTTGTTTATACCAGAATTGTAAATATATGTTCTTACTGTTCTTCAAGGACGCGCTCTCTTCGCTTTCCAGACTATTTGATAAATTTTCTTTCTCTGCCATTGAAATTTTCTAGAACAAAGAAACAATTACATTCTTTATACTCTCAATTAGAATTCTAATTACTTCAGTAGAATCCAGAAGAAATATACAAGAAGATATAAGTTTCGGAATCTCCGAATGACATTTAGATAACACGAAGAAGTGTGTAGAAACTAGCTTATACATTATTATAATGGAATACATTATACCTCTCAATCGTCTTACTCAAATTGTTTGAAACTCGTTCAAATGTACACAATTGAGCAGTGGTCGTTCGAGCTCGGCGGGTAGATCCGTGCCCGACCGAATCAGAGTGCAAGACTGAGCATATTCGTACAATAAATACAACGAAAACATAAGCAAAGCATAAAAAACATTAATTGAAGGAAGTTATGAAAACCCCTCCCCATGTTAAAAAGCCCAACACACATTAAAATGCCTTTGCATGTTATCTAGGCAATCGGGTCTTTCAATATATTAGAGACTTCAGATTTGGATGAATTTCGGCATAATCAAAGTGCAGGTTAAGACTCGGGCCCGAAATTCTCGGATCCGACGAGCTTTAATTGCCGTGAGTAACTAACATTTCATGCAAATAAAGAAGAAGATAGACTTGTTAGCGCACTGCAAAAAGGTGTATGACAAAGATAAGACATTCGGAAATATCTGCACATCAAATTCATCAGCAAAAAGCCTGTTAGTGCAACCCCTTTAGGACGAAAATGTGAATGACAATAGAATAGTTACAGCTTACAATTTAAACTCTCCTTTACGCCCTCATCTCAGACGTGTACGAATATTCTTCGCCGTCAGTCTCGATGGAAACAACGCTATAGCACTAATCGAAGAAATCCGCCTGTACTTCTAGTTGTTCCTGTTGTGCCTAGTCTTTTTTCATAGTTCTCTTCTTCTTTTTGGTAATCGGCTCACCAGTTTACTTATCCGGTTGTCGCACCTTGGATCCTCTCCTCGATCGCTGCTTATATTTTCTTTGAAATCATCTCTACGCCCAAAATTTTATTTTAATCTCGTTTCATTCTTGACACAAATGTTTTCCCTCCATTCCTTATTCTACTTTCTCTGAATATCCTTCGTTGATATCTGTTCTCCCAACGCTCGATTTCACTTCATTGTCTCATTTTCTGTTTAACCATGATGTACATCTTCTTTACTCTTCTCGCTTTCTGGTCTCTCGTGTTCTCTCGTATTTTTGGTAGTGCTATTGATTTTAAACCATTGTCGCTGTCATCCAACATTCATGTTGACATTGTTAATTCGGTCGTTGTATCCTTGCAAGCTCATTCACGTCGATTCCACTATTCCTGGAACGATTACTGCGTTGTTTACGTGATCGTTGTCGTTAATGATATTCTGCTTCTTTTCTGTCGAGCTGTTCTATTTGTCTCTATTCAACGCCGTCTTCTCGTACAGCTCTCACATAATCAACTTATTCTTTTGAACATCCTCCACTTATCGACTAGTCGGTTTTTCCCTTTTTCTTTCAACTTTTTCTCTCTTTTCATTCTATTTCCGTGTTATGCTACGCTCCTTCGCCTGATTAATTAAAGCGGAAACTCATGACTTTCGTCTATGATTTTTCTCATTTTCAAAAAAACGTCATATCAACCGTACGGTGTCAATTGTTCTTTGTGAAATTTAAAAGTTTTTTTTTAAAGGGTGTCAATGTACTTTTCTATGCGTAAATACGCTGGTATTCCTTTTATAGCATAGGAGAAGAGGGAGAACTTCTTTTCTTCTTTATATTAGTTCTTCACTTGAATGAAGTACCATAGCGATGCATTTTTGAAGTCGTCTCACAAGTTTCCCCTTTATGCGTCTCAGACGTTTGCAAGAAATCTGCGGTCTTGCGATTTATATAATACACGAATAGGGAATGGGAAGGTCGTGATCAAAGATCTGCGGACTGATCTGGACCTTACCATGTGGTGTTTAGACTCATACCAGAGTCAAGGTGCATAAAAGTAGACTCACAGCTTCATAATTCTACTTCGAAGGTTAGAGTAAAATATAGGAACTATACTGCGAACAAGTATTCAAAACGGACAAATTATATTTGCTCCCTTGACTGAAAGGCGGGTCATATAAGAAACAAAGTTAGGGTAAAAAGACACTACTTGATTGCGGCTCGAGGGACCCACAAGGATCGTGTATAATGTGGTCAAAAGTCAATATCAAGGAAACATCTGGCTATGTCAGAAATTTTAAATCCTTAAGAACTACATGATATACTTTGCAGATACCCTTGGTTCTTAAATTCGAGACTAGTAAAAACACCTTTGGTCCTTTATATAATTATACATACGATTAGATTTCGACAAGATAAAGCTGGATGATGGCGTGTCCGTTTACTAAAAACTAATCTGCTCACTATGTTAGTTAATAAAGATGAATAGTAAGCTGAATGGCTAGTCGAGAGCGGTCCTCCATAAGATCGCTGATGAACAACTAACCGCTCTCGGCGGCATTTCTCCTTATGCCCATGAAGAACAATGGAGCGAGTTCATGCTTAAATCCGTGAGCTTTTACGATGAAACAGTAATCGTTTCTTTGGAACAATGATTTTTATCAAATATTAGTCGATGAATAAAGAATAACGTCTGTGTAAGACTATATATGAGAGTGAGAAAAGATATTACTGATAAAATGTTTGTATCTTTTGTATGAGAACTATTCTATGAAATAGCTTTCATATTCAATTATTTATTCAACCGAGAGGCAAAGAACTCATGGTTGGCGAGTATTATTTACATAGTCTATCATGAAAGCTTATAAATAGTCTTTGTGCCACTATAAAATTCTATATTGTTTGAAATTGTTGTGACGTAAATAAAAAAATGATATGCAAAAACTAAGTTTACAATGCGCATAGCGTAATACAATTTCAATGACCGGGAATGATCCCACTGACAGAAAAAATTTTTCAATACCAGCTATTCAGACGAAGCCTCAACAAGTCTACGTGGACGAGCATCACTTGTTTTGTTATGTTCTTTCATATTTGTGTAAACGCTCTGGAAATGTTAAATGTGACACACTAAATGAATTTCAGACTTGATTAGTAGAACACGTATGATATGTGATACTCAAAGAGCATCTAATAAATGTTCATCTTTCTTTTATTAGTGTTCGTTTGGATAGAGCGAGTCTTTCTACATTATTTCATTTCGTATTTTGTTCAATTTTGATTGAATACGATTATAGTTCGGTAGAGGAATAGAACGAACCTTTTCGCAGAAATCGAATTACATTAACTTCGTCGTTTTTCAAAAATAATACAATCCACAGATGACCGCTAAAATAATCCGGCAGTTACTATTGTTTTTTAGAGTTTTATCGTCGTTTGTTATACTTCATCATTAAAGTATAGCACAGAAATGAAATAATAAACATTAGATAAAAATACCACGTGTTTGTACGATAACAGAAGATATATCTAAAGTTTTTACAAGTAACCGATATGAGTGTAGGCTCTTTTCTAATACAATTTTCTGCATATCAACTCTCATCTTCATAAAATGACTGCTGCTCCTAGCAGAGGTGCAGAATCTTCCTCGTGCGCCCCCGCTGGGTGGGGAAATTTTTTGAAAATTAGCTTTAAGAAAGCGGGGAAAATTTCCCGCGGGGGAGGAAACTTTTGATTTTGTGAAATATTCTGCACCTCTGGCTCCTAGTATGGAATCAGAGAAATTCTGGACTGTTAACAAATATTTTTTCTCTTCAATTGAGATTCTGAAAATTCATATAAAAGGATGACACATATGTCATAGTCGAAGAAGACAAAGCTGACATTCTTTTTAAAAGTCAATGAAAATATTCTCTATATCTACCAAAGAGCAAGAAAGTAAAGACTTAATCAGAATCACGCGCACATGATAAACAAAATATTAGTTGATATTCAGAGTGACCTTGCAGAAAAAAAAACTTGCTTTTGTTTGAAATAGAGGCAAACACTAAATCGGAGTCAACGCTTGTTATCCATTGCACTGTCATATTTTTTCAACAACGACAAAAGAGAATCAATGATAACATGGTTTATTTTGGGGTTTTTATCTTTACAAAACACTGACACAACAAAAAATACCTAGCACATATATACTGATGTAAAAACCAGCGTTTCTCATTGTTGTCCTTGATTACACAAGCTCAATATCTACCATGAAAGCTTTCATTGCTCTCTGCTGCCTTTTCGCCTGTGCGTACTCTTTACCAACATTCGATACAACATTAGATTCAGCATGGGTATTGTTCAAACGCACCTATGAAAAACAATACGCATCAAATGCAGAAGAAACAACGCGGTAAGGAAGTCTTTTCTTCATTACTTGTAAAACTCGTTTTTGTTTCTAGTCGATCGATCTGGGAAGACCATATTGCTCTTATCAGAAAACACAACCTTGAAGCTGATCTTGGCTTACACACTTACACATTAGGCATGAACAAATACGGTGATCTGGTATGTTCTCCAAGAAATTGTCATGAAATCTGCATATCAGTATCTTTAGACCAACCAAGAATTCGTTAAACAAATGAACGGTCTTGATCTCGGTTTAAATGTTAGCTTTTCTGGTACTTGTGACCAATATGTTGCTTCAGGCAACTTGAAACGACCAGCATCTGTTGGTATGTAGTTAGGAAATCTATCTGATGTGTACGAAGTTTTTCTTGATTGAATAGATTGGCGAACAAAAGGCTACGTTACACCAATCAAAGATCAAGGTCAATGCGGTTCGTGCTGGGCTTTTTCAACTACCGGTTCACTCGAAGGACAACACTTTGCCAAAACACAGCAACTTGTTTCACTTTCCGAACAAAACTTAGTTGACTGTTCAACCACATATGGTAACTTCGGATGCCGTGGCGGTTTAATGGACAATGCCTTCAAATACATCAAAGAAAATAGTGGTCTTGATACCGAATCCACTTATCCATATGAAGCTCGTGATGATACTTGTCGATTCAACACCAAGAACGTTGGTGCCACCGACACTGTGAGTGTTTCTCTTTTCTTTTGATAATAATAATTTGCCTTGTCGTTTCGTAGGGTTGCAAAGACATCAAACAATACAGCGAAGATGATTTACAAGATGCCATTGCCACAGTCGGCCCAATTTCAGTCGCTATCGATGCTTCACACACATCATTCCAACTTTACAAATCAGGTATCTACAACGAAAGAGCATGCTCATCACTCCAACTTGACCACGGTGTCTTAGCTGTTGGTTATGACACTCAGAACGGCCAAGATTATTATATTGTCAAAAACTCATGGGGTACATCATGGGGTAACCAAGGTTACATCTGGATGACCCGTAACAAGAAGAATCAATGTGGTATTGCTACATTGGCCAGTTACCCAACTGTCTAAATACTTCATTGAAGTTTTTTTTTAAATAAGACTTTCAATTTTCGAACAGTCCTTAAATAAATCAAACTTGAAACTTGAATTGAACTATTCTCACACTCATTCTATGCATCTTTTGATGAACGATTTACGAATATGGAAATCCATTGATCATCACTTTTATACAATTAGAGGATCTTCTTTTTTGTCCATTATATGCATCAACACAACGATGAATCGAACACATTTCAGAGTGAGTGTTAATTACAAAAAATCAATTAGCATCGCGGGTGATGTTTATAATCTTCCACTAGACTTCTTCTCAATGATGTTATACAAATGAAAAGGCCGAAACCAATAATGGCATAAGAATTTTTCATCGAATTTTATAGACAATATCCCGATCGAAACGCAATTTAGCTTTTAGTAATAATCATCATCATCATCATCATTTCTTTTTCTCTTTAACATAAATCAAATCGAACAATACGAAAGCACGTTCGAACGGTTCTTTTCGTTCGTCCTTGTATGAAATGCGTCTTTGATAATCGATCAAGCGATTATTTTTACAGGTAATACTATGCATATCTATCTGTACATTCAAAATATTTTCTTTTCATGTGTCGGTAGTTCGCTTTGCTTTTGATTATTTAGAATAAAACGTACATTGATCGTAAGATGGCTAAAAATGTTTTGGAACGATTTGCTCCACAACATGCAGGACGTGTTATTGAAAATTTTGCTCCATCGGAGAAAATGGTGAAGGTGATCGAATCTTTTGATGCGTTACCGACAGTCTCGATCGATGAAGCTGTGGATCCACTTGTTTCATTGATTCCTGATGTGAAGAAAATGGTAACTAAAGTACAAGAAAAATGTAAAAGTCCCAAAGATGGTCTGACACCTGATGAATCGGCTTCAATTATGCTCTATTCGTTAGAGTGGGACCCTCGAGAGACTTCGTTCTACATTATTTTGAACAATACTCTTCGAACTGAAAGTCAAGAACAACTAAAACCTTGGAATCTTTATTTGAAACTATTCATTTGTGCACTTGAAAAATTACCGCCTGTTTCGAAGACCATCTATCGAGGTGTAAAAATGGATTTAAGTGCTCAATATCCCAAAGACAAAGTATTTGTTTGGTGGGCATTTTCTTCATGTACATCTTCAATACAAGTACTTCAATCGGAGCAATTTCTCGGCAAGACAGGAACGAGAACATTGTTTAATATTGATTGTAGTTCAGGGAAAGACATACGAGAGCATTCGTTCTTTCCAACCGAAGATGAAGTTTTACTTATCGCTGCACGAAAATTTCAAGTCGTATCGTGTCTTGATTCCGGTAATGAACTTTTCATCGTTCAGGTGAAAGAAGTCGAGACAGATGAACCGCTTCTTGGACCTTCGAAAAAGAAAGATGGTGCCACTCGCTCGGCACCCAGATTACCAACACGTGACCGAGAGGAGGATAAATCTGATACGGCGAAACAAGCACCACCGGGATTTCCTGGTCCACCGCCATCGATTCCTCGACCAAAAAATCCTTTTTCACATTAATTTCAGACTGACACTTTTTCTATTCAACGATTCATTCAATAAATGCAAAGCGTCTCACTAACATTTTCCTAAAGCTATTAAAATAAAACCAGAGACCGTATTTAGATGAAAGTGACACGAATAAAGTACGAACTTAGTTCGAACAAAGTACGAATGACGCATCTTTAGGATGAATTACTATGGACTTACCTTTCCCGTAAGCTTACATGCTGAAATCCACGTGCTTCTGTATTAAGGTTCACATTACTCGTCGCGGAGATAAAACATTAGACTCTGTAGCCATGCGCACATTCAGAGCTCACTCTTGTTTTGAATTTCAAAAAAGCGAAAAACTCATGAAATTATCCAATAAATCATGGAAAATTTGTTTTTCTTCTCACATATACCGTTGAAGCAGCTTTTCTTAACAACGAGGAAAAAGTGACAATTTCATTTTCATCGCTCGACAAACACAATAGAAAAAAATTTGAAATGGTAAAATATGTTAGACTAGATAGATGTGATTAATAGAAGAATCTAACTTGAACCGGAAACATCTCAATCTATTAAAGCAATCAGTCGATTTTCTGGAAAAAAAATAACGAGAAGCTCTATAGAGCTAGTTGAAACAAATCTCACAAAATATCCAAGACAACATTGGCGATATCGAATGCCAGTTGAATATTACAGCAAACGGCAATACTGACTAAAAAGAAACTAATCCGATCTTTCTGAAAAGCCTCGATGGACTGAGATATTAAGCAAGGACTTCATTTCCCTTGAAGGTGAAACGTATTGAAAAAGTGAAAGAATTACATTCTCATCGGAAAGTCTTTCCGGTCATGGAAGAACGGTTGGAGACGTTGATCTACTAAACTGATCTTATTTAATAACTACCTTATCCAGAAGATTGGTTCTGTCGATTAGTACGTTAATTGAAAGAGTGTTACGAAGGTAATGCAGCGCAACTCAAGATTTTAGATGAATTTCAGTCGAACAATATACTCCATCAGGTATTCTTTCGTTCCGACACATGTGATCTGTTTCTGTTTCAATCGTTTCATAGTGTATAAAGTCAACATAACATTAAACTTACCTTTGTATTCGACTTCTATATCAAAGGTCTTTATAAACCGTGAGAATATGTATATAAACAATTCCAACTAGGAAGTTTCACGTACCGAAATCAAGACAATATCCAAATGGGAGTTTATTATCACTACTCGCCTAGACTACGTGGCGTATCCATAGGCGATATCGATAGACTTGCAATCGATATCTTGACTGACCTGGCGAGACTCTATACGGAGGGTGGTAATTGTTATTATTTGTCAGATGGAAGATACAATTGAAGCTCAAAAACATTATCAGACAGACGCTACTTTTTCAGGAAATGTCCCTAAAAAAGGTTCAATGGACCCGCGAAAGGACAAATTGGTAGAAAACGAAGTATTGCAATTAAGATATGATGCATCAATTGTGTTATCAACGGACGAACCTTTTCCAACCAACTTCACTCTTATTGAGAGTTTTTGAAAAGCGTCTATAGCAAACTGATATTTAATTTTGCTTTTAGTTGCTTCTGAATAGATTTGAACATCTTATTTATCTTTGCACTACATACTTAACCATATGCCTATAGATCAATTCATTTATTATGTGATTGTAGATCTCTCGTATGCAACAGTTCAGAATGTGTGTTTTTTCTTCGAAAATGAATACATCCGGTTTATTGCTATATACTTAGGCACAGTTACTCTGTAGGTTTCGAAAAAAAGAAATTAATAAAATGAAACTACGATAACGTGTTGTTCTTATCGATGGACTTTAGTTCATTCCATACTTGAATTGATATGCCACTTTTGCCGAGACAAAGACTCTTCAATACCTGAGAAAAGATTGTTAAAATTAAATCAGATTCATGAAAATCGAACTGTGTAACTACTTTGTTGTCGCTTAAAATACCAGCAAAATGTTTTGCACCTTCATCATCAATTTGATTCAGCTGAAGATTTAATGTTACTAGTGTCTATGCATTTAAGAACAACACAGTCAACGATATGTATTGACACAAGAAAAGACTCACTGTGTTACTTTTCAAAGCATCGGCAAAATACTCCGCACCCTTATTTTGAACTCGACTATTTCGAAGGTACAATCCGGTCAATGTCTACAAAACAATGAATTTGAAAGCAAAAGAAAGAAGATATGATTATATACCGTATTTTGTCTTAAAATATCAGCGAGGACCCGTGTCCCTTGAAGACTAATTGTATTACTACTCAAATCCAATATTGTCAATGACTATGCGTCGAAAAATAAATCGGTGATTTAAGAAATGAGACAAGAGAAAACTACCGTATTATGCTGTAAAGCATTGCAAAGACGTTGGGTACCGTCATTTTCTATTTGATTGTTTGAAACGTTCAATTCAGTCAGATGCTAAATGTTGACAGAGATATGAAAAAGATCAAAATGAAGAATCTTACATTAGTCGTTTCTAACACATCAGCGAAATATTGTGCACCTTCTGTGCCAATTTTATTGTTGGAAATATTCAATTTCGTTAGCGTCTACGAATAAGCAAAACTACCGACAAGAGAAAGAAACTGAGAAGAGAACTACTGAATTATGTTTCAACGAATCGGTTAGATATTTTGTTCCATTTGATGTTACTTGATTGCTACTGATGTCCAGTTGGATGAGTGTCTACATCAGTAGAAAAATAGAGTTTCTAATGACGTTGTCCATGACAGCGTTACCTTGTTGACTCGCAATGCCTCAGCAAGAGCTTTGATTCCATCGTCATTAATATCATTATTAGAGATGTTCAGTGTTGTGAGTGTCTATATGTTAAGATGTAATTCTTACTAAGAACAATTACAGTAGAAATATCGGTTACCATTTGATCTCGTAAGTAGTGCTCAAGATCTTGCACTCCTTCATTTCCTATCTGGCTTTTACTGACATCTAATTTAGTGAATGTCTATGTAAAATTTATCGATAGATAGATCGTATGAGCAATAGAATACTGAGTTACTGGGATTCTTTGTAGAACTTCCATCAAATGTTGAACTCCGACACATCCGATTTGAGTGTTGGACATTTTCAGTGACACAAGTGTCTATTGGCAACAGTAAGGTAAAATCATGAATGAACGAAGGAAAAGGTATTACTTGATTGTCATATAAAGCATCAGAAATAATTTGTGCATCTTCAGTATTAAGCCAATTACTAGACAAATTGATGGCAGTGAGTGTCTGTACATGCAGATGTTAGCAATACGAATTTCTGTAAACAAAGAAGTCTATTACTTTGTCATGTCGAATTCTGATGACTGTCTCCGCTAAGAGCCCGTATTCGCTCTTGTTGTGATGCAGTTCCAGTGCCGTCAGCGTCTACAGACCGAATAAAGTACTTTATGAGTGTACAAAGGCAACACGAATCGGATTACCGTATTATATTTTAAACAGTCGAGAAGACATCGAGCCCCTGCATATCCAATTAGATTTTCACTAAGGTCTATTACTTTCAGTGTCTACTAACGAGTATGTTGCGTTAACCAGAAAGAGCGAAAATACTGATAGTCTAACAGTTACCGTATTCTGTTTTAATACGCTGGATACATGTTCTGCTCCAATATCTCCAATATTATTATTCGATAGATTCAATGTAATAATTGTCTACATATGTATGAAAAAGATATAAATATGAAAATGTTAAAATCAACCTACTGTATTCGATCTTAAAGCTTTAGCAAGAATTTCTACTCCCACATCTCCGATGCATGCATTGGTCATATCCAATGTAGTAGATGTCTGTAAACGAAAAACACGGTTTTGTAAACAATGATAAAAAAAGACTGATATATCACTGTATCCGTGCGCATTGCAAGAGCTGTTTCAACAGCTATGCAACTTGGACCGATATTGTGGTCTAGATGGAGTATTGTGAGTGACTAAATAGGAAGAGCGAGGAAGCAGATGAATACAAAGAAAACCGTCTATTACTGTATTATATTCTAAACATTCAGCAAGATGTTGAGCTCCTACATCAGTGATTCTATTACTACGGAGATTAATTGTGTTCAGCGTCTACAATGATAAAATATTTGCTGTGATAACGAGCAATGATAGATTGGCACTGTGCTTACTGTGTTCGATTTCAAGGCATTAGCAAGACATTCAGCTCCAGCATCTCCGATGCGATTCCGCAACAGATTCAATGAAAGAAGCGTCTAAATTCAGTTAAAAAAGCTGGAGAAATGATTCTAATAAAGCCACTTACTTTATCGTATTCCAATGCCGCAGCGAGATCTTGTGTGCCCTGATCATCTATACAACTGTCGCTGAGATCTAACGTGGTCAAAGCCTGTCAATAGAAATAATAATGGAGAATTAAAACATTTTGTCAAAACTGGCGTGTTTCTATGTAAGAAATTAATTAGTACAAACCTCTTTGGCAATTGATGCACCAAAAGAAATTTGACTAAGTCGGCAAATATAATCTTCCGATGATATTGTACATCTAACAGAATCCGTTATTGGCCTGATCCTCCCTTCTAAGAATGCCATAGGTGTGTCATCGAAACGTTCGTCTTGCATTCGAACGTATAGTTGTCTCTCACCACTCGGCATATCTTGTACTATATGTTCGAGTTGATCGAAATGAAACAAATCGATAATTTTCTCTCTTTGCTGTTGTGAAAAACTCTCAATCTTATATTGTCTTTTAATTGGTGTTGTGTAGATTCTAATCGTTCGAGTTTGCAATGTATGATCACAAGCAATATGCCAGTGTTTCTCTTCAAGCCAGAATGATGTCAGGAATGGAACTATAAGCGATTTGACACCAACTAAACGGGCACTCAAGTTCAATGCGTATCGGTAGGCAAAGAACAAGGTAAATCCTTGTAGCAATGGCACTTTCGTACTGAGTATTTCTTCCAAACACTGACCATCCAATGCACGGTCGTATACATATTCATTAAAAATTAGCTCAAGATGAGTGAGTGACGGTGTCGTTGAAAGTAGCAAATCTAATTCGTGTAGATGTGCGCAGCAGTTCGTAATAGTCAAAGATTTCAGTTGTTGTGACGATGCGTCCACTTTCATTTGCAAATCAACATCTACGATGAAATCTTTCATAACAAGCGTTCGTAAATTAGGCATTTGTTCGACGATGGAGAGATATTGGTACATATGACAAATACCAATTTCCAGATGCGTTAGTCGCCAATTGGTTGGCCAGAAAGTCACAATTATCTCGCTTAGTGTTAAACTACTGACAACAAATTTTTGGAGGTTGAACTTGGTAGCTATCGATATGATTTGAGGATCTGTGTGTCGTTTGGCCCCATAAATTGAAAGTGCGTTCAAAGAGCCGGACGATATCATAGATACAATCTTCTGTATTATGCTATCTTGAACATCAACAAGCTGCAATGAACGAAGTTTTGTAAATTGTGTAAGAAGAATTCTCATTGTTGATAATGGAATCAGATTGCTATTGTTCTGGTAATTCGTATTGTCGATAATCAATGAAGTAATACAAGTGGGCGAAAGAAAATGAAACAAAGCCTGATAGTTCCAGTTTTTATTTAAATAATATTTCAATTCGAACCGATCGTAAGTACTTGTAACATCACGAAGTTGTCTACAGACACCACGGATCGACAGTAGGATGGTTTGACAATCACAATAATCGAAAATACGATGTAATACTTCAGGAGGTAACATTTCTAACGTGGCGTTCGTCATTTCGATAGAAATCTAAATAAGATGCATAGTGTGGTGACACATTTCTGTTTAAATGTGAAATATCGCGCACAAAAAATTACGCGTTCTGTTTTTTTTCCTACACAATGCTGCAAGAGCGTGTTGCCGGAGTGGGTATTTTTATGAATGAGAAAAGGAAAATTCCATGGAGTTAGACACCACGTGTTTTTATCGAAACATGTCAATTTTTTGTTTACTACTTGGACAAATAACAAACAAAATGCAATATGCCCGGTTTGACGAAAAGAAAAACTTTCTCTAACTCGATTTTTCTTGATTGAAAATCGCTCACAAGGATATCTCAGTCCAGTTGATCTGTTTGTATTATGAAATCTGATCTTCGTAAAAAATAACATTAATTTATTATATTAAATTAGAAAAAAATGTCTTCAAGTTTCATTCAAAACTATTCTCGTCATCACCGCAAAATATTTCTACTGCTAAATCATCCGAGGAACTTGATTTGATAAAAAAATCTTCTAGGACTGATTTATGCCGCTGATCTTGCCGTTTAATCCAAACCTTGACTGTTTTCAAATTCATTGTTAAAACCGATTTATTCTTCATTACACCTTGAGAATAAGAATGTTTCTCGTGTTCAAAGTGAACCGAATCGATCATTAATGTTTTTAGTTTCAATAGACGAGGCAACAGTTTATCAGTCAACGTACGAAACGATATTTGAGTTTGTTTTTCTCCATCAATTTCTATTGGAAATGTAAAGACAGTTTTGAACGAAATGCCGACAAATAAAAAGAAACTTAACCTCCGATAATAAGTGTTTCCAAGTGGCTTGTTGATGCTTTTCTTTTAAATTCCAAGTCGACCTTGTCACGACCGGACTGAATGTTATTTTCACATCCACATCGGTAAGGTGTGAAACTCATATTCAGATAGTTTAATGATTTCATTTTCGACGATATCAATCGATTGCATAAGCCTAGAAAAAAAAGAAGAAGATTTCTATGTGAAAAAAATCCCAAAACACAATTGCAATTACGATTTACAGCAGAACCATGTTCTTCTTCTTCGCTGACTTCGCTTAGAAACAATCGTTCTAATATGTCGTATAATTTCATCTCTTCATTAAAGATGACGTCGTATATTGAGTCGGCATGGATGCTATTTAATGTTAAAGATTTCAATCGAGAAAATTTATCTTTAAACAAATGATCTTTCATGATTAGTTTGAATTGATTCTCATCATAACTCCGCAATGCTAACAAACCATTTTGACTTTGACTAAGAAAGTGGCTTAAATTAAAACAATGCGTCAAGAATTGTGTTTCGGGTATTGAATCGATGTAAATTGTTGGTTTGGATAAAAGTAATTGATTCAAACGTTGATTTAGACCAAAGAATGATTCATATAATTCAAAAAAAGTCAAGTAACTCAAACATAATACTATCAATTCATTTGGTAAGTGTTCAAATTTTGTAGTCACTGTCGAAGTGTCGTCATCGATCTTTTGCCGTTTGGTTCTTGACATCGGATTCTTTTCTTTTCTACTCAACGCAGCTCTACAACTTATATAGATATCAATGTAATTACACAATAGTTTGAAAGGAGTTCTTTATCTTATGCGATAAATGCGTATCTGATGTTTCACATTTGTTCAAAAAAAGGATAAAATCTGCATCGTCAACGTCAGTTGACGCTGGTTTCGGAGCTTAGCAAAGACTTGAACTCTACTGTTGCCAATCGAAGCATCTATTTATCATTTCATTGCGAAAGAATTTACCAGTTTATCAGTTGAATTATCTATTAATGTAGAAGCCCATCAAACACATAACATTCTCATGTTTCTCTCACGTGAGATGCGATGGAACGCTTTTAAAATGTGCTGCATTTTAGTCTTGTTTTCGTAACTGACGTTCACCGTACGAATGCATACATAACGGGTGGACCAGAAAAAAAAGTACTTTTGTATTTTGCTCACTGCGCACTCAATTTTGATCCGTTTGAGTTGAACTTTTTTTAGAAATATTCCCCATTCAATTCTCTACAAAACCCTATTGATAGAATATATATATAACATGCAGTCGTGAAATGGCAGACTGTCAGTACTATTACGCATAAAAAGGGATCACTTTCAAACGTATGTTTTTAGGAAATTGATTATCTCTCTACAATCGTGTAATCATATGTGAAACATCTACAGTGTTAGTATTCCTATATTTTGCGACGTGCTCTTTCTCACAGAAGTGAAGTGAAGTGTTTAAAATAAGGTCATAGCATTGTACGAACATATTTCCTTGAAAATCCAATGTGATTTATGGGCCATTCTCGTATAGAATGATATAATCTGTAAAAGAAGATATGCGCGTCGACTGGATTAGTGAGGAATAATAGAGAAAATCATTTTCTTCGTCCTGCAAAGAAATTATAAAAAGAAACATTCATTTTTGACATAAATATGGATGTCTTACGCTGAAGTTCGTTATCAGGCCACATAAAAAGCAAGATGAGGGAGTATCGGAAAGGTTCCGGTAATGAAGGCTGGAGATGAATAACTTTTCCATTCTTCCCCAATTGATACATCGTTGCAAGTGCTACAAAGTGGTGTATTTAGAATGTCTCTAAACTCTTCAAGAACGTTGAAAAATCAAAAAAAGAAAACACTTACGTTTGAAAGTGGTCCCTTTTTGTGCGTAATAGTACTGACAGTCTGCCATTTCACGACTGCATGTTATATATATATACTCTATCAATAGGGTTTTGTAGAGAATTGAATGGGGAATATTTCTAAAAAAAAGTTCAACTCAAACGGATCAAAATTGAATGCGCAGTGAGCAAAATATAAAGGTACTTTTTTTCTGGTCTACTCGTTAGTTTACAGAAAGTTTTAACATCCTGTTTCGAATCATTCATATACCAGCTGTCAAGAGATTATCGACACTTCAGAATCTCGCAATTCCATGTAGTACTTCCATGCTCTAGGACATCCGCCACATCTGCCTGTGTCAAAAGCAAATGGACTGAAGTTCCAAGTTTACTTATTTTCTGGTGACCTAAGATTCATTTAGTAATTTAAAATACCGAAATGTCAGTGCCCTCTTGTCAATCTCGATATTACTTTCATTATTATTATACATTCTAAAACTTGTTCTACCATGAAAATTATGCGGGATCGATTTCGAAAAAAACCGGTATTCGTCGTTTTATTACATTTTGATTCATTCAGACAACATGAAAATAGTTCGAGTTCAATTTCATATTATATAAATTAACTTTGTTAATGAGGAGCTATAATTGTTTGTCGTTTAATCTGTGTTCTATTTGCATTTACAACTCGTGGTTGCCCCACAACGATTTGTTTCAAAAAAGTTCGTACCGGTTGGTTAGTAACTATTAATAACACCACACTCTGGAATAAAGTGAGCACTGCAACCGTTTGAAAATATATATTCAGAGATACAGGAATATAATTAGTTTTATTGAATAGCTGTATTATCATAGGAGGAGACCATCCTCCTAGAAACACGATAAAATTACCAACCATTGTTTTAATAAGAAGACCATCACGATTTTGATTTCCTTGACCATCCGCACCCATCGCATGTATTCGACGAGTTGAACTTCGTATGAAGAGTAATGTTCGAGTATTGCATGCAGTAACAATAACAAGTGGTAAGAACAATGTAATGACAATATAATAATACGACCAAAAATTGGTTGCTAACGAATTTGAATAAAATATAAGAATATCTTGAAATAAAAGTGGCATGGTAAGGACCACGGCAAGAATCCATCCACAAATGACACAACAACATATGCATACATTGGATTGAAAAATGCGTTTATTTGCATAAACAACAGTTAAAAGTCTACTACAGGCAATTGCGCAATGTGAATATGTTACTTGCGATATACCCATATATTGTAAAAAGAATTGAAGACGAATGGAAAGCGAACTTGAAATGCTGAGGACGAGCTGAATATTTATTGCAAGGAAATAAGTAGATATACATGTACTTGTCAGACATACATTAATCGTAAACCAGTTAAGTTTATTATGACGGAACGCTGGTCGAATAAGTAAAAGTAGAATATAAGCAATAGCAAGAACAATCGTCAATGAAAGAATTGGTATTTGGATAAGAGAAATGAGTAAACTACTTGAAATATAAATCGTCGATTGATTATTCTGGGAAGAGGACATTTTTTTACTACTATAAACTGTCGTAAACGAGCAAATGCTTTTCTTTAAAAAAAAAAAGAAGAAAATGCGTTGACAAAAATGTTTCACAACGATTCTGTCACACAATAACACTGGAAAACTACTGAATAAGATTACTAATGAATATTCTATGCTAGAATAACTTATTTTAAACATAAACTCCATGTGACATCTTCTCGTATTAACCATCATAATTTTTTCTTCATCAGCAATGTTGTGAAAAATGAGAGAATCACGTCGCTGCGCTCGCTCTACTCTCTCCGTTCAGTCTATATAAGATTTCTAGACTAATGGAATACATGACAGTTTGTGCACGATGAGACACTCTATCTGAATAGATAATCAGTATTTTAGACATCAATTGTTAAGTCGAAGAGAAAACGCGTTTTCAAAACTTCATAGATTTTGGACTTTAAAAAAAGAATAGAATCATGTGAGTATTTATTACTTTTCCCCTCAAGATGACTTCGGCTTCGACTGTTATAACGGTATTTATTGATAGGGGTTGTCTTGATGAGTACTCTCATTGGAAAAAGATTTGAAAGGATATTTATATTATAAACTAGAGAACGCCAAATGAAGACGATACCCTGAAACGAGCTGATTTTATGCATTGTAGCGTTTTTATGGAAATTCATGTATGCCCGACTTGCGGCCAACGATATAAATAACCTTTCATATAGCATTCATAGTACCCGTAATGAAGAATGTTCTAGTTTCCAAGCCGGGAAATTGGGAAATTCAATTTCCGAAAATTTCTTCTTGACTGTCTTTGCATACAATTTTGTGAGAATCGTTATAACGCATCATATGAGCGAGCGTGAGTAATCGTACAGAGAACATATTTTACAACAAATACGCATGTGAATAATTGTGCGATCTATTTTGTAGAATTCACCGTTTAATCTATGTTATGAATACATGTGCACTGTGCCTATTTTATTAAAGCGAACACTATACTTTTTGTAACCATGAGGGTGTGGGTGAGGGTGTGTGTAGGTGAGGATGTATAATAGATAGGTGTTTCACCCTCGCCCACCCTCTGGTCTTTAACTATCTAATTGCAAATATTATGAAAACAAAAATAACTACAAAATATCGCTGTGTCTCGAGTATGAATTTACTGTGCTTTGGAACAATGAAAATGAATAATTTTAATAAAAATGCAAACCGTGAAGACACAAAGTTTGCCTTTGAATCTTGCAACTTCTCAGCTATTACCAGATGTTCGACTTGACTTAGATGTATGGTCTAGTTCGGGAGATTTCAATGTTTGTTAATTCAAAATCCACCAACTGTGTTGAAAAAATCCAAATAGCCAATAAATGGAAAATGTTCACGATGTGTTTTACTCGAGGCTTCACTATTCAGACACGAGTCTTTGTCCTACTGTTGTATAAGGGCTTATTTGCTACACACGGTTCGATCAATTTCATCCTTCTAGTAATGAAACACGGATCGTAGTTTCGATTCAGGCACGCACCGCTGGAGGTAGAGTCAGAGCTGAAAATATTCATTTGTGTGGAAGATTTTACGTTGGGTTGTACATCGACGAGTTTATAATCCTTTCTCGATATACTTACTTGTATGAATAGAGAAAAATAGGCGAATTTGTTTTAATTTCTGTTACTCGTCAGTGCGTATAGTCAAAATGTATTTCTCAATAGCAGACTTAAGTTGTTGTCAACGTACGTTTTCTTCTTGTCAAGTTTTGTTCCTGTTTTAGAAACTGAGTGAATGAGAATGACAATACAAGGATATCATGTGAAAATAGACTTGGAAAGCAAATACCCTATACATTGTTCTTCGCTAATTTTAGCCATTTTGACTTTCACTGAGACCGAACTATACACTTAGTTGCTTGCGACGTGTGCGGCATCTTTATTTTTCTCCGTTCTCCTTGTTATTTATCGGATAATACCAACTTAACCAACGGAAGAAGGAAGATATGCTACCAAGTGACACATAATATGTGTGAGATAATGAAATAACCCACATCTCTAGCACAGTGTACGATGGGTTTTTTCATTTCTGTCATATGGTTTTATCCAAAGACTTTCATGTATATATATATGTACATAAACTTTTCTGTGATTTCTACCAACAACAAACATGAGCAATCCTGCTAAGTCTATTCCAGTACCTTCACAGAGCCCTATATGGATGAGTTTAAAACATTATCGAGGCCAAATAAAAAGCAACGATAAAGTCGATAAATTTTACGAATGGGATCATACACATGGTGATATTGAAGTGTACAACAAGCGAGGTGAACATTTAGGCACCATGGATGGCAATACTGGTGCGATGATCAAGCCAGCTGTTAAAGGTCGCAAGAAAAACTTCGACTAAACAAATGCGCCATCTTTAAGGTGTGGTGTTTTTCTCTTACTTTTAATAATACGTCAAGGCAGTATATTCCTAAGCAATAATTAACCTTCTACTAATCCTGATAAAATAAATACTGTACTGTTTATTGTGAGAATTTACAGCCCAAGATCTGCTTTTCATGCAATGTATAACCGTTTTCACTTAAGTATACCTTTGCAATGTCAGTCAGTGATCGATGAGAGGATTAGGATTTCCTGGTCGTTATATCAATTTAGTGGAGACAATCAGATCAAAGATTTGTTCGTTCATCCAAATAGATAATCCTGCGCAATTTCAGAAGTATTCTACCGGTTGGCATCATGATGAATCAGGTTGCTATTTCCAGTCGATATCATTAAAAACATGTAGTAGAAACGTTTGTTATCAAGAAAATTGTCATATCTGCTTCTTTAGAGGACGTTCTGCGCCTCAAGCTTCGTGAGAAAACATCAGAGTAACCTGTGTGAAATATTTTAAGTTCATTTTTACATGCCAACGATAACTGATCTGTTTTAGCCGAAGGAAGTTCATTAGAAACTTTGTTTCGTCGCCATTCGTTGATCTATTTAACGCGCTTAAATGAAAAAGCCTAAAGAATCAGGATATTTTACTCGTTTTCCTTTTGCAGTTACAAATCATTATTAAAACCCTATGAGAATTTCCCGAGAGAAAAGGATAACAAACTATTAATAATCGAACTGTATGTCACAATTCATTCGAATCACATCCAATAGCAATGAAGACAAGATCAGTTCATCTACTACATCAAAGACGATTCTCATTGTCGAAGTTGTTTTTAAAGGAATTTGTATTGCGTGTTCCGCTACTATTCATCATTGCTGGCCTCATCGGATTTCTCGGTAACATACTTAGTATGTATCTGCAGGTTGAATTGCGATCAAATACATGTTACGTTTATGCACTCTGTGGTTCAGCCGGTGATGTTATTCATTTTTTTCTCAATTTGCTAATTGTGTATTTGAACGGCAAGTGTGAATATGGTATTCAATGGTTCAAAATACATTCTCTTTGAAAATTCAACGCTTCCATGTACATGCAGCTTAACGTCCTATACATTCGTCTATATTCTCAATTACAACGGGTGGAAGCACCTGCTATTTCACTGGCGATTACAGGAAATAATCGACTGAGTAGAACATAACGTGCGGTGACAATAGATAGTTTCTTTTTTCCTGTGATCTATTTTTATTGTTTATAAAACTATGTAGACGTCAATAATAGGCATATGGATCCCATCTTCACGGTTCATTAGTTGACTGGGTTTGATTGCGCCGCTGTCTGTTGAAATAAAGAGTTTTAATCAGAAATGGTATAAGAATATTCAAAATAATCGAAAAACCTCCAGCAAATGCGATGAGATCTGTACTAGTAGCTACTAGGCTTCGCCGTTTAATATTCGAAAATGTGCACGATGAAGGTGAACATTGTGCAAAGTATAGGTCATAAGATGTTGAATTCACTACTGGTTCCCATTCTTCTATCATAAGCTGGGATAGGATTGTATCGACCGTTGTCACGTCTGGTTGATATCGGCTCGCGCTGGTTCTGTTCAGTGCTACGAATGTGTCATTAGTGCCGCTCGATAGAAGATCCACAAGCGTTTGATTATATAATAAGTCAAGTGATGATTGCAGAAGTGATTCAACCGGAAAACAGCCTACCATCACGCCGGGAAGAGTAACATTGTCAATCGTGGCTGGCTGTGTGCATGATGGCGTTAAAGCACAAGAGCAACTCGTTGTGGATTGATTGTAAATAACAGGTTCGGTCCGAACAGTGAAGTAAGGTGTGGGATTACTAGGAGTAAATTGCCAATTACTTGCTGTAATGGTGAAAAGTGCATTGGTGTGCATCGCTACTCGAATTAAATGAAGACTCTGAACGAATGTACTGCTCATCATTTGTGTGAGTTGTTTCATCAACACTGTGATTTGCATGTCAAAGTCAGCAGATGCAAGAAGAAACGCATTGACAAAATGCTGTGTTGCTAATTGCTTTAGGGTGGCGTCGACTGTTGAATTTACTAAACGACAAAACGCAGCGAGAAGTTGAAAATGGTAGGTAGCTATGGCTCGATAGTCCGTTGGAGGATATTGGGTAACATTGTAATGCAATGCGTTTTTAGTAACTGTATCAGCTAAGTATTGATTGATACTTGGTGCAAACATTCGCGAGATCCATTTTTGTGATATAAAATCCGACGAGCAAACTTGATGATATAGAGGTTGTTTTAAGGATAAAAATGATGAATAAGGAATAGCGACACGTGAGCAAACACATTGGAGGTTAATGGTGCGATTGTAAAGGCGTTGATATTCATCAGACGATGGCGATGAGAGTGATACAATTTCCTTGTGAAAGGGAAGAGCTATGAAGAGAAAAACAGCAGACAGCGCTGTCACAAGTATAATCACATAGAATCGCGTCATTTGCCGTTGTATTTGTAATTGAACGTCATTTGAGTTCACTCTACGAAACAGATTGAAAGAAGCAATGAAATTCAGCATCAACCGTAGACGTTGTCGACGTGTTTTTCGTGGAGATACATGACGGCCTGTATAATTGTAAGAAATAGTTTACTTTTGTTTCTCGATAATGTACAAAACAAACAATCGTGCCTATTTCTTACTTCGAATTTTGCTATATACTTTAATGAGAATTGGAATGAAAAAACATAAACCCCTTGTCAAGCCACCAAAAACACCGACAATCATTGTGATCAGATAAGCAAGACTATGAAATTGAGTGTATTCATAGGTGCAAAATGATAATGCACACGCGTTGAAATACGCGGAGAAATCGATATTTGTCTTCCAACTCTCCACCATCAATCGGCTGACAATCGATCCAATCTTTAACGATCCATTCAAAAATGATGTGAACAAAAGGTAAATTACTGTCTTACCGATTCATTCATGAGATTCAATGATGAATCTAATATAGGAAATCGCGGATCATTATTCGATCCCCCGAAAGTAACTTGAAATGTATTCAAACATGTTTGGTTATAAAAGCATTCCAATGTGGATTGTAATATACTGTTTACTAAATAGCATCCACTAAACATACCAGGAACATAAAATGCGGAGCTTGAATTATTATCTATGAACAAAGTAAAGGAGTGCCAAGCACATCGTTGATCCAGAGCACACAGGCACAGAGTATCGACCTAAAAATTCGTCGTTGTGTACTTTATTTTTCCAAATCAATGAGAACAGAATCCTTTGGATGCGAGAATTTTCGATCCGCGTTTTTCTTTTCCCCAAAAAAACTTATCGACACTCGGATAGACGCTTATTAGAAAAAAAAGCGTAGATATTTTTATAAGACTTTGCTTTACCTCTTTCCTAAGCCTTTGTGTGTGAACTGGAAAAGAAAATGGTTGCAATTGATTATCTGGTCCAAAATTCTAAAAACAAATCGATAGAAACCAGATTTCATAATAGTTGTCACCTATTACGAAATAGAAATTCGAAAGAAAGCCAGCCATGATTTGATTTCCTTGTACAACATTTTGGATGAGTTGCTGATCACGAGTAAATGCATTGATGGTCGTTGCTTGCCAATCGCGAATAGCCACCTCTACTTTCGATTCTAGCAAGGATTGTTCATAGAGCTCCGTACTAATCAGCTGTGTTTGCAAAAAAATATGTTTGCTATCGTCGATCGTTTGCTGAGCGAATGTACACAGTGTGTGTAACATTTGAAAGAAGCCGACTGCTGTTATACGAGCATCTTCAAGTGGAAGAGCTGCAGGCGCCGCATAAAAAGTGATAAAGGTCATCCAGGATGTGTTGACAAAAGCACTTGAACATATTTGATGGTAACGCGGTTCGACGGAAACGAATATGTTGTACGGTAATGAAATTTTAGTGCAAGGGCAGGAGAGAGAAATTGAATTCAGTTGTCGCAGAACATTCACTTGTTGTTCGCTGGGCTGGTAAGCAGTTTCTTGCTGCAAGCTAACCGTAGAAGAGATGTAGATGATTAGACTAGATAGAATAAGGATGAAAAGAATGAAGAAGATTCGAGTGGCGAGACGTTGATTGGCAAGTCGTTGAACGTTGTTGGGATCATCATAGCGCTTGCGAAAAATATTCAGATTCATCACATATTGTCGAGCTTGGATCATGTTCATCCACGGACGAACATTAACTAAAAGAAAATGATTTTTGCCTTTAGAATTCCATAGAATTACAAGTCAACACATACTGATATCTATTTTCGCTATTTGCGGCATAGGCTCTGGTTGTGCCGGTTTGTGTCGACACCATTTCACCAGTCGTGGTACGAGAAAGCGAAGAATGATAATTAAGCCACCATAAAAACTAATGAATAGTCGGAATATATCGAATAGATTAGTTTGTTTTTCAATCGTATACGTGCAAGGCGAAGGTGCGCACGTTGTGTAATATCTCTCATATGAAAAATTCATATTTGTCCATGTGTCAATCATCAGATTACTAAAAAGACCTTCAACTGTCGTGTTCAATGGTAAACTATCATTTCTATCGGCGAAATTCAGATAAGGTACGTGAACGATGGACGGAGAATCGACCAAGGAAATCAATGTATCAATGCATGTTTGATTGTAGAAACATTCTAACGTTGAACGAAGCATTGACCGCATTGGATAACATGACACTACCATACCTGGAACAATCATTTGGATATCATACAAGTAAGGCCGCATGCGTATGGTGTCAGGATAAAGTTGAGATCTATTGGTCATGTTGTAGATGCCGGACAATAATTGACAGTCTCCCGTTCGACACGAGCATGAACTAGCATCTACTGTTTGTTGGAAACTGTATCTACTCATTGTTATGGACAATTGAGAAAACAAACCGAAGTAGGGAGCAAAGTTTGTTTCTAAACCAGAGAGAAGTTGATTACTCGCAATCATTTGCTGAATAAGTTCTAATTCATGATAAAATGTGTTTAACCCATGGGATTGAAAGTCAGTGACTGCTACTTCCATTTGAGACCGAAGAGATGATTCGCTGACTAGTTGTATACTGATAAGTTTTGTTTCGAGAAACTGATCAAGATTTTGTTCGACAACAGTCTGAGAGATGTTGCATAGCGATGCAAGTGCTTGAAACTGCATACTGGCTGTCGCACGGAAATCAATTGGTAAATAAAAGGTATTGATGGCACTTTGACCGAGAAAGTCGATCCAGTCTTTGGACACGAAAAAACTGGAACAAATCGGATGAAATCGTGGTTGGATCGAAAGAAATACCGCATACGGGACTGTCGTGTTTGAACAGAAGCATTCCGAATCATCAAGTTGACTGACTTGAGCAAATGTTGGTTGCCGAAGTATGACAAGTTCAGTCGATGAAAACGCGAGACGTAAAGTGAGAGTGAACGTAAGAAGAATTAGAAACAGAAGGATCAAATAGAAACGAGTTGAAATGATTTGTGTTCGAATTCGATATTCATCGTTGTTTCCGTATTCCGAAAACATATTGTAAGCTTGAATATATCTTTTCACGCGAGTCCACAGCATTTTTATTCTAAATAAACAATAAATTTCAGCACGCGTATCGATCAGGCAACCATCACATTTTCATTAACAACGTGATATAATCGACTGCTGATGCACTTTTGTGAATAAGAATCGCTTTATACAGAAAGAGTACCAGAATACTTTCAAAGTAAAAGAACCGGTGTGTTCTGTTCACATGTAATAAACATAATAAAGCTAATTTTTGAATTAAACGTTTCTTTTAAATACCAGATGGTAAACATAGACTTTTAACAGGCCGTATTCAAGCATGAAAATTTTTCGAGTGCATCGATAGTGTTGGCACATTTGTTCAGACTTTGAAGGTAATTAATTCTAATTGTTAACCATCATTCCACCCGTATGAAATAATGGATGCAAAGTTCTTCTGTCATTTGAATTCACTATACACAATAGCCTTTCGCTGAGTATATCCCTCTGCATGTGAATTGATTTTCGTTAATAAACTCCTGAAAAATTGTATAACATTTCGATATTCGTTGAACCACTGATGAAGTCTTTTGCGTTCAAAATCGTCATACTCATTTGAATTATTTCATTTTCATTTCCTTTAGTGCTACTTAATGCATGTGCGTCATTCCAGATGTTTTGTTGTAATTTTATTAACTAGAAAAGACCCTCGATGTGACGAAGGTAAAACCAGAATAGAAATAAAATTTGAAAATAATGTTAATATCTATCTAAGTGCAATAAAATGAAGCGTAGCATTGTGTTACGAAACTGAGTTAAGGGTACTCAATGCCGATTCAATTGAGTTTGAATTTGCTTGTTGAGAGATAATTAATTCTTTTAACTGATCCAGGACAGTTGCCATATTGGTTGTTTCGATGTCTAACATTGTCAGTCCACTCTGATATCTGGATAGTTGCATAAATTCATCGACGTGACTTACGATACCATAAATGCCATAGGCGATCAAGATCAGTCCACTGACAAATGCGATGCTAGGACTCTTGACCATGGATGGATTAACTCTTGCTATTGTATATCCGAGATTGATGGTCAGTACTCCTANTCAAGATTTTGTTCGACAACAGTCTGAGAGATGTTGCATAGCGATGCAAGTGCTTGAAACTGCATACTGGCTGTCGCACGGAAATCAATTGGTAAATAAAAGGTATTGATGGCACTTTGACCGAGAAAGTCGATCCAGTCTTTGGACACGAAAAAACTGGAACAAATCGGATGAAATCGTGGTTGGATCGAAAGAAATACCGTATACGGGACTGTCGTGTTTGAACAGAAACATTCCGAATCATCAAGTTGACTGACTTGGGCAAATGTCGGTTGCCGAAGTATGACAAGTTCAGTTGATGAAAACGCGAGACGTAAAGTGAGAGTGAACGTAAGAAGAATTAGAAACAGAAGGATAAAATAGAAACGAGTTGAAATGATTTGTGTTCGAATTCGATATTCATCGTTGTTTCCGTATTCCGCAAACATATTGTAAGCTTGAATACATCTTTTCACGCGAGTCCACAGCATTTTTATTCTAAATAAACAATAAATTTCAGCACGCGTATCGATGAGGCAACCATCACATTTTCACTAACAACGTGATATAATCGACTGCTGATGCACTTTTTTTATCAGAATCGCTTTATAGAGAAAGAATATCAGAATACTTTCAAAGTAAAAGAACCGGTATGTTCTGTTCACATGTAATAAACATAATAAAGCTAATTTTTGAATTAAACGTTTCTTTTAAATACCAGATGACAAACACAGACTTTTAACAGACCGTATTCAAGCATGAACATTTTTCGAGTGCATCGATAGTGTTGACACATCTGTTCAGACTTTGAAGGTAATTAATTCTAATTGTTAACCATCATTCCACCCGTATGAAATAATGGATACAAACTTCTTCTGTCCTTTGAATTCACTATACACAATAGCCTTTCGCTGAATATATCCCTCTGCGTGTGAATTGATTTTCGATAATAAACTCCTAAAAAATTCTACAGCATTTCAATATTCGTTGAAACACTGATGAAGTCTTTTACGTTCAAAATCGTCATACTCATTTGAATCATTTCATTCTCATCTCCTTTAGTGCTACTTAATGCATGTGCGTCATTCCAGATGTTTTGTTGTAATTTTATTAACTAGCAAAGACCCTCGATGTGACGAAGGTAAAACCAGAATAGAAACAAAATTTGGAAATAATGTTAATATCTATCTAAGTGCAATAAAATGAAACGTAGCATTGTGTTACAAAATTGAGTTAAGGGTACTCAATGCCGATTCAATTGAGTTTGAATTTGCTTGTTGAGAGATAATTAATTCTTTTAACTGCTCCAGGACAGTTGCCATATTCGTTCTTTCGATGTCTAACATTGTCAGTCCACTCTGATATCTGGATAGTTGCATAAATTCATCGATGTGACTTACAATACCATAAATGCCATAGGCGATCAAGATCAGTCCACTGACAAATGCGATGCTAGGACTCTTGACCATGGATGGATTAACTCTTGCTATTGTATATCCGAGATTGATGGTCAGTACTCCTACAACAATACCGACAGTAGCTTTTGCAATTCCAACAATAATAGTTCGTATCTTATCATAAAAAATAATTTCACTCAATGATACAATTCTGCCCTTTAGCCCATATAGTTGTTTACTGTCGACAACTTCAACGACTTCATTCCTTGTGATTTCAATTTTGCTTGTATTTTTCTTGATTTCTATCAAAGTGTCTATGCAGTTTTTAACAACGTTGTTATGTACGGTTAAATTATTTTCTTCTGTAAATACGTGTAATGATCCAATTGTTTTTGTTAACTGGGATAATATTTTTAGTTGATAGATGATAGATATTGCAAGGCTGTGTTGTAGAGCTTCAGCTATATCCACAGCGACGCTCACTTCGGTTAGAAGTTTAAAAGAATCAGTAAATTGTTCAGTGATTGCTAGATTTTCATCTAAATACTCATGTGCTCGTCGTAACTTTGATATTGATTTTTCGATTGAGACAGATACGTTTCGCATTTCTACATTTATTTGTGAAAGCATACCAACAATAGTGATTTCTATTGTGTTCACAACTGCTCGAATTGATTTCTTTTGACAAACACTCACGTAAATGCCCATCTCTTCCAATAAGTTAACTATCTCCTTAATTTTGGAATGTAAATAGTCGGCATCAGTCTTCACTTTCTGTACCATTGCTGTAGCTTCCGGATACCAATTAGATCGGATGCACTTCGAATAGTAAAATTTGGAAGAATCCCACATATGGAGAGAAGTCATTAGCGCCAACAATGAAACGATCCAAATTAAGATTCCAACAATAGCATAGAACAGTATAGGACTTGTTACGATTTGGTTCATGGTGTATACACGTACCTTATTGGCAAATGGACTAGTTTTGAATAAGTCATATCTATTGTCGAGCGTTTTTTGCTGTACCGTACTATAATTATCTTGTCGTCTGGAGTCATTACTATCAGAATTACTTGATAATGGAATCCGATCAAACCTTTTCAGAAAGTCAAATACTTCCCTGTTCAAAGAGGAACTCCAACATAGAAAAGTTAGAGTGCATGCTAGTAGAAATGTAAATAACATTACAGCAATGAAATAAATTCCAAACCATCTGAATACTTCAATATCGGCATGGTAATAAAATATTTTCTGTTCCTGGAGCATAACGTGTATATATCCATCAGAGGAATAATATTCGGATGAAAAGTTTTTGAAAGATTGAAGCCATACATTGACACTCTTACTAGCACACGAAAAATTTCCTTTCTGTAAACAACCGCCAATTGAACCATCGCTCTCTGATTCAAATGTCAGCGTCGTTGACAAATTACGATACTCACTCACATACTTTTCTAAAAAAGAATGATACTGATGAGTAGTAATACTTATATCGTTCAGCTCATATGATAAGCAAATGTACTCCGCAGGACACCGGCTACCCATGCGATCAAATAGCCGTTGGAGTTTATTTGTAGTGGGAAGTGTAGTTCCATCTATGTGTTTCCAGAGAGTAACGATCTTATTTTGAAAGATAAAGATTTGATCGTTTATCGCCGCAATATCATGATTGCTTTGATCAGTCATGATCTCACATAAAGAACCAAAAACAGCTATTCCAAGCCAAATACACAAATTGATATAGACACTTCTGTTCATAGTCGACAGTGCTGCATAATAACTCGATAAATGATTATCTGAAAACACATAGACAAAAAGAATCATTAAAATTTTTCTGTTGAACAATGTGAAATAGTAATACTCGCTTTGCACATTGTGTCTTACTCTTTCACATCAAACATCATGTAGTGCAAAGTGATCATAATGATGCAAAATGAAATAAGAGCAGATTACTTACTTCACTATCAAACCCAAGAGAACTAAATTTAAGTGTTCGAGTTTATACTTCATCTAAAACCTACTAACTTAATTCTAGTTTTGAGTAAGATATTCAAGTAACTGCCATTGATTCAATATTTACGTATTGATATGTCACAGGTTTTTAGTCAACACAGAAAAGCACGTGTATAAAAGTAAACAAATCAACATAGAAAATACGCTTTACATCACTTGGATAAGTATAGCAACTGTTTTTTTCCCATTTCTTTATGTGAAGAGAAGAACGAAAGAAAGAAGGTGCACAACGTTAAAACCGATACTCCTCCAAATAGGATAATGTGCAAGTATGACTAAGAGTCTCATTCGAAGAAACGCTTATTACCTCAAGAATTTCAGTAATAAGTGAACTTCGATTTACATATTACGTTGAAAAACAGATCTTTTGTACGGTATGACTGTTAGTTAAAAGCCGAAAGTCATCGTTTGAAAGAACAAACTGATTTGAATAATTCATTTTGTTAGTCAAGAAAAAGTTAATGTAGAAACTGTGTAGATACGAGATTTCTGTATATTTTCAGATAGTTATTGATAAAATTATTCCGTAACACTTTGATTCATGATCAAGAGTCTCACAAGGTGCCTTTTTTTATCTTAATCGGTTTTGTTCGACATATGAAACAGCATCTGATTGCACCAGGTCTGACATTCTGTCCATATGCAGTGAAATCGTCAATTTTAAAACTAAGATGGTTTCTCTGTGTGCTTATATGTAAGAAACTATAATTCCACACTTAGTTCACTTCAAGTATCTGTTGCTAACTATGAAAAACCGATGTCCAGATCATATAATCAAATGAAGCGAAGACTAAATAGTATGACGATGACCGTTCACGAGTATAAACCTCTTGCGGAGGAAACCTAATGTGAGTGTCGCAAATTCACCACTGTGTTAATAGTTGAAACATGGAATTATGCTATGGCTAACTATTATTTGCAGCAAAGGAACTTTTCACACACTACCAATGTTATTACAACATATTTGAGATACCATGTGCGAAGATCTTCATGTGAAGTCAATTCTCGCAGATTATAACATGTCGTTTTTAAAAACGATAAATATTCCAAACGAAGTAATAAACTGGCTAAACCCCATATAGATGTTCGAGTTATAGTAATTAAGTCTTCGATGTTTGGATGATAACGGTAAATGTTCGAAATACTGCCAGCTTAAGAAGACCATCTGTGTTTTTTATACCCTTCGACTTTTAATGATTTGATCTTTTTCAAATATTTACGAGCACTTCTCGGAGTTTGTTTGATTTCTTTTAAATAATCATAATGACATACCTGAATAGAGACTTGTGTCGGATGATGTTTTAATATATCAAAAAACAATTTCCAAGCAATGCCATAGAGACATGTGAAATGCTTAACTGATGGCATATTTATAAATGCATTCGTTTGCTCATACGTTATATTTTGTGGATAATGCATTACAGTTAATATTTGCACATTAATAAAATGTTGAATAGCTAAAAAAAAATCTACAGCTCGAAGTTCACGCAATTCCAATTCTTGAATAGAATTTATTATTTGCGATGCTGTTAATATAGATTTTCTACGAAGCACATCATTGTATTCTAACGACACAAGGTATTGCATATATGAGGATAAGGAGCTGTAGATGAAAAATCAAAATTAACAAATCATTGTTTTTTAATCAAGCAAAAGTCATCACTTGTAAATGACGCGATATAGTTTGCGGTTCTGACGAAGCCTTTGCATATTAAAAAAAAACTTCAAAGTTTTGAATTACGGCGTATGTTGTTTGATAGTATTCTCCCATTGATCGTTATTGACTGGCTCATCGAAAACCCCCAGATCATCAACTATTTCCAGTTGAGTTAAACGTGAAAAATGTTTGAATGGAAAATCAATTTCTTTTAACACGCCGATACCATTAAATTTTCTAGATGAAATGTTTTAATATTTTTACTTCAAATAAAATGAGATTTCTAATTTGAACTCTTGTATTTTCCGACGCATCTTTTCTCGGCGACGATGAAAGCCAATCAAAATGTCGTAATAAGTGTTTTAATTGCTGAAAATTTCGTAAAAGTAAAACAAGAGCAGTGTATCGATCAGCATCGTTTTCATATACAATGATAACGATTGGAGTTTAGCATACAACGAATCAATAGGATAGTAAATCAAAAATAGCTCAACTGTGGGTAGATGTTCAAATTGGCATTTGGTTTTCGGCGATTTTCTTCGTTGAAAAAAGCGAGAAATCTTGGAGTTTCACATGTGATCATCTCGAGTTTTATTAACACCTATGATATGTCGGAACATCACTATGTGCATATCGATTTTACATAAGTAAGAAACTGTGCCAACTAGAGATAAAAATGAAAAACTAAAACTCGGTTGTTTGCTCGGAAGGGAATAGAAGTTCATGTGAGATAAATCTATCAGATGTTAAACAAATCAACTTCGTGACAGTCGAACTTTAGACAAAAGGATAGCGTTTAGTTTCATTTTATTTTTCGATCAATCAGTGGACTTCGAACATGTAGCAGACTTTTGATTTGCAGAATATTTATGGGTGATCGAACGAAAGTAACTAACAAAGATGAGTCAGCTGTTTTCACTGGTTTCATTCAATCACTATTGAATAGATCAATGCGATTGCCTTGAAAACGCTATTTATTTCAGATAGTTTCTCCTGAAGTTTATAGTACGCCAACGTCGTTCTGAAAAAAAAACAACCAAAATTTGATATTTCCCATTATGTGCTGTCTCGAGCAAAATTGTACTAGATAAACTGTTGAGAATTTATTGATGTGCGTATCAAATTTATCATAAATCTGTCACAGAACCTTCTCAATATGAAATCTTACCTGAATGCAAATAGTTGGTGTTATTCAAATGCATATAATGTATGAGTAATCGAAGAAGGTACCATCATACTTCTCTGTCTGTTGAAAACATGCTTATCATCTGACTTACTCATTTTTTGTTGTTGTCTTTCTTATCATCATGAATCTCGGTGCAAACTAAACTTTCTACTTCTTTACTCTACAGAACGAACCAATGATCAAATCCAGTCTTCGACAGATCTTTTCAATACTTTTACTTTTCGCGTTCATTCAGAGTGGTTCATGTAAAGAAATTCACGAAAGAATATTCAATGGTTCCGAAGTTATTCCTCATTCATTTCCGTGGACGATTGTCTTACGTTTTAATTTTATGAATATCATGAAACGAACATGTAGTGGCACTATTATTTCCGATATATTTCTTTTAACTTCGGCGAGTTGCTTTGAGAATTCAGCATACCTCACTCAATATTANAAAGTGTCTATGCAGTTTTTAACAACGTTGTTATGTACGGTTAAATTATTTTCTTCTGTAAATACGTGTAATGATCCAATTGTTTTTGTTAACTGGGTTAATATTTTTAGTTGATAGATGATAGATATTGCAAGGCTGTGTTGTAGAGCTTCAGCTATATCCACAGCGACGCTCACTTCGGTTAGAAGTTTAAAAGAATCAGTAAATTGTTCAGTGATTGCCAGATTTTCATCTAAATACCCATGTGCTCGTCGTAACTTTGATATTGATTTTTCGATTGAGACAGATACGTTTTGCATTTCTACATTTATTTGTGAAAGCATACCAACAATAGCGATTTCTATTGTGTTCACAACTGCTCGAATTGATTTCTTTTGACAAACACTCACGTAAATGCTCATCTCTTCCAATAAGTTAACTATCTCCTTAGTTTTGGAATGTAAATAGTCGGCATCAGTCTTCACTTTCTGTACCATTGCTGTAGCTTCTGGATACCAGTTAGATCGGATGCGCATCGAATAGTAAAATATGGAAGAATCCCACCGATGGAGAGGAGTCATTAGCGCCAACAACGAAACGATCCAAATTACGGTTCCAACAATAGCATAGAACAGTATAGGACTTGTTACGATTTTGTTCATGGTGTATATACGTACTTTATTGGCAAATGGGCTAGTTTTGAATAATTCATATCTATTGTCGAGCGTTTTTTGTTGTACTGTACTATAATTATCTTGTCGTCTGGAATTATTACTATCACAATTACTTGATAATGGAATCCGATCAAACCTTTTCAGAAAGTCAAATACTTTCCTGTTCAAACAGAAACTCCAACATAGAAAAGTTAGAGTGCATGCTAGTAGAAATGTAAATAACATTAAAGCAATGAAATAAATTCCAAACCATTTGAATACTTCAATATCGGCATTGTAATAAAATATTGTCTGTTCCTGGAGCATAACGTGTATATATCCATTAGAGGAATAATATTCGGATGAAGACTTTTTGAAAGATTGAAGCCATACATTGACACTCTTACTAGCACACGAAAAATTTCCTTTCTGCAAACAACCGCCAATTGAATCATCGCTCTCTGATTCAAAAGTCAGCGTCGTTGACAAATTACGATACTCACTCAAATACTTTTCTAAAAAAGTATGATACTGACGAGTAGTAAAAGTTATATCGTCCAGCTCATATGATAAGCAAATGTGCTCCACAGGACACCGGCTATCCATGCGATCCAATAGCTGTTGGAGTTTATTTGTAGTGGGAAGTGTAGTTCTATCTATGTGTTTCCAGAGAGTAACGATCTTATTTTGAAAGATAAAGATTTGATCGTTTATCGCCGCAATATCATGATTGCTTTGATCAGTCATGATCTCACATAAAGAACCAAAAACAGCTATTCCAAGCCAAGTACACAAATTGATATAGACACTTCTGTTCATAGTCGACAGTGCTGCATAATAACTCGATAAATGATTATCTGAAAACACATAGGTAAAAAGAATTATTAAAATTTTTCTGTTGAACAATATGAAATAGTAATACTCGCTTTGCACATTGCGTCTTACTCTTTCACATCAAACATCATGTAGTTCAAAGTGATCATAATGATGCAAAATGAAATAAGAGCAGATTACTTACTTCACTATCAAACCCAAGAGAACTACATTTAACTGTTCGAGTTTATACTTCATCTAAAACCTACTAACTCAATTCTAGTTTTGAGTAAGAAATTCAAGTAACTGTCATTGATTCAATATTTACGTATTGATATGTCACAAGTTTTTAGTCAACACAGAAAAGCACGTATATAAAAGTAAACAAATCAACATTGAAAATACGCTTTACATCACTTGGATAGGTATAGCACCTATTTTTGCCCATTTCTTTATGTGAAGGGAAGAACGAAAGAAAGAAGGTGCACAACGTTAAAACCGATACTCCTCCAAATAGGATAATGTGCAAGCATGACTAAGAGTCTCATTCGAAGAAACGCTTATTATCTCAAGAATTTCAGTAATAAGTGAACTTCGATTTACATATTACGTTGAAATGGTAAGTTGTCACAGCGTCAATGACTCACCCTTTTATAGGCAAATTTTAGTCCTGCCTATGCACTTTGCCTCGAAAAACTATTTTCATGAACTTTAAATGTTAAAAAATTCTCTGTTTAATGCAGAAGCGAATGATGTAATTTTTAATGGGAGCAAGTTTTTAGAAACATGGATTCGAGAGAGAAAACATTCGTGCATCATGGTGTTAATTCATATATATTCATTCTACTTTCTTTGGTAGTAAACTCTTTCATGATGCACCATTAATTAAATAGCTACATTCTCACCATAAACTTGTCGCAGAAACTCATAAAAGAGCGAGATAATCCTTTCTGTGAAAAAAGTTTTAGAAATTTCTTTTTCGAGGCGTAGAGATAAAGGTGTCACTAGTGGAGAAGTGCATTTGATATTAATAAAGCGAAAGAAACGACTTTTTGTCCGGCTATGACAATACACCATTGAGCGGTTTTGTTCGGCATATGAAACAGCATCTGATCGCACCAGGTCTGACATTCTGCCCATATGCAGTGGTTTCTCTGTGTGCTTATTTGTAAGAAACTATAATTCCACACTTAGTTCACTTCAAGTATCTGTTGCTAACTGCGAAAAACCGAAGTCCAGATCATAATCAAATGAAGCGAAGACTGAATGGTATGACGATGACCGTTCACGAGTATAAATCTCTCGCGGAGGAAACCTCACGTGAGTGTCGCAAATTCGCCACTGTGTTAACAGTTGAAATATGGAATTATGCTATGGCTAACTATTATTTGCAGTAAAGGAATTTTTCTTGAGGATGAGGGTGTGTAACTTGAGTTTGCTAAATGAAAGAAAGATGAAAAAATCATACAGATAAACCAATATGTTTATTCATACACGTATCTTGGTGCTTCAATTGATTAAATTAAAGAGCCCATATGCAAATGATATCCTCGGATTGTTTATAGACAAGTTGTTTTCGTATTCTTACATTATAGTTGAGATACCATGTGCGAAGATCTTCATGAGAAGCCAATTCTCGCAGATCATAACATGTCGTTTTTAAAAACGAGAAATATTCCAAACGAAGTAATAAACTGGCTAAACCCCATATAGATGTTCGACTTATAGTAGTTAAGTCTTCGATGTTTGGATGATAACGGTAAATGTTCGAAATACTGCCGGCTTAAGAAGACCATCTGTGCTTTTTATACCATGCCACTTTTAATGATTTGATCTTTTTCAAATATTTACGAACACTTCTCGGAGTTTGTTTGATTTCTTTTAAATAATCATAATGACATACCTGAATAGAGACATGCGAAATGCTTAACTGATGGCATATTTATAAATGCATTCGTTTGCTCATACGTTATATTTTGCGGATAATGCATTACAGTTAATGTTTACACATTAATAAAATGCTGAATGGATAAAAAAGAAAATCTACGGCTCGAAGTTCACGCAATTCCAATTCTTTAATAGAAATTATTATTTGCGATCCTGTTAATATAGATTTTCTACGAAGCACATCATTGTATTCTAACGCGTTTGCAACACAAGGTATTGCATATATGAGGATAAGGAGCTGTAGATGAAGAATCAAAATTAACAAATCATTGTTTTTAATCAACCAAAAGTCATCATTTGTAAATGACACGATATAGTTTGCGGTTCTGACGAAGACTTTGCATATTAAAAAAAACTTCAAAGTTTTGAAGTACGGCGTATGTTGTTTGATAGTATTCTCCCATTGACTGGTTCATCGAAAACCATCAGATCAACAACTATTTCCAGATGACTTAAACGTAAAAAATGTTTAAATGCAAAATCAATTTCTTTTAACATGCCAATACCATTAAGTTTTCCAGATGACATGTTTTATGTTTTTACTTCAAATAAAATGAGATTTCTAATTTGAACTCTTGTATTTTCGGACACACCCTATTCTCGGCGACGAGGAAAGCCAATCAAAATGTAGTAATAAGTCTTTTAATGGCTGAAAATTTCGTAAAAGTAAAGAATATAGTAAATCAAAAATAGCTCACCTGTGGGTAGATATTCAAACTGACATTTGGTTTTCAGCGATTGTTGAAAAAAGCGAGAAAGTTTGATGTATGATCATCTCGAGTTTTATTAACACCTATGCTGTGTCGGAACATCACTATGTGCATACCGATTCTACATAAGTGAGAAACTGTGCCAACTGCAGATAAAAATGAAAAACTAAAACTCGGTTGTTTGCTCGGAAGAGAATAGAAGTTCATGTGAAATAAATCTATCAAATATTAAACAAATCAGCTTCGTGACAGTCGAGCTTTAGACAAAAGGATACCGTTTAGTTTCATATTATTTTTTTTGATCAATCAATGGACTTCGAACATGTAGCAGGCTAACAAACTTTTGATTTGCAGAATACTTCTGGGTGATCGAACGAAAGTAACTAACAAAGATGAGTCAGCTGTTTCCACTGGTTTCATTCAATCACCATTGAATAGATCAGCGCGCTCGCCTTGAAAACGCTATTTATTTTAGATAGTTTCTCCTGAAGTTTACAGTATGCCAACGTCGTTCTGAAAAAAAACAACCAAAATTTGATATTTCTCATTATGTGCTGTCTCGAGCAAAATTGTACTAGATAAATTGTTGAGAATTTATTGATGTGCGTATTAAATTTATCATAAATCTGTCACAAAACCTTCTCAATATGAAATCTTACCTAAATGCAAATATTTGGTGTTATTCAAATGCATATAGTCTATAACTAATCGAAAAAGACACCATCATACTTCTCAGTCTCTTGAAAACATGCTTATCATCTGACTTACTCATTTTTTGTTCTTGTCTTTCTTATCATCATGAATCTCGGTGCAAACTAAACCTTCGACTTCTTCACTCTACACAACAAACCCAATGATCAAATCCAGTCTTCGACAGATCTTTTCAATACTTTTACTTTTCGTGTTCATTCAGAGTAGTTCATGTAAAGAAATTCAAGAAAGAATATTCAATGGTTCCGAAGTTATTCCTCATTCATTTCCTTGGACGGTTTTCTTACGTTTTAATTTTATGAATATCATGAAACGAACATGTAGTGGCACTATTATTTCCGATATATTTCTTTTAACTTCGGCGAGTTGCTTTGAGAATTCAGCATACCTCACTCAATATTACACAGTCACCGCAGGTCTCCATAAACTCGATAA